TCGACATATGATAATATGAAATAATTATTTTAAAAAGGATAAATTTTATATAAAAATAAAAGTAATTTATCTATAAATATGGGATATTTTATAAGTATATGTAATATTATACAAATTTATTTTAAAAAAAGTGTTTCTAATATAAATAATTCGTTGTTTGATATAATTAATACAATTTATGCACTAAATTACTTAAACAATACGTGAATTTTTTCTAATTTCAGTCAAAGTTAAATATACAATAGATTTCAATGAAAGATTATTCACATTCAATTTGTATATTTAATACGATCTGAAACATTTAAAATATCTTGCTAAAATAATAAAGAATGTAAAAGTTAATTACTTGAAAAATAAATGTGTAGAAAATTAAACAGACATAAAGATAAATTAATAGAAATAAGGAAATCAACTAAAATGACGATCCAAATTACAAAAAACTTCATTAAAAATGGTTATTTCAAATTCATAACGTTTTTTAAAATATAAGTTATATAATTTGACAATCACTTCTTATTACCTTTACTATATATATATATATATATATATATATATATATATATATATATATATATATATATTTATTGTAACCACTAAAGTAACCATAAAAATAATAAAATAAAATAAAATTACAAATTAAAATCTTTCAAACGATTATTCTCTTATAACTTATTTACTTTGATGATACATGTTTACTTGTAACTTACATGTTCTGCAAACTGTTTCTTAATCGTTTTCATCAATATTTCGATGCACTAGTGAAAAATAAAATAATAATTCCCTGTAACTTCCTCGTCAACATATCCATATTCATTTTTCCACTCTTTAGATATTTGATTCCTAATTTTTTTTTATGTTTTTCTCTTTCAATTCTTTGATTCTCAATTTGTTGATATTTTATCATTTCTTGAAAAGTTCAATCCTAATTATTCATCCACCTCGATACATCATTCTCGATTTTGCTTTTACTCTTTCCAACTACTTGACGTCCAGTCAGACTCAATTTATTCTTTCGATCTTTTTGTAATTTTTTAGACTTATCACTAACTTACTCAACTTTCCTTTCCTATTTTTATTATACGTGGGACTTTAAACTCACTTAAATTTTTAATAATTTATTCTAAAATATGATTCTTTTTCATATTAGTATACTTCCCTTCGAATGAAAATATTTTTTAAATATCTACTCAAAGTGTGATATTTTTCAGATTAATGTATCTTCCCTCTAATGAAAATATTTTTTAAACATGATTATCTGAGAGTAATTTTACTTATATGACCCTTTTTCAACTCAAGTCAAAGTACTCACTTAAAACCTTTATTAAAAATACTTTCAAATACAAATATCTATTATTTAAAATCTTCCATCTACTCTAATTCTATATATATATATATATATATATATATAAAATTGATGCGGACACGATCTATTGTTGAAAGTTACATGTGAAAAAAAAAAAACAAATAACTGATAAAAGTACATGAAGATGTACGTTGGACATAACATGATAAGAGTTGCATGTGAAAAAGAAAAAAATAAACTTATATGAGTTGCATATGAATAAATTTTAAAATAATAAAATATGAAAAAAAATTAATATATAAAATAACATTATTTATAAAATTTAATTATATTAATTAATTAAGTATATAATAATTAGATTTATATTAATATTAAATATTTACTAAATTAATAATATTAATTCTAAATTTTTTCTCTTAAATAATATTATTTTTTAATATTTTTATCCTTTTTATATATGGATTATTTAGGTTTTATTTATTTCAAAAATAAATAAGAAGTTAATAATAAATATGATATTTGGTGTCTTCATCTTATAAACTGTATTTCCTGTATCAATTTTGGTTCTTTTAAAAAAATCATAAAATTTGATTTATTTTATGTGGGTTACCATAATAATTAGAGTTATCTTACTTTTCATTTTTATATTTTTAATTGTTTATTTTATTAGTAAATACATGAATAAAAAAGGTTAACAAGTTATATATATATATATAATAATAATAATAATAATAATAATAATAATAATAATAATAATAATGAATAATAACTGTTAAAAGAAGAAATACAAAAATAAGAGACAGTAGTATTATTGGTTCTTATTTGGGGAATTCAAGAAACCAAAAATATTATTAGGAATATCTGTTCAAAAATGCAATAATTCAAAAGTTCAGTTTCACAAAACCAAATAAGAGACTTAATTAGACTAAAAAATATATATAGGAAACTTTGTTTAAAATGTTTATAAGTGTTATATATTTATTATTAAAGGATAGAAATTAAATATATTTTATTTTACTTTTTTTAATGAAATAAAATATTAATATTTTCTTTAACTTTTTATTTTAGTTTACTTTAATTTTTTTTATTTAATAGATATTATTATTTTCTTTTATACCAATGTCCATTTCATACTCAATTAAAATCTGATTTTATACAAATATTTATTTTTCAGGATTTATGATGTATCATTTAGATGTAAAAAATATTACAGTTTTTAATTTAATTTAATTTTAATATAAATAATGTTACATATTTTGTAATATTAATATTATTGAAGCATATTAAATGTTATTAATTTTAATAGATTGTAATTTATTTTTTGTATATAAAAAAGGTACATTTTGGTACTAAATGAAAATTAAATTCTATAAAGTTAATTAATTTTATTAACTAAAAGTAGAAACATTTATATATATATATATATATATAAGTTTTTAAAATTATCAGAGTTTTTAATTTAATTTTATTTTAAATCTAAATATTATTATCAATGTTATAATATTAATTTTAATATTATTAAAACAAATCTTAATTATTATTAAATTTAATATTAAATGGAAATAAAATAAATTGGGACATGCCTCCCTCCCCACTACTAGGTAACCACAATAGCTAGCAAGATGCTGGTTGACCATGTAGTGGATACGAAGGTTAAGATAGTCATAAAGAAGATGATTTTGGTATTAAATGGAAACATACGAAGAAAAGTAAATCAATTTTTGGTGATGAAGAAGGTTTAGGAGAAAAAAAATAGAAAATGAAATCAATTACCTTTCATGTCTCAGACAAGAAGAAGAAAATTGAGAGCTGATGAAAAAAAAAAAAAAAGTTTTTAAACCCTAAACCGTGTTTGAGCAGGGACAGTTCAAAGTGCCTGAAACAATAAAAAAGATATTGGAGGACTTAATTTAAATAAATAAAAAATCATGAACCTAATTAAAAATTAGAAAAAAGTTAAAAACTTGCAAATTATTTTAATTAAAGAATTTGTACCGTATTTATAAATTATTAATTATATTTAACAAAGTTTCATATATTTCTTAATTATGTTTATTTTAATATTTATTTTATTTCCCCTGTTAATGAACAATCAAACCATGAATTTGGATGGATCTTGGAAATCCTTCTATATAAAAAGTGGTAAACAAAGAATTACAGACCGAAGGAGAAGAAGAACAAAGACACAGATAGATAGAGGTATCATTCTGAACTACGCACCCAACCCTCTGCTTCACCTCCACCCTTCTGATCTCCACTTCTATGGTTTTTGTAACACATTTCATGCATGTTTGTGCATTTTAATTTTTATTCTTTTCTTCTTCTTCTTCTTCTTCTTGTTATTATTACTGTTGGTTTGCTTTGATTATTTTATGGTGTCTTTTTTCTTGAACACCCTTTACTGGAAATTTCAATTTTTTTTTTTATTTCAAATAGATTTTCCAAATTTTACATGTTTTCGCAAATTATTGCTTGTTTTTGTTGCATCTTTCTTTTCAATATTGAACCTTTTCACTCTGGGGCATGTGAGGGGGAACGAATGAGAAGTTTTGTTGCTGAGGAGTGAGAAAGACTGTTTCAGGTGATCAGAGTTTCTCCCAGTGATTTTTTTTCCCCTGGTATCCTCGTGTATCCAATTACATTTTTACCCTTACTTGCAAGAATGTCAATATGTAAAAGTTGGGTGCATTTTATTGATAAACACTTAGAATAATAATTTTTTGTTGTACAATTACAGTTTTTAACTGGTCTCATACAAAACCTGTAGAACAATAAAAGTATGACAAGAAATAAATCCTCAATCAACTTATGATTAGTTAATGGAAGTTTGATCTCTATGTTACATGAGCATTTTGGTTATTAGGGAAACTAGATCAGCTGCCTTAAAAATGTTTTTTTATAGCACTTTGCTGATTGGTCTGTTTGAACTTTGAGGGACATCAAAATCTTGGAGGTAATTGATTGAGACTAGTACATCAAAACAGAGAACTTGCAGGATTAGGAGGAGTTGCAACTAAATATAAGATAAGTCTCAGGTACATAAGATTTACAAAGGTTATGTATGAAATAGAGACCCAAACAATTAGTTTAGTTGTGATACACTAAAATTCTGGTTGTAGTTTAGGATTTAGACACAAATATATGTGATATTATCAAAAAAATGAGTTGCAGGAGGGGTATGAAAAGGGTGTATGTTTCTTGTCACTTGAGTTGAACTATTTATTATGCTTTAATTGAAAAGTTTGAGTTTAGGGTCAATGATGTGTTTAGCGATCTAGGAGAAGCTCAGTTTTAGGTGACTTGTATATCTAAATAATGGAAATGCTCTTATTCTTATTCACGGTGTATCATATTTAATTTTCATTCCAAACATGAAAAGAATGTAAATTCCCTACAATCTCTTGGACTTTCTCACGTACCTATATATTTCTTATGAACCTGTTTGACAGATCATCATTAAGACACTATAGTTGAACATATATGAAGACAATTACAATACATTCTTTTGCATTTGATAGGATTAGTTCAATTCTCCAGCTGCTTTTATTACCCATCTTGTAACTTGTAAGCATTACAGAATATGATTAATAATTTGTTTCAAGTAATATCAACGAAATTTTCTTGTGTTACAACAGAGATCACCTTGAGGTACTTCACTTTCTATACCTTGGTTGACTGAGGTTATTGAGTGCAGCAAATGCTGGCAGGTTCACCGTCATCTCATATGGGTTCATCTATTTCAATGTATCGTGGAATATGTTCAACATCAAGGATTGGAAATAGTGAATCCCCCAATAGTGGAGCCTCTTCTTCTTTTACACAGCCTATTGCAGACATGAATGAAAATGATAAAACAGACTTGCTCTCAATAACATGGAATCAGAACTATCGATTATTTGCTGTTGGCACAAGTCATGGTTTTCGTGTCTATACTTGTAAACCTTGCAAAGAAGCTCTCAGACGTGATATTGAAAGTAGTGGTTTTAAAATTGTAGAGATGCTGTTCTGCAGTAATGTTCTAGCACTTGTTGGTTCTGTAGCTAATTCTCATTATCCACCCAATAAAGTTTTGATATGGGATGATTGTCATAGAAGGTGCATAGGTGAATTTACATATATGTCTGAAATTCGTGGAGTGAAATTAAGACGTGATCGAGTTGTAGTTGTTCTAGAGCACAAGATATATGTTTATAACTTCATAGATTTGAAGCTTCTTCATCAGATTGAGACTCTGGCAAATCCTAGAGGGCTGTGCTGTCTTTCACACCATTCAAATACATTTGTTTTGGCTTGTCCAGGTTTACACAAAGGACAGGTTCGAGTTGAACACTTTGGACTGAACGTGACAAAATCAATCAATGCTCATTATTCTCAAATTGCATGCCTTACCCTGACATTAGATGGGCTCCTTCTTGCAACTGCTAGTATAAGGGGCACTTTGATTAGAATCTTCAATACAATGGATGGTTCTCGTTTACAAGAGGTAGGTCACTACAGAGTGGATTGTATTGTGTTAAATCATTATTAATTTATCATGTCTAACTTACTGTTTTGTATTTTTCCTTTTAGAGAATTTTAATTTTCACATCTGCACAGTACAGATTGACTTAAAAATGACTTATTTTTTTCCTTTCATAATGCTGTTCTATTGAAAAGTTCTTCGTATTCCTCTCATGATCCATGAAAGTAGGAATACAAAACCAACTATTTTATTCTAGAATTGAACATCTTGTATATAACTATATTATATTTATTATTATTGTGAACCATTTTTATTTGTTTGCACACTCCCATTTGATCATTTGTAAAAATGACTAGGATATTCCAATTTCATTTGCAAACTTGGATGTCTCACAATAACAATGTTTTAGCTTTATGTTGCTTGTAAAAAGCTTTTATCTTATAGGAATTGGTTTGATCTTTTTTTATCAAATTTCCTCCTTTGTTTTCATGCTCTATGATCTGGTCACTCTTGCTTGTAGGTAAGAAGAGGTGCAGATATAGCTGAAATCAACAGTATAGCTTTTTCTCCAAATGTCCAGTGGTTGGCAGCATCAAGTGACAAAGGCACTGTTCATGTATTCAGCTTGAGAGTGAGAGTGTCTGGGGAGGATAGTTTGACTCAGCCAAATGTTGCTCAAGGGCCTGCACTGTTTCATCAGAATTCTTCCACTTCTTTAGATCCCTTGATTTCTCCAAATACTGGTGCCAACCCCAGTTCAGCATTATCTTTCATGAGAGGTATCATAAATTTTATCTCAAGTATAAAATGTGATAGAACATTGATTAAAAAGAATCACCACCCTCTGTACCCTCAGGATTTGTGCGTGCAGCGTTGCCCTGTTCTGATTGTTTATTCCTTTATAAGACACAAAAAGGCAATTACTTCAGCTCCATTAAATTTACCGTTGGATTTGCTCAAGGAAATACTTTTCTGAACACTAAATGAAACTCAGCACATTATTTGTGCCTTTTTTGGTTCATATATAACAGTTGACATGGCATTACTCTTTTTAAGAATCAAGTCTTTGCAAATCGTTGTTGTACTAAAATAAGATTTTCTACAGGAGCCCATATCTTTTAAGGATATGGGGTTTCTGGTCGGTAGATATGCTCATGGCTCTGAAACTTTTCTTTTGAGATGGTATATTTTGCACAATATTCATTGTACATGATTTTTTTGTGCTTATGATTTTTCCTTGATATATTGCAGGATTTTTACCAAAATATTTTAGCTCAGAGTGGTCATTTGCCCAGTTCCGCCTGCCCAAAAGCACCCATTTAATTGTGGCATTTGGATCTGAGAACGATATCATAATTGTTAGCATGGATGGGAGGTATGTCGTCCAACTATTGTGAACTTGTCAGTTGTGTATGCTCCACCACCACTATTTTTTTTCTGAAATTGAGTCGTTGATGTTTAATTAAAAATTTCAAATAAAGTTGAGATAAACATAATATCTTAATGATGCATGCAGTTGAGACTAATGGCTTATTTAGATAATATATGGTGGTGATCCAGGTAAGACTTGTAATTGTATCACTTAATAACCTTTTGTAAAATGCAAATTTTGTTAACTTATGAGGTGATAATAGTTTGGTGTTTGTGTATATCAGACAAAATATAAAGTAGACATATAAGTTCTAATTTAATAGTTGATATTTACTATTTTGCAAGTATTTTGTTTGTTAAAAGGCGAGCCTTGGCACTAGCTTAAGGTTGCTGCCTGGTGACAGGATTGAATCTTGGAAATGAATCTCTCCACTTGGAGGGGTAAGGCTGTGTACATGTTACAACTATCCTTCCCAATTCCCAGGAGATGGGAAATCTTATGCTTTCTCGGCTTTTTTTTGTTTGTTAATTGGATTAACAAGTTCCACTTGATTATAAATTCTATGAATGAAATTCTTCTAAAAGCTATCTAAGGAAGTTAATGGAGAAAGTTTCAGGAGCTGCATCTATACAATTATTGTTTCTGTATAATTTCTTTCCACACGAACTCCCCTCCTTCTCGTGCTGAAGTTGATCTCATGTGATTTCATTTGCCTCAAAAAGATATCTAAATGTATAACACTCTATTCAGCGTATGGCACTTCTCTTTCACTTCTTTATAGCCTCGTCAAGATCACTTAAAGGAACTTAATCTCAACATTCTTGTTAACCTTACAACCTCTGCTCTCTCTTGTCTTCTTTGACATCTGTTTATTCAGTTCTGATGACATCACTCACTTTTCTCTCTTTTGTGTTCTTTGATATCAGTTTCTACAGATGCAGCTTTGATATAGTACATGGGGGAGAGATGGTGCGGCAGGAGTATGTTCGTTTTCTGAAATTTGAAAACATGCCATAAGCAATTTATAGTTTTTCAATATCCTTGTCAAGCAACAACTCTCCTCAAACCCTGTAAATATATTCCAGCACCAGACAACAAACTGTTCTCATGTGCAAACATGATTCCCCCGTATTTGAGGATCTGGAGATACGTTGTTGTATACCTTGTATATTTTGAGGAAAAAAAATGAAATTGAAAGAGAAATACCAATAGCAACAGCTGCATCACAAATAAGTCACTTACTGAATATCTCTTTTACATCACTGTCCCATGGAAGTTTTGCTGAATACATTGTCATGTTACATGGGTACGAAATATTCATGCCATGGCATCAGCTCAGGTTGTGTTTGGAACTCCTCAATGGTATTCCATTTACTTGGGTAAGGTCTGATTTTACACACAAACTGAAAACTTTATACTATCATACATTCTGTACAGTGTCAAAGTAACATGAGGAGGTTAAATTCTTCATTTGATTTTATAGTTCAGCTTTACCTTTTAGTTGTTACACTTAAAAATCATTCAATTTTAATTATTGCACATTTTATTTTTTATTTCTTTTAACTCATTACTTATAACTACGAATTAAAAGAGATTAAAATAGTATGTACAAAGTGTAAGATGAGTAAGGGTTAACGAAGATAATTTTAATATTAATAGTATAGATATTCGATAATGTTAGAATAATTATAAGAATTAAATGAGTAATTAAATTTATAAGTTATTGAACTCCACACAGTCCTTCTCTTCAACTTAGAAAAATATCCTCACCGTAGATAGACCTTCCATGGTGGGGAAAAAGGTTGTTTCTATTGGTTTTTTGAATTGGAGTTGTAAACAACTGATAAAACTTAAGAACCACATTTTCATACACAAGGAATCATCTCTAATTATGCAATTCATTGGAGTTATAACTTTATCTGGTTTTCAGTGTGGCAAGTTAATATATTTTAATCTTGATATGACAAACGATTATTTGTTTCAACAATGCAATTTGGATGGACTCCACCCATAATTTTTTTTTTGTTAAAGAAAAGTTGCTTAAATAATTGCCCTTGTATACAATAATCACCTTAACCAGTCCTAATTGTGTAACTCAATTAAAAAGATTAGTTTTGTGATGAAAGTAGAAAAGGTGGAAAAGATACATCATATGCCACTTCAAATTTTTCTTAAAAAAAATAACATATTAATAACTAACATTTAACTGTAAATAAAATCAATTTAATACCATTTTATTTTTAATAAATCAACTTGTTGAAGATTATCTACAATGTTGTCACTGTCGTTTGTAATCTCTAAAAGAGCAATTCATAAGGGTATTGATGGACAGTGTAAGATTTAAAAAAGAACACATACAAGTCTAGATGAAGTCTTTGTCTTTCTGGAATAAAAGGACTGTGTTTATAGCAGCAATCCACTGTGGAGGGAAACATTTATTTTACTTTTGAGAATTTTGGTGGCGGAATATGAAGAGGATAATGACTTTAGCAATGGTGATAATACCTTATATACCTCTCTAAGCTTGTGCAGTAAAAAATTGGTACATTATCAAATTAAGAGTGCCACAATCTGAATTGTTCATACCTCTCTTCCATGCCAGACTAAAATTGGTTGAGGATTGGAAAATAACCATCCATTAGGTTCTACGACAACCATGTTATACCATGTATTATACCATGTATTAGGATATTGCGGCCATCACAAGATGACAAGAAGCATAGGGAATGATTGACAAATTTTGCACAGACACATCAAATACAGCAAATATAAAGTATGAATGAATGGCTAAAAGAATAAAAGAAAATAATCAAAGAACAGGTAGTATCATAGAATTGAAAATTAAATCTCTATTTATCAATAAGTAAACTGCTTTGAAACATTGTAGAGAAAGGTTCATGTAAGCATTACTAAAGTAAAGATTTACGTAACAATGTGACGACTTCAAGGGTAATATTTTGTGTACACAATTTTGACAATTATTGTTCTTTTTAGCTTGTTTCCGTATACTAGCATCTCTTGGTTGCTATAAACGTTCAATCCTTGTCTACCCCGGACAAATTATTCAACACTAGCATAATTTTGGTAAGGTCACAGCATGGATCTTGTATGTTTATCATCGAAAACAATCATCACCTTTCCAATAACTTTCCTATCCTTGATGGCAGAAAAGGCAAGGTTGGCCTGCAAAGATAAGCATTTGTTTAAATCAGATTGTATTGAAAATCTATGAAGCACAGAGATGAAGGTTGAGACAAATGATACCGATTTCTAAATATATATACCAATTTCTCATGAAAATACATATAACTTATAAATTCAACCAATGTATGAAAATGATTTAATTATGATCTAATGACAGTGTAAACAGTTTTGCATAATCACCCAATTAGGAAGTTAATAAAATTTAAACTGAACTTGTGAATAATACAACAAAAAGACACCAAACTACGATTAACAATAGATAGATATACAGCTTAATCATATTTACAATTAACTATTTGTGACCTTACAACTACTATATCAGGTAGTATGATAAATGTTTTATAATTGCAGAGGCACATATAAAACCTTACCTGTTCTCCCACCGTTTTCCTTAAAAGAAGGACCTTTGTAATTGCCAATTTGGTCCATATGGGCTATCGAAGAAAAGGTACATAACTAAAATTTTTCATATTTTCTTTAATCCCTATGATACTAGGAAGAAAACAAACAAATCCTTTATTTCACCTCCTCTAAGACTTTAGCCTAGCTCAGTGCTTTTTATAAACTAAACCTTAAGCTAAATGACCCCAGTGACAAAGTCTCTTTCGAAAAAACATACATTAATCTCCAACGTTCTATTAGAACCTAGGCAAATTTCATGACAAAACAACAACCTCTGTGAGAAAGGGTAGAAGCATTAAACCAGACCACAATAGTGACGGAGAGATGATTGCCCCTCCATGTGCAAGGTTAAACTGAATTCACCTTTGACCTGAATATGGCCACTAATATGCTGATTTTTAGGTATAGTAAATAGTGAAATATCTAAAACAAATACTTATCTTGGTTTCAGCAGTAGTAAAATCTCTTTAAAATAAATGGATACCTCTTGAAATGTTATATAATTAGAGAAAAGAGAAAGTAGGACACAAATTAGTAGAACAGTTTTAACAAAGAAATTCCTGACCTTTGAAGGGGGGTATGAATGAGAAATATGGATGGAAATCAAGCCTCTTGCCAACCAAGACAGTAGCTCCTTGACAGAATCTTCAAGAACACCTGGGCGGTGTATTTTATAGCTACCCCAGTAAAGGCCATGCACTGTCCAATTCTGGCACAATAATTTTAAATAAAAGCAATCATAACCAACAATTTATACCATCAATGGTAGAATTCATGTGAATATGTACTGTAGGAAGCAAAACCGAAGAAATAAGTTTAAAGATCCAAAGTTCTTACTAGTTCCGTTTGATGTTGATATATGTAGCATTTTCAGCCACAAAGAGTGTAATAGTGATTTATTCTACAGGGCTTTTGTAGAGTACCACTGCACATTAACTTTGTTTTTATTTATCTTAAAAAATGTTGTAGATTATAATTCAAAAATTAAAAGATTTTTTCTTTTCTTTTGAAAATTACCAGTTAAATCTGGTTTTGGGCCGGTTATGAAAATGTCTGGTTTTTTAGAATTAATAAACCAGTCACTAGGTCTATTCCTAGTCAAATCGGTCGAATTAGTCAGTTTGGTTCAGTTTCAAAATCATGGTACTGGATATTCGTATAATATATATCTACACCACACCTTCCATGTAGTGTTATACTGTAAAGTATAATAGCAATTTTCTTAAATTTCATAAACTATTTTTTCTCCATCAAAAAAGGGTGGGGAGACTCAATTGGTGCCCAATATTGTGCATCATACCAAGCCAGATGGAGCATTTTCATTAATATATGCAAATAATTAATAAACACAATAATGCATAGTTAATGGAAATGCCTAGGCAAACTCAAATTTGTGTCTATATGACGATACATATTCAGGTTACAGCTCAAGGTATTTGCAAGCAAATAAAAAGATGATTCAATCACAAGGAAGCAAATGCATGAATTGTTTTTATGCAATGGCCTGGGTACATGTAGTTAGAGACATTTATTTGAGAAGCCAAGTTGGGATGCCTTTTGGTTTGTTAAACAACAGAAGCAACATTCGTTGTGTTAACGGCAACAAAGAGAAAGAAGACATTGAATCAAAATCAATGTGGCAGCCAATTTTCAGGCACAATGTGATTAAGTTCAAATTTCAAATTTTGTGAATTGCATAATGTGATTACAAATTTAAAGTTTATGTGAATAAAGCATGACCAGATCAAGCAACAAGGATAGAATAATTTAACGATCAAGCAAATTAAGTTAGACAAGATAAATTCATGGTCTGGAACTTCATTCTCACTGTACCTTAACAAGAGCTATGTTAACAGGGATGACAGGAATTTCGCCACTTGCAAACCCGATTATAAGAATGTTAGCTCCCCATTTTAGAAGCCGCAGAGATTCTTTAGTGAGCTTGCCTCCAACTGGGTCATACAGAACATCAATCCCCTTAAGCTTTCTAGCTTGAAGGAACTTCTTCACACTCTCAGTAACACTTTCATTACCCAAGTCCACCACATGATCAACACCAAGAGATTTCAAAAGCTGCACCTTTTCATTTCCCCTGATTCCGGATCACAAAACAAAAAAGACTCAACTCAATAGTAGATGAGGGTAACTATTAAATGTTTGATCATCCAAAATCACAATGAAATATCAGCTAATGTGATTTTAGATGATCCCTGCATGAAAAAATTGATTCTAAATCCAAAATTGATCGCGAGTTGAAGTAACTTTTGCTTTGGATAAAACATTTTACACTGAATTTTACTACTAACATCTTTTTAGAATAGACACATAAAAGCATAAACACCTTTCACTTCAAAATCAATTTCAACCAAATAGTATGTTTGGATTCCCATCAATGATGTGGGGACGTGGATCACTGACTACGTGTTTGGTTCTATTTCTATCCACCCTAATTCTCTCCTCAAAATATCAATCGGGACAGGACCTTAGCCATTATTCCACTCTACCATACGCAATTCATATATCAACAGTAAAAAGAAAAATGACTACCTAGCAACAGCAATGACAATGGCCCCACAAGCTTTTCCAATTTGCACAGCAGCAATTCCCACACCCCCGGCTGCACCCAAAACCAACAACACCTGCAACACAGTTCCACGACTCATTTAACCACAGAGACAGAACAATAAGCATTATACATGTCCAAAAGCAAGTGAATCAAATTAAAAGCATAAATACATCAACATTACCTATAATAAGTGCTAGAGCAAAGGAAACAAAGGAAGCTCTTTAACAAATATTGTTGGTTGACAAAATTGTGTTTTGGATTAATCAATTAATGAACTTTAGTTTGATTTTATTGCAAGTTGTAATAAGGGTCCAATTGAAAATTTAGTTATCAGTCTTTGGGAGACCAAGAGGGTGCATAGCTAATTGACTTTTGGATGCCATAATTTTAGTTACAATCAATCATTAAGTAGTTTTCAATTCCTAGGTTAATAAATCATTATTAGTATTTATTTTTCTTTAATGAATATTTGTAACTCTGATGACAAAGTTTTTTTAAAAGCTGAACCATTTTTATCAGAAAGAACAAGTTGAGTTTTATTTTTAAAAATATTAGAGTTTATCTCTTTTATCTTAGTGAGAGTGATTCTCCTAAGTTCTTTAGTGATTCAAGAACCCTTGGCTGTATCAAAGGATGTTGTGAGTTGCCTTTCTTGGAAAGAGTGATTATTTCCTTCCACCTTCTTTCTAATTCCTAAATTTCTTACAAGATTCTAATCTTAAAGATCCTAAATTATCCCCTTGTGATTCATATCAAAAGGTATTCAGAGTCCTGATTTAAAGGTTTGAACATCAAATTGATGACAGAGGAGGATAAAAAGAAAATAAGAGAAAAATTTCTTCAACAAATGATAGAAAAAATAAAACATTAGTGAAACACTTGAAGTGAAGGAAAGTTATTTAGCCATAAAAAGTGAGTATAATGTTTGTTCTATATTTAATTTGTCAGACTTATCTCTTTTTAATGTAGATGACGAATCCGATTTGAGGATAAATCCTTTTCAAGAGAAAGAGAATGATGTGAACATGACCTAAAGACTAGAGCAAAGGAAACAAATAAAGTACTTCAACAAGTATTGATGATTGACCAAATTGTGTTTTAGATTAATCAATTAATAGACTTTAGTTTAATTTTATTGCAAGTTGTAATTTATAACTATGATGGTAGAACTTTTTTATAAACTGAACCATTATTTTTTATTAGAAAGAACAAGTTGAATTTTATCTGTACAAATATTAGAATTTATCTCTCTTAACTATGAAATTGATTATCCTAATTTGGTTGTATAAAAGAACTTTCAGATCCTTTATCAAATGTCTTCCTTAAATTTCTTACAAGTTCTTTTGTTAAACATCCTAATTACCCATTGATTCATATCAATACCTGACCGGAGGTCAATTGGGCCCTGTGCACGAGTGCTACGTGAGAAGTGCCAAAAGCCACAGGAAGTGCTCCAGCAGCAACAAGATCACAACCTTGGGGCACCTGAAACCTTCAAAGGCAACAACTTTACATTAAGAAACTCCTAAACCTAACATTAAAAGGTAGCAGAAGCGTAATCTCACAATTGAGACTCGTCAACGACGACGAACTGAGCGTAGGAGCCGAGGCCGACGAAGGAACAAACAGGGTCCCCGACTCGGAAGTTCGAAACTTTGGGGCCAACGGCGTCTACGTAACCGGAATAATCGGAGCCTGGGATGAAGGGCAAAGACGGTTTCTCTTGGTACTTGCCCAATATCTGCAAGTAATTGGCGAAGTTCAAGCTTGTGGCTTTGATTCTGACTCTTACAGCGGTGGGAGAATCGAGTCGGGGAATTGGGTGATTCTTCGACAAAACTATTGGGCTATCGTTGTCTTCCAAACTCACCGTTGGATCACCCAGTTTTCTGCACAATAGTGCCTCCATTTCTCTCTGTTGTCTTGGATTCGTCAGAGAAATATTTCTGCAAGGAAAAAAATTTTGACGTCAAGGAAGTATACAAGTACAAACTTTCCCTTTTATTATTTAAGTTTTACACAATAATTTTAATCAGAGATCGACATTTCATCGTGGATCTCGTTACTTCAAGGGAAGAGGCACATGTAGACAGAAAATAAGGGGAGTTCTATTGTAAAAGCTGATCAATTTATCGCATGTAGCAATGTATATGATATTGACTACAAAGGAAGAACTAAACTGAATTAAATATAAATTAAAAAGTCATATATAAATAAAAAAGTCATATATTTAGAGTATTTTCTGTAATTTAATATTGTTTGTGGTTAAAACCTTTATTAGTGTCAGGTTTACGTGGCACTGTTGTTTACTTATGTCAGTGTTGCTTGGTGGTTGCATTCTATCATTTGAGAAGCATAGAGCTGCTGAAGCTGGATCGAATTCGAAGAAAAGCTGATCGAAAATTGAAGATATTGGGGTGAGATGATGAGGGTAGGAGTGTTTTGTGGGGAACTAGGTTTTCGTACCCCTCCTCCTCCCACTCTCTATTTATCTCATGGCAAAGATTCTACACTTTCATATACACATAAACATCCTTCTCCTCCTATATCTCCAAACTATGCTACTTACAACAAACCATTTGTTGCTTCTGCTTCTTCAGCTCCATCACTTAGCGGTTCAGGAGCTGAATATTCCGGTATAATTATCTTCAACTTCCCCATGTCCTCATTTCTGTTTTTCGTTTTTCTTCTATGTTATTTAATGCCCGCTTGTAGTACCGTGAATTGTCGTTGCTTCCCTTTCTGTTTCTTCCTATTTTATAGGAGGAAACACCCATGAATTATCGGAGAAAAAAAAAAACTACGTAAGTTCCATCATTTTCTATAAAAAATAAAAAATTTTAAAAATTAACTTTTTTTTTCATTTGGGTTTTACTTTTTCAATTAGGAAAAAGTCGTTATTGTTGCTAGGTTACTTACATGTGTGCTTTATGTTGAACCCTATATCCGCAGAACAGTTGGTGGACGTGGGAGCCAAAAAGAAAAAGAAAGGGATAGCAGGCATAGATCAGGGGGAATTAATGGATCCAAAGCTTTTGGCTGATCTAGACAGTTGTTTTTGTGAGTTCAATGGAGTGCATATACACCACAAGATATGTGATGCGGAATCCCAAACACAAAGCACGTTCCAGAGTCAGACTGTTTCTCATCAAATCAAGAAGCTAGGCTATCCTATGATCCTCTTGCATGGGTTTGGAGCTTCAGTTTTCTCATGGAAACACGTTATGAAGCCTTTGGCAGAGGTTGCTGGTTCAAAAGTTCTTGCTTTTGATAGGCCAGCCTTCGGATTGACATCAAGGGTAAATTTATCTAAGCATCCTTCTGCTGAAACGGAAGACACAAAACCTTTAAATGCATACTCAATGGCATTTTCCGTGCTTGCTACCCTGCACTTCATTAAATTGTTAAATGCTGAGAAGGTGATTCTAATGGGGTATGTGAATATTCTTTCTTCTGTTTTGCTAAGTGGCTTTGTTTTTCTGAAGCATCAGGCAGTTTTCAGCAACGCAAGTAAATCATAGTTCCCACTATATTTATAACATGACAACTAAAGGAGTGATAATAAGTTGCATGCCTGCGTATGGATATGCATTTGATTGTCTTACATTTACGAGTTGGTGATTAATATGATGTCATTTTTCAAATCATAAATTTTAAATTGATCAACTTTTCTTTTTCACCATTCTGAAGTAGTGATCATGGTTTACAGAGTTGGAAATTGTAACATGAATGCCCCCTGTAGGAAAAATAAAATTAAATATATTTCTTTCCTTTTGTTTATCTTAACCTATCTGTCCATTGAAGCCGTATCTTCATGCTGTACGGACTAATAACGATGTAAAGAAATATATATATTCATATGCCTATGCTCATTGTCCTTCCTAGAAGCTGAAATGTCTCCAAAATGACATGCCAGGCACTCAGCTGGTTCACTTGTAGCAGTTAATACATATTTTGAAGCTCCTGAGCGTGTTGCGGCTCTGATCCTAGTTGCCCCAGCAATTTTTGCCCCACTTACTACACCAAAAGTTGTAAAAGGAAATCAATCAAGGCATGATAACCAAACGAAAGAAGAAGACAGTTCTATCAGAAAAAATCCAATTTTGGGGCTTTACGAGATGTTGTCCAAGATTGCCAAGTACATTGCAGAGGCAATAACACAGATGATGAAGTGGACAATAGATATCCTCAACTCCTTGTATAGGAAATTGTTATCAGCTATCCTTCGTTCTTCCCTAGCAATAATGCTGGTAATAAACTTGTTCATTGTAATGCAGTACCAATATTCAATTAAGTTTTCTTAGCCTTGTTGGTTCAATCATTTTTGGAAAATAAATATTAGCAAGGAATTATTGGCTCAAGTACAACTACACATATGAAAAAAACATCCAATCGGTTGTTATTTCATATAATTCCTTTTCTTCAATTTTGATTTTATTAATTCATAGATTGAAATGTAAATTTAATGTACAGACGGTAAGTTGCACAGGGAAAATCGGGTTATATTGTTTTTTGTTTTATTACTCTTTTGCATATTTTGGCTTCTGTATTTGGGTAGACTGTAATTCTTAAACCAACATGGTTAATAATTTGTGGTGAGTCTTGCCTGATGGACTGATGGCCCTTTTCTTGACATGAATCACAGGTAAGAATGGTAATTGATAAGTTTGGTACTGCTGCAGTTCGAAATGCATGGTATGACCCAAAGCAGGTCTCTGAGCATGTACTTAGTGGTTATACAAGGGTAATCTTACTGATTTCCCATTTTCTTATTGTCACTTTTTCTTTCTGTCATACTCAAATGGTTAGTTCTGACCTGGTTGTTAGCCATAAATACAGCCTTTAAGGGCTAAGGATTGGGATAGGGCACTGGTGGAATACACTGCAGCAATGCTTCTGGATGAGGAATATAAAACCAAGACACCACTTTCTAAAAGGCTTCACGAAATATCATGTCCTGGTAAATGTCATTAATCATACGTATTACCCACTTTCATTTGCATTTTTTTCTGCGCGTGTTGACTTTTGTCTTTGAATACCTGATTACTAATAATAGGCAGTAAACTAAGAGAGATGGAAGACTTCCTAGAGTGGAAATATGCAGTAATTTTAGTGGCAATAGCTGGTTTATTTATGCTTTCACTAGAGATTAACCAAAATGGAATGAGGCTCAATGGCTCTTACCTTATTTATTATCTGTTCAATCCACTGCGTACGTTTGTGCTAATATCAAATATTGATCATGAAAATGTTTAATTGACAGAATGGAGCTGCTAAGTGCGAATCATTGTTACTAGAGATTTCAAATAAACTGGGAAATCAATCAGCTTACTTGTTTATTGATTTGTTTTATAGTTACTAGTTTATTACCTTGGATTTTGTGTTCTTGTTCCTGAATTTATGTCAAATGCTGCAATTCTTTCCATTAGCAATCTAAACCTGCTTAATAGCTTAGTTGAATATTGAGCATAATTGGTGATGGTTGTTTGAATAAGCAGTTCTGATTGTAACTGGTGATACTGACCGACTAGTCCCTTCATGGAATGCTGAGAGACTTTCACGAGTTATACCAGGAGCATCATTCAAAGTAATTAAGCAATGTGGCCATCTTCCCCATGAAGAAAAAGTGGAGGAATTCATTTCAATTGTTGAAAACTTCCTAAGAAGTTTAGTGGGTGATTCAAACGAACAATGTCTACAACAAGCTATTTGAAATTCTTACTACTCAAGCTTTACCATTTGTCTGCATAGAAGATTTATATTACTTGGCAGGTGCAAATGCAGTTTGATCAGATGGGCAAAGATTCATTAAAGGCACATTGATGCACACTCATTAAATTCATCAGGTCGATGATCTCTAAGCAATAACCTATAACTCAATTTTATTATATCACTGCCAAATTGCTGTAGTGCATTAGTACTTGTAGAAATCCTCTTTATGTTTACCAGCCAGAATGATCTGTAAGTTCAAATTATTGGCCATTCAACCCTAGCATAAATGTCTCTCGGATGTAAAAAGACTTACCATTTAACAAGTGATACTTAAATTATGTATTTGATTTTGGAATGTGGCTAACTTCAGGCAGGGAAGCACATGATTTAGCCGTTGAATTTATTGGTAATTGCAGTTTTTTTTATTTTAATTTAATAGACATTTTAATATATACAATAAAAACATTATTAACAGACAGGATCTTGCATAGTTCGTGATTCATGATTTTTTATATTAAGATTCCATTTTCTTGTGTCAAATATTATGAAGTTACTAAAGAGAACGAGTTGTCACTGAAAGAAAATATTGCCAGTTACAAAGTAACAAATTACTTGATCTTTCTGCCCTGTCAATGAAACTCGCATTTCTCTGAAAAAAGTACACGTAAGAATGTGGAATTGGAACCCGGATACAATGACAATGAAGGGTTTGCTGGAAGGCTGTGAACAGCCAAATATAATTACTTAAATCTGATCAATGCTTGTTCAGAAAGGAGGATCCGTATCTAGGTTGAACCTAGAATCTCCTAGGCCCTGAGGAACATCAAACCCCGACATGAAGTCATCACCAAAGATTACAGCACCGGCAGCTAGTGCTCCAGCACCTAACCCCATTACAACTCCTGCAGGTACCCTCTGACCAGGGGCTGCCCTGGTTGTTGACCTGTAGCTTGGAGACAAGCCATCATTTCCTGGGAGAAAGGTGGGAATATAGCCAACATTTGATGGTGGGGGCGGTGGAGGAGGTGTTATTGTTCTTGGCAGCAGATAGCTTGGTCCAGCTGCCTCATGGTAGCTTGGTTCACCCACCTCATGGTAGCTTGTTTCTCCCTTCTCATGGTAGCTCGGTTCACCTACCTCATGGTAGCTTGTTTCTCCCATCTCATGGTAGCTTGGTTCACCTACCTCATGGTAACATGGTTCACCCATCTCATGGTAACATGGTTCACCTACCTCATGGTAGCATCTTTCACCCATCTCATGGTAGCTTGCTTCACCCACATATGGATCATAATAGTTTGTAGTGGTGAATGGCCCTGAATGGTGGTAGTCTGGGATATTTGTTTGTACATGATCTTCTGGCTGATGGATTGAGGCCTGAGGCTTCCGACGGTATGCTTGCCTTACTCCTCCCTCTATGTTGAATTGGGTACTGTCTGCATCATCTAAGAGCAAAATTCCATCCTTGTTTCCTTCAGAACAAATTTACAGCGCAAGATTATGCCAAGAATCTTCCAAAAGGCTAGGGATAAACTTAAACCAGACTCTCAACTTCCTCTAAAACTAGGCAACCCCTTGTAAATAATTTAAAATAAGAGTTCGCTGAAAGGTGTGGAACAAAATAAGATTTATAGTTAATGTAGAAGAGCAGCTAACATGTTACGTTGTGAAATATGAAATGATCACATACCTGATTGGGAATTTGGCTCTTTCTTTTTGTCAGAAATACGAATTAAAATGTCGATGAAACCTCTTGGTTGGTTGGATTTCTTCTTTCGTAATTGGTAGCTTCCAACTTCTTGTTGCTTGGGATTGTAGACTTTAGAATTCTTTACCTGCTTGACAAGAAACTCTCTGAGAAAAACTGTTGCTGAGCCATGAAGCTTTTCCGTGAAGAATATGGGGTCTATACTGTAAACTTCGACGTTCAGTGCCAAATCTTGGAGATTTGGCGCTGAGTCATCAACAGGAATGACAAACTTGGTTCTCCACACAGGATTTGCACTCCCTGAATCAACAACTTTAGTGCAATATTTGCTGTTAAGATCAATCCATCCAACAGCAAACCATTGACGCTTCCAAAGTGAGGTTGGTTGCTGGAGTCCATGTGCAGATATCAAGCAGACCTCCACCCATATTATCCCCATAGAAAAAGCAGCAATGAAAAAACGAGATGTGGAAGGGATGTTGTCTACTGTAAGCTTCCTTAGATGAGGAGTTGCGCAGGAAAAGAAGTGAATTTTTTTGCGGTATTTCAAAGGATGCTTTACTTCGATATCAGAAATTCTTCTATACCAAAACTCTGTTTGGGGTACCCTATGCGTAGTTGCTGACGTTCCCCCCACACACACATTACAGGCATACAGGAATCTGGTACAGTCGTAGAAGGATTTAAAATAGCTCTCTAAGGATTTATTTTATCAAATAAGTCTCTCAAAGAGACAAATCAGCTATCAAATTTATCCTAATTTGTCACACCATTTCAATCTTTTACAAAGATTTTTTTTTATTGGCTAGATTTAGAGAAAGAATAATTTTAAAGGACTGAAGGGAACACAAATTTAAATTAGGATCATTTTGGCAGTTTACTCTATATTTGGACTTGCTCTGTACAAGTGTGTTATTTCCAGAAGCCACAACTTCTACCACGTTTACACTGAAAGCGTAGGGGGAAAATCCATGCAATTACAAATTTTACCAATCTATGAGTTGAATTTACACATACAATGAAAGACGTAAAAAATGGTAATGTCAACCTTCTCTAGCTGATCATACAACAATCTTTTTTGCTCACTGTTTTATACAATATAGTTTGACTCTTTATACTACCGTTTCTGAAGTTCCATTGGGTCCCTCAATAAGAGGTGGAACTAACAATAGCTTTTTGCCTATTCACCTTCCTGGGTTACTGACGGATCAGATCTTCTATACATCATGGTTGTAGAGGCCAAACTGTCGTTCCCAAATCCACATGCCTTAAAAAATAACCTAAAACAAGTTGAAAGCATCATGCGCTGTCCACATAAATTTAAAATTAGAAACTCTTTGAGCAATGAACAACCTTTCATTCTCTGAGCAAAGGGCTGATATGTCGTAGATATCTCTATTTGTAAGCACTCTGCAAAAGGAGGAAGCCATTTTCAGCCATTTGATGATTTGTCTCTATCTATATTGAAAAACAAAAAAAAAGAAAGTACCATTATGCTACAAGGTATATGACCAAGATAAAGAAGAAGGATAACTACTTATGCTATCACCCCTCTTTTGATATTGTTTTTCAATCCCAAGCAGAGTTTTACCTAATATCTTATGCTAACAATTAATACAAACCTATATTAAGTACTTCTTCTACTTGGATATAAGTAAAAAATGCCAAAACTTGTTGCTCTATAGATAAGTTTCAACCAATTCAACTTTCATTTAATGTACTTACACCAAACACATCCCTAAGTTATTTCAAATGTGAGTACTATGATACTATTTCTAATTTATTTTTTTACAAGTAGTTTAGAAAATATTTTTCTTTTTTACATGAAATTAAGAAAATTGAATGAAGATAACTAACATTCTTTTAATATGAAATTAAGTAAGTTTGTTTATATTTAAGTGTGAACGAACTTACTAACAAGCAATGCAAGTGCATCTTAGTTTGTACGTCGAAGACAAAATTCTAAACTACTGACAACTAAAACATGACAATAATAACTTCATGGTCAAGAATCAGATCTCATCCACAAGTGCGCATACCTCGTAATTTTTTTTACTATCATCTTACCAATTCCCATTCTCTGCAGGGAAGGAATAACCTGCAACAGACTGAACCAAGTTCATAAACGCACATTAACAAATACATTACACTAACTAAGAACAAGCGTTTATTCATTTTCTTTCACTTCTTTATTACCATGACATCGTAAATCGATGCGGTGAGGCCACAATCGGAAATGGCGCGGCCAAACCCCACCAATTGATCGCGTGAAGGAGAAACCGGCGTTAAGAAATCCTCGATTAAAGACGATGATGAGTTGCCGTGATATGGAACGACGTCGTTTACATGGCGGAGGTTGCAGAAGACGGAGACAACCACGGCGCTGTGAGACAGAGCAATGCGGAGTTTGTGGATGTCCACGGGTTCGGGTTCGGCTCGGGTGGGAATTTTTTGGGTAGAGTAGTTGCAATCGGCGAAGAGGTCCCGGAGACGGTGAGGATCGACGTGACGCGGGTCTGTGGAAATGTAAATTGGGAAAAGCGGGCTCAACGGCTTCATCGTCTTCTCGAGCTGTGAGCTTTTGCTGATTCTTCGACTCACCCATTTCAATTCCATGGATTTCGAACCAAAACCCTCTAACACGTGCTTCTCTAAGTGTAACTGCTTTTGTGCTGCAACCCCCATTACCACCATTTCTATTCTCGTGCTCGCGCAATGCAAGAAGTTTCGAACGGATAATGAAACTGAATCTGCCACTTCAATTCCCACCACACCAATGTTTAATTTCTTGTCTATAGAAAAAATATTTATTTAATTATTTATTTTATTTTTCATAAAAAACAATTTCTTGTGTTACGCATTATATAACTTTTTTACTTTGTTTTTTATAATTCCAATAATATCTTTTTAACTCAATTTTTATACAGATAAAACTTCTTGCTTTCTACGTTTAAGTGAAATTGTTTTAAAATTGTAAACTGATTAAGTTAATATGTTAAAAGGTGATGAAAAATTGCGCTATTAAAGAAGTTTATAATAATATTTCAATGTTAAGTATGAGAATAAATATATAAATATAAATTATGAGTATATAGGGTTATATGAGATTAAGATGTATGACATCTATTTATTGGTTTAATTATTAATGGGAATAGTGAAATACAAATTATTTTTCTATGAAGTGTTTGGCTAGTGAAGAAAGGTGGAAATCATGTAAATGAAGAGCAATCCTATATAAGAAAAAAATAAATAAATTAAAAGATAGGAAATTTGATCTTTAATTTTTTTATCATATGACATTTAAATGTGTGAAATAGGTTAAGAAAAATCATACAACTTTAAAATATGAAAATATGTGGAGAACAATTATAGTTTGTAAAAACATGGATATTTTTTTCCTTGACATTTTGTGTTTTGTAGAAGCTTGTAAACTTTTTTATGAAAATATAATAAAATATTTTTTCCCACTAGAACATTGGATCGCCAGAGGTTGGTGTAAGCAAGAGTATTATGATATGGTCACTATCCATAAATAACCGAGCAAATAACAAAGATCTAAAAGAAAAGGATTTTAAGTGAAGAAGAAACTCTTCTATAACCTAAGCAATAGTTTTGTGTCTACAGAGAACACATACACACTATGTCAAAGAAAAACCAAATGCTTGCACGTTCACTAGAGTTGATTTTATTTGTGTCATCAACTACGAGTCTGTCAAATCTTCTGAATGAGAATATCAACACCATGTCCTGGTTCCACAATCATTCTATATGCTGGAGAATGCCTATAATTAGGAGACAGAGAGACGCTAAACTTGGAGATGATAAGAGCTAGCACAACCTTCAGTTGAACCAATGCAAAGTTCTTTCCCAAGCACAAACGAGTACCCAACCCAAATGGCACATAAGCATGTGGAAACTTGCAGGCCTTGGACACTCCCTCACTGAACCTTTCTGGTTTAAACTCATTTGCATCTGGTCCCCAAATTTCAGGATCTCTGTGCAGGGTTGGGATCAGAGTCCATAAACAAACACCCTTAGGAACATTGAGGTTTCCAATTTGGATATCTTCGTATGCCTCCCTTGACACAAAGGCTGCTGGTGGGTATAAACGAAGCACTTCTTGAATCACCATAGCCCCCTGTTAACAGCAATCAACCACAAAGAAAATGATTCACAAATTGTCAAAATATGTGAAATCAAATGGGATTTGAGGTACGCTAAATCCTTCCTTTAGGATAGAGTATGCATACAGAGAAGAAGAAAATGGTTTATTTCACCAAACTGGCAATGGAAGTGAAAAAAAATTTAACATATCATAATGTTATGCTCAAATGTTGTGTTTATCTATTTCTTGTTAGACAATAAATAGGTGCATAGCAAAAATCGGGTCATATACTTATAATTTGAGTTAACATAGCCTTTGTCTAATAGAAGTTAAAACTATTAGTATAAAATATCACTAACAAGAAAGCTAATAGCCAATTTAGTGGAATCTATTTAGTACTTGATGATAGAGTGGGAAATATAAAATTTAAGCATGAATTGTATATGAAAAAACTCAATCTCTTAAACATGAATTGTAAAGTAATATAGTGTATACATGACATGGTATAGTTGATAGATAATCATGTCTCTTAAACATGTGATTGAGAATTTAACACCATAGTTTATGTAAATGAAAGAACATCTAGAGAGAAAGCAACCCCCTAAATAGATTTCAATACTTCTAAAAAATAATCTTTTGACTCTTAGCTAAAAGTACCCCATGTTCACTCAACTCAAAGAAATCATTAGTATGTGCTAGCAAGGAGAGCATTTTCAAGATAATGACATGCAAGACTAATTATATGCTTTCTCAAAACCAAACACAATGTATACCGTTTTCATCAGAGCGACAGAATCTGCATCTGGTATGCCATTGGGGCAAAGTTCAGCCACCTCAGACCTTAAACGAGTCTGCCATTCTGGGTGCAATGCAAGAAGCATCAAACACCAAGAGGCTGCAACAGCCGTGGTTTCATGGCCAGCAAAGTAGATGTTTTTGCAGTTATCCACAATGAACCGCTTGGAAAAGTCCTTCCCAAGACTCTGATCAGTCATGGCTGCTTCCAACAGTAACTGCATCAAATCCTTCTCTGATGAGGATGCCTCTGAGCATTCCCTCTTGCGTTCCTCCACTAACTCCCATATCAGTGACTCAATCTCTTTCTCCAAACTCGTTATCTCGTTTTGCTTCTTTGACGTGAAACTCAGTTTGTCACTGCCATTAATTAATAATAACAAATAAGTTTTAGGCCACAGTTAAAAACACACGATTTTTAGCTGCTTTGTGATGTGCATGTACAAGGCCTTTAAAACACACTCAAGGTTATATAGATTTGAGATAAAAACTAATTAGAAATTTAACTTGTGTACCTCACATTATATGATGTTTTTTTGGTTTTAGTGTTACAATACAATTATGCAGATATACGTGTGGGAATGTAAGAGTTGTACTATAAGATAGTATTTTAAAAGGGTAAAATGCATTTTAGTTCTCTCAAATTTTGGTTGAAATTGATTTTCGTTCTAACATTTTAAAAATAGTGGTTTTGGTAGGTTTCCTATGTATGAAATGTGCCACCTTGCACACTTTATTTTTGAACTGGCAAAAGAACAATATCTACCACATTTTAGAAATACAAGAACCAAATTCACTGTTTCTAAAATGTAAGAACTAAAACTAATTTCCACCAAATCATTGAGTGACTTAAAACATATTTTATCAATTTTAGAATAATACAAGCTTGGCGTACCGGAAACTGCTGAGGCCGAAAAGGAAGCCACCATGCTTGGACATGGCCTTCTGTATGCTTCTAAGCTTGGAGAAGACTTCCTTTCCCTTGGAATAAGAATGGCCAAAGCAAACCCTTGAAATAACATCAGCTGAGAAGCCTCTCAAATCTACATCCACTTTAACTTCAGCTGTGGCACTTCCTTGGCTCTCAATTAGTTGCTCCCATTTCCGTAGCAATGGCTGTGCTGACTCTATCATTAGCCCCACCATACCCTGTAATGCATTGTCATCAATTTCACTGTCTTTCCAAGAATCATTTACTAGATTTTAAATATTAGAAATGTTAACATACTCTCTTATTATATTATTCCATTGATTTATCATTTGACTATTAAAGCAAACAGATAGGTAGGGACATCACTTTCATTTCCCTCCAAACAATTGAATCAAGAATTAAATTATAGAGCAGGTACAACTGCTACTACCAGGTGATAGTCTTTTGTGTGAGGGAGGTATTGCATATGAATGGAAGTTACTACAAAATGCAAATGTGATTGTGCATGGGGCAAATAATGTATCACCAAATGATAAAATAATAATAACGTATTACTGTACCCTTCTAAACATGTCACAAAGCAAGGCAGATACTACTACTATATATGGGCAAAATGACCGGAAGAAAGATTGCATGTTGAAAGAAAACAAGATAATTGTTGTATCAATTGAATTTTTTTGACAAAATCATTAGTGGCCTAAATTAACCCCTACTTAATTCAGATGAATTAGAAAACTAAAGTATCTTACATCTATAATAATTAAATAATTATTTTTTTCTAGGAATTGATATCTCAGTGACAAAAAATAAGGACCAATTTGGACATTTATTCCATCTTTTAGCTGCAAATATAAACTGACAAAAATAGTGAGTAGTAAATAGGCAAAGGGTGTGGTGAGGTATTGATAGACAGTTAAAAATGCATATATACCTTAACTTTGTCCTTGAAGAACTCAGCTGCAACAAGTTTCCTCTGCTGTGACCAACTGAGACCGTTGGCTCTCAAAATGCCATTGCCAAGCATAGGTGCAAGTTTGTTTGTTATGTAAGTAGGCTTACCCAAATCCAGAGTGATGCACTGATTCATTTCTCTCACTAGATCTGGTTGGTTCACATACAGGTGTTGCTTCATCCCTGTGGAGTAAGTGTACAGTTTACCTGCAAGACCAAACATTCATGTCTCCTAATCAGTAACTGTTAGAATAGATGCATAATGCACACCATGTACAACTTTTGATCATATATACTATAATAATGAGAGAGAGACTTGATGTTAGTCCTGTTATTACGTGGGCCCCCATTTAGTTATCACATTTTTTAGTATATTCTGAGTTTTATTTTTTTTAATAAGTTTTAATCTATGATAGATTATATGTTAAAAGGTCTGAGACTGTACAAGTATATGTTACTATAACTTTTTGTGGAATAAAGGAAGAAAGAGAAGGAGGAAACTATGAGATAAAATAATCAATAGGAAAATGTATAGTATACATAAATTAGAGTTTCTATATAGCCTACAGCAGAGGCCCATGAGTACCCAAATTAAAAACACAACAGCTGTAAAGTTAACAACTCCAAATGTATTTGTCACCGTGGCTTGCACTAGATGCTACATGAAATTTAACATTTAGTCGTACAGTTAAGATATGATATGAATCAATTTTCCTCAAAAAATTTAATGATATGACATGAATCCACAGAGGGTGGCAGTGCTTGACTTTTGCCTAGGAGTGGACAACTTGTTGTTGGCTATATATCCTGCATAGTTTAGATAATAAGAATTTTGCAGAACAGTATACGTTTTTAGTAAAAGATAAGATATCCATGTATCTTGTAGAGCCCACATTGGTCAAACTTATTATTATCTATGTTTATTTGTTAAGTCCTTTTTTTATCCTTTCTATTTTGCATCGATTGCATGTAACTTAGACTAAATTTCAAAGAGAGTGGCTATGTATACAGAGAACTTTAAACTATTTGGTACTATTGCTTTTTAGTCAACAGTTAAATGAGCTAAACAGAAAAGATATATATATATATATATATATATATATATAAAGATAGAGAGATTCTCTCTAACAATTCCAAAACCTGTTCAATGTTTCCATGGAATTTTCTAAATTTCAATTCAATTTTAGTTATGCATTCTCAACAACAAGTAGTGAAGAAACTATCTTGTTTTCTGCAAGACAATAATATAAATGGTCAAATAAGGAAGAATGTTTCTTTCTGCTTATTCTCTTCACCTAACAAATGGTCACATAACTGAAATCATAAATAATCATCAGTTACAGCCTCCAACTGAAAGATTATATTAGCATAATGTTTAGATTAATTCAGAACAATTGAAAAAAAATGTTGAATCATAATCCTTAATTACTCAAAAGAAGATTGTAAAGGATATGTTCCTTCTTTTCGTGCCCATCATGTATTATTAACTTTTTAAAAGTGTCAAGATCATGCTTGCTTTAGAAAAATCTCTGCTTTTTCTCTGTCATCCCAACCCTCCCATTTTGCAAAGTATCAACACAACAAAGACGAACGAGGAATGTTCAAAAAGACTGCTGTCATGTCTAAATCTCATCCAACCCAGAACCTCCAAATGCGTGAATACAGGGTTTTTTTCCCACTTGGACCTTGGTTTACCGTTAAAGAAGATAACATGGCAAAAACTACAAAAACGTAATACCCACCAAGTCTTCGTAAAGTAAGTGCTCCAACTGAGTAGCACAGTTAGGCATATATGCACTCAGCTAGACTTTCGGTAAAAGTGAGTAACCTATCTCTAAATTCATCATTGCAAAATTTTGAAACTGTACGCCCATGGTTTTTTATAATATACTTTTAGAATATGAAAACATGGATACATTTATTCATAAATAGTTATTACAGGGAAAAAAAAGTAAGAAGATAAAATGATTTCAGAGAAAGTGTTACAGTTTTTAAAGAAGTTTGGTAAAAAAAGATTCTACAAAAGTGTTAAGTCCTTAAGTTAGTGTATGGAAAAAAACTCAAATCAATTTTTTTTTCTTTTATTACCTTTTTGTAAAGAATAAACTTTTTGAAAGAGGATCTAAATCTAAAAACATGCAGAAACTTTAACCAGATTTGCAACTGTCCAACATCCAGAGAACCAGACTTGTTTACATATGTTCTAGAAAGAATTGGTTAAGATTAATGAGACCAAAAGTAAGAGAAGAAGAAGAAGAAGAGAAGGGTACCATATTGTTTCCTCCAGTGTTCAAAATAGGGGAAGAGGGTTGAAGTGTAGTCATGGGCCAGAAACTGATCAGAATGGTTGGAGTTGGAAGTGGAAGCTTTGGCTAGGCTAGCCTGAGTTTGAATTCTCTGCATATCAGGCAGATTCCCATGTAGAAAAGAAGGTGAAGGCCCTCTTATTCCTTGCATTTGAATCCTCTTTCTCACCCTTTGAGACTCATGCCACAAACTACCATATACATAGAGTATCCAGCTTAGAACCCCCACAACAGCAACTGATAAAGCCAGTTTCACTGTATGAAGAACCTCCTCCATCTCTACCCTCCTCTCTGCTGCTTCTTCCTTTCACTCTTGTGATTTAAGTACTACACAACAAAACTTGTTCAGCACACTAAAGCTGTATATATTATATTGTATTATATTAGTATGTCAGGGAGCAAAAGCTGTTTATTTTGGCATGTTGCAGTGTGTTATTATATATATTTGAGCATAGAGTGGGAGTGGAAGAGGAGAGAGAGAAGTGGATTCAGTAAAGGGTGATGAAAGATTCTACAAATGTGATTGGGTTATAAATCACTAGGAAAGTAGACAAGAAGCTGAGAATAAGGACTAGGACAGGAGGACCCGGTGACATTGACATATGCAAAAGATGTAAATATATTTATGAATGAATGCAATATGATATATACATATGTGTGTGCTTTTTTTCATATATGTAACAAAATCGACTTACAATTTCTATTATTTTTAAAATTTAATAATAAATAGAAAATTATTATTTAGGTTGAGATTTATGTCAAATTATAAAATATAAATGAAATACTAATTTTATAAAATTAAGTTAAATTTACATTTATTTTTAATATAATATTCAAATAATATTAATTTTCTAGAATTAAAAACATAATGATATAATAGTTTCCATATTTTTAAATAGTTATAATAATTCTTTATGATTGATAGTATTACTATGGTATATTAAGAAGACTCATGAGTGGTATCAAAAATAGTTTATAATTTTTTCCCTTAGCTCAATATCATATTTCAGATAAGGACAAAATATGTGATGGATGATTTAACTATTAATTAAAGTGGATAATTTAGTATATGTGATGAGCTTAACTATTTTGTAATGTATAGCCTATTTTTTCTAATTTTTTAAGGTGCATTATTAACATATTTTATATAATGAATCATATGAGATATTGTTAGTTTGAAAGATGCATAACAAATGATAATGCAAAGGTATATTGTATTAAATGTTAATCTAATAACTTTTATTTGGCATATAGTACACTGTACTGTAGGGAGCATATTCCTTTCAGCTTTAAAGCTAAAGAGATACCAGTACTTCGTGTAGAAAGATGGTACCAATTCGCCTTCATTTTTATTTCATTTTTTTTCTATGATGAAATTTTGTAAATTATTTTTGTGAAGAACAAAAAATTGATTTTTTGAAGAAGCAAAATTGTTTAATGAACTTAGTAAAAAAAAAACATTTAATGAATTCTGTCAAACAAAATTACATTTAATGAATTGGTCAAAAAAACATTTAATGCATCAGTCAAAAAACATTTAATGCATCAGTCAAAAAACATTTAATGAACTTGTTGCTCGATGGCAAACCCTTATCTTCTGTCAATTTTTGGTGTGTTCTAAAATGGAAGTTCATAGTCCCAATATGCAATCTCTTTCTCATTTCCTCACTTTCTCACTTCGTTAAAATAAATGTATTGTTCAAAACTCTCATGGGTATTTATTTTCCATATCATAATATTTTGTGCCATTTAAGAGTTTCTGCACCAAAATAATATTGATTTTATTTTCTGCAACTTTCTATTTATTATAAGTGTTGTTTACTTTCCTCTTTTTAACTATTTTCCAAAGATGGTGTATTTTATAAGGGTGTCAAATAATTTTTCCCTTAATTTAAAGCAGATTCAATACATAATATTACGTATTTTTCACATTATTTCTCAAGAATTCTCATTCTGTAACGTAATGTTGTGTACTCTGCCAGAGACTTTGCATGGTTTTCAATTTATATGAGTGGTCGTTTTCAACTGTGGCTTACACAGTGTGAAGATTCCATCACTAAATAACAGTGGATACCTCGTCCAGGGTTTTATATTAATTATCTATGTACAAAATAATGCATTGTTTTTTTTAATTTATTTTAATATTTGTATACTGGTTATTTTTTTAATTGATGTAAGAATCTTTTTTACATTGGAGAAAAAAAAACTTGTTTTCCTTGTTTTAGGATGAAAAATGGGGTTTGGATACCTGTAAAAGGTTAATTGATGTGAAAAAATATTTCACCAAATAAAGCCATGACGAAAATATTTTAGAAAATAAGTTTTGTCCTGTCACGATTTTTATCTATTAATATGTTTAAATTCCACTAGATTGTAATTATGAATCTGAATTTAATATTTAATAAATGTATATTTAAAAAATAAAAGAAAGTTTATGGTTTGATGTAAAAGAAAAACGTATATTTTCTTTTTGAAATTTACATTTTCAACTTATTGAAAATTGTATTTCTTTTCTTCCTCTTTTTTCTTTTCCCAAGCTTATCGTAATTTGGTCATGGAAAGCAAAGAGACTAAACAAAATAATTTATAATATAACAAGTTGTTGGACCTGATTATCATGGAGCCTCTCATTTCTCTCTTCTTCTTCTGTTTATTCTACTTCTTCACACTATTGAGTGCTACACAGTTATTAAAACCTTAATTAAACAACTTTTACATTAGGTGAGTATTTATTTACTATTTAGTTGCTTTGTAATTAAGTAAAAAATTAATCCACTTTTTCTTATAAAACTATTATAATAGTTTTATTGAAATAAATTTAAATAATTTATGTACATGTTGTAATTTTGTATGAGATCAAACATCAATATCATAAAATAAGTTGTTTCAAAAATTGCAAATAAAAATCTTTCAAATTCATCTTATATTCAATGAACTTGATAAAAAAAAAAAAGTAAATAAGTTGTTTTTTAATAGTCAATTTCAATTAGAATTTACGTTATTGATTTTTTTTTTAAATTTAGTTCTAAATTTTATATTTTTCAAAACCAAAATTATTCAAAATGAACTAATTCCATGATTATATTTTAAACCTTTTTTCTCAAAATTTTCTTACTTTTATATTGTAATATTTACTTTAAATATATATATATATATATATATATATATATATGTAAGGTTAATTACTTCAAAAATAATTTTAATAACATTTTTATTGAAATAAATAATTTTAATAAAATTATTTTGTATTCACTCTTTTTACAATAATGTTTATAAATAAAATTTAAATACTTATTTTTTATTTATAATATTTTTAACTTAATTAATAAAATTTAAAAGTTCATCAAACCACTTTTACTCTTACATTTTATTTAAAGTGGGTCTTATACTTTTCTTTACCTCCTAATTTAAATCACCTAACTTTATACATATGAACATCGTTAATATGTTAATCAACCTACCTAAGTTGCTAAATATATAATCATCAATTTTTATTGGTCTATATGGTACAAATAGGTCCTTAATATATTTTCATGAACTAATTCTTTATTTTTTTTTCATATCATTAACTTTTAACGCATTACTAAGAGACATGTTTTTTTAGTTAAGACATGTGAATTATAACTTACAAATTAAGGAGGCAAGATAATTTTATAAGTGATTAGACAAATCTTTTAAATAATTATATATGATTCAATAAACTTAGGCGAGACAACTTTATAACTCTAATAATATTAATGGTAAGTGTAACCTTTAAAAATAAATTGTCTCTTATTACAAACTCCAAAGTTTGTCTCTTCAACCAACATAAGACTTTTAGATGTCCCGAGAGCTTTCATCATCTCCTAAATTTGTTTAAAATTCTCAATAGTCGGCCGAAACAATTCAAATTCTATTAGGATAATTTATCCCTCATGATATTAGCATAGAAGAGTTTTACACTTTCTCTCGTACAAAGTCTCTTAAGGGATATCTCAATGGTATAACATGATGACTATTATTGTAAGTGAATTTTATTAGAAAAAATATTTTATCTCAACTTCTTATGTAATCCAAGACAATATCCTCAATAAATACTCAAATGATTGGACCATTTTCTTTGACTCACCATTTGTTTAAGGATGATAGACAAAGTTGAGCATCAATCTAGTCTCCGAAGTCTCTTATACAGTCTGTCAAAACTAATAGGTGAATGTGTGGTCTCTATCTAATATTATGTTGGATGTCATTTCATACAATATCACTATCTCTTTGATATACAATTGTGCAAGCTTAATCATGAAAATCTAGGCAAGAAGTTTATATTCTTTATCAATTGATTTACAATCACTTAGATAGTGTCATGTTTCCTTACTAATTATGACAAATGAGTAACAAAAGTTATAAGAATGTTATCTTATTTGCACTTAGACACATCCAACTAGTGCAATATTTTCCTAGATTGTTAATATTTCACCTTTACCTCTTACAAGTCCAATAAACATAGACATATTATACTACTTCCCTTCTCATATTAGCTGATTAAAAAGACTTCATCAAGTCCTAATGCATCTTAGTCATATACTTAGATATATATTAAGTCAGTCAATTATTATAACTCTCATCCAATATCATTTGTTTCAACTTTATATTGTTAGGGACATATAATTGTTATTGATTTCAAAACTCCATATGCTCAGAGGACAAGATCTTCACTTGTTTATTCTGTGGCAACCCATTAGTATGTCTTTAGTGATGATTCACCAATTGTTTCTCCTTGACCCTCTTAAAAAAATATTAGTTATAACTAGTATATATTGAACCAGTAAAACATGAATTGCTTAATCAACTTCAATTCTTTTCTTAATATTTATATTATTTTCCTATTTAGGATGTTTGCTAAATATGTTTATTAACATAGATAAAAAATTAAATAATAAAGAAATAATTTATAAATATATTAAAATATAATAATTTATAAAGATAATGATTATTTTACGAGTTTAAATGATTGATATATGTCAAGAGAAATTGGTACAAGAAGTCGTGACTATGTGATAATGGAATTCGCGGACAACCGATGGGTGACGATCATAATAAGACTTACAAATCATTTTCTCGATATAATCGAGAACAAAGAAAGAAGATTTTGTGAGATCTAATAAGAAAACAAATTTATTATTCGGATCATTATGGTATGTTCATCATTTTCCTTATTTACCTAAAAGAAGATATTTTATAAAATAAGAGTTCTTTTTAATATATAAAAAATTACATCTTATTATAAAAGATTTCTAAAATAAAACATTTTAAATGAGAACTAATATAAAATATATTTTTTTAACATTAAATACTTATAAAAATATTCTTTCTAAGGAGTAACTTCTATATTTTGAATAAATCATAAGTATAATAAGTTAAGGGGGATAACACTAACTTTGTTTTATTTTAGTTCTGATTTTTTTTATATATATTTCTAAAAATATATATAATTCTACTTTAAAATAATGGTTATGTATAGTTATTATAATTATTTTAGTTATATTAACTCTATCTCAGCATAACCATTTCCTTTTATATGGTGTAAAGAGTCTGTATATATTTGCTTGAAGAGAAACAAAAAGAGAACGTAAGTTCAAAATAAATTTATCTGTTCTATTCGGAAAGATAAAAAAATAATAATAATGAGACGACATATTCAAATGTTCGAAAATATTATTCACATAATAATTTATCAAAACGTAATCGAAATATATATAAAGCAAAAATAAATTAAAAATATATCTTAAACACCCAAAATTACAAATATCAATAATTAGTTTCACTTTTAAACGCCGCAAGAAATTCCATTAATTTATAAAAAAAAAATAGCATATACATTAAAACTATTAAAACTATAGTGTTTTTTTTTTCAAATATAATAAAATAAATATAAAGGGAAAATAATAAAATCTTACAGCCGTTATGGTATTTAAATAATCATAATAAATAATAAAGGGAAAATATGGTTAAAAAATAATATTAAAATATTTTGTTAAAAAAATAAGCATTTAATGTAATATCTCCCAGCTTTTCCTTTATCATAAATTTTATCCAAAATATTTAAAAGTCAAACAAAGTATTTAATGTAATATATCCCAGCTTTAACACAAAATTAAATAATAGTTTAAAGAAATTAAAATTCAAATAATATATTATCTACTGTACTAGTTTCTAGAGTGAGATAACATAAGTTTTTTAGCAATATTGTTTAGATTGAAACACTTTCTTAACCTAAACTTAAATGAGAATTTTCCAATGTTTTGGAACTGTATCTTAAAAAAAAAAATCAAAGTAAAACAAAACATTTAATGTTCCTATTAAATTTTTTAAGTACTAACCCAGTAAGAAATATTAGTTAAAAAAAATAAAAAATAACTTCAAATTTCATACCTAAGGTAACTGCTTCTATCTATTTAAATATATTTAGCAAACTTTACTTGTTTTAAAGTGGAATAAATATAAGTTATTTAATAATATATTTTAATTTAAAACATTTTCTTATCTTAAATGGGAATACTTTTCAAAAAATCAAACAAAATATTTAATAGCAATGTTTTCTTTTTTTTGTCATAACATTTAGTTGATGATAGCTAAAAGGAATCCAAAATCAAGTATAATATATTTTTATATATCCACTTTAAAAACCATATTTTTCCAATAAGATCTCTTTGGTTAGTAATGAAATAAATAATTAAATATATTCTTTTTACATATTTGCATATTTTAATCCATGTAAAATAATGAATTTATATTTTGTTTTCTGAATATATTTTATAATTTTTTTAAGTCAATTGTAATTGAAAAATAAATTTTTTTATATTCACTAAGTATTTCGTATTAGTGTTGTAATTATAAAAATTATAGATCTGTAAAATAAATATTATCTATTTATATTCAAATTAATATTAAAGACTAAAAGTATGATTTCAAATTGTGGAGAGATGAAATTTTTTTTTCTTACAAAAAGTTATAATTAAAATATTTTATAAGGATTAAAAACAATAAATTTAAATTGTATAGATGAAAAGTAAATTTTTTTTATAGAAAACAAAATCAAAGCTCACTAATTTTTACATTGATTGAAAATATATTTAAGTCTTTTAATCTTAAAAATATGAATATAAAATACAAAATTAATGAATAATGGACTTAAATTAGCATATCTACAAGGGTCAACCTTTTATTTGGAATGTTACCACCTTAGTTCTCCCTCTTTTATCACAAACCAAATAAAATCTAAATTTACACATTTTTCATTCATTTCACATGAATTAAAGCCTTAAGTTAATTCAATTGATTTTAAAATGCACTTTAAAGTAAAATGTATATTCATTATTATAAACCTGCCTTAAATTCATGCTAACATAGAATTAAGCACGTAACAAATTATTTTCAAAGACTTATTATACCATGTACAAAATCTAATTATAGAATTAATTATATTAAAGATATATTTTGATATTATATTATATTATATTATTAATTTATATTTATTTTTTAGATTTTATATAACAAAAATTAGAAGGAGTAAATTTCATCTTATAATTTATTAATTGTTATTTTTATAACTTTTTTTGGTTATATTTTAAAATAAGTATTTGATTTAGGTAGGATTTTCTCATCAACCCATGGAGGACCACACCAACCTTTTTAGGGAAAACAATTATCTTAATCAAGAAATTTCAAACTTAAACAACATGCATTAAGAATATTGAACAAATAAACTTAAAGTATAGACATCCACTTGTCTAGTTTGAACTCTTATTAGTTATAACATTCAGATTTAGTTAGATTGAACATAAGATGTAAAAATAAAAGTACTACAAGCAAAGTCTCCCAAATAAAACAAGAAAGAGATAAATTTAAGGTACTATGATGTGTATATTAGTTACCAACCAAATATGATATTCAACTATAACAATGAACACATGAAAGAATCAATAGTTAAGTCTTTAAAGAATAAGGAAATGAGACTCAATTGTCAATTACTTTAACGTGTGAAAGATAACACTCAGAAGTAGAGAGAAAAAAAACAAATAATAATAAACCATAATACCTATAAGTTATGATTGGGTTAACTATGAATTGTTAAAAAAAATGTTAAATTTTACATGACATACTTGTTTTAATAAAGAAATTCACTTTCAAATAAAAATAGTAATTTATTTTACATACATATTTTATTTAAAAAATATATATGTAAAGGCACATTAAATAGGTTTTGGTTTGATCTATTATATGTATTGTATTTTTGTCTATTCTCATGACATTGTGGAAAATTTAGTAAATAAGAGTGTCAATTGAGATGCTAGTTAGTTGCAAGTTTTTATTAAAAATAAAATAAAATTAAACATATATTTTCTTTTCTCTTATTTATTATATTTACACCATGAGTGATTTATTATGGATTACCCAAGATTTCCCATTGTAATAATAATAATTTTGGAATGAACTAATAAGCACAACGTCAATAAGTTTATAAATTAGTATAGAATTTCAAAATTTATTCGTATAATGACGAAAGTTTTAACTAATTGAAGAAGAAAGAAGTTAATAAAAAAACTTAAAAAAGTTGTCATTTGAAAAAGATTCTTTATAAATCAACTACTATATGATTTATTGTGTGTAATATTTGAATTTGAGAAATTATCTCTTTTGACCATCTGGATAAAAAAAATATTTATAGAAACTAAGTATAATGAACACAATATAAAAAAAACTTTATAATTTCTTAATAAAAATCTATTTATTTTCTCATGAGAAATCCAAATAATTTGTTGGTGATTATTTTCGACTATCATAAAATATCTAAATTAAAATATAAATTCGTGAACCAATGAAATCAATGAAAAGATAGAAAATAAATGAAATAATACTTAACATGGAGAGAGAGAGAGAGAAAAAAATTGCATGTCCTCTTAAAAGAAAAAATCAAGTAAGACATTCCATTGTTTATCTCTCTAATTAATTTACTCAAATTTAAGAGTTCGGAAGCGGGGTGAGACTGAAGAGAACGAAAATCCAAATTCGTATTTTTGAAACGGGATCGAAGCCCGTTGAACGCCTTGACTCCATTCTCATTCTTCTTCACTGAGACACTCATTGCACCGCGCATACCTCTCCATATTTGCTCCCCACGCATTCCACGAAACCCTAATTTGGTGGTTCCTGTTCCAGGGGCAAAGAGTTAGGGTTGGATTGAGCTGAGGTAGCAGCAGACAGATGCAGCAGCTTCTCCTCTGAGGAAATGGAAGGTGGCAGGAGAATTACTGTGAGTCCTCGACCTTGCTGCGGTCGCAGAATCATCGCTGCCAAGAAGAGGCCACGTGCAACGGATGGCTTCGTCAACAGCGTCAAGAAACTCCAGAGACGCGAAATAAGCTCCAAGCGTGATCGTGCCTTCACCATGAGCGATGCTCAGGAGAGATTCCGGAATATTCGCTTGCAGGTCCCATCTTCCTAACCTTTGTTATTTTGTTCGCTTTTTAAAAGTTGGTGTCCGAATCCTCCTACTGTGAACGGAATATTTGCTTAGGGCTGCAGCGTGTAAGATTTATTACTGGATCCGACTTTAAATGCGTGTAATAGTGTTGTGTATTGCCTTTACTGGATCCGACTTGTTTGTTGTTGGTAATTTGTGAGAATTCTCGGCCTTCAAGTTACCTATGGATTGAAGCTTTGTTTGTTGGATACAGAATGACTCGGTTGACTGTGGATGATGACATAAATTTTGATTTTGATCTCAGTTACTCTTTTGGTGTGTATTTTGTCTGTATTTGGTGGTTTAACAGATGTTAAGGACTAGACCGCTAGTCTTACCCTGTTGCTTGATTGTATTAAACTTTAGCATGACACAACATGTGATAATTGAAATAGAAAAGTGGTGTTGTGTTTTTTTTATGTCAATTCCCCATGCTCGGGTGTTGTAGATTTTAAACTATTGTTCTAGTGTTGTTATATGGTGCTTGTTCTATTTTAAATTATTGATGCCGAAGAATCTTCTGTTCTTCCTCTTTTTGATAGTTAGATTACATGTGTACTTTACTTAAATGTTCACATTTTCCCTGCACTTGGTGTGCTATGTCCTATGGTTTTGTTTACAGGAAGAATATGATACACATGATCCGAAAGGTCCTTCAACTATGGTGTTACCGTTTCTGAGAAAAAGATCAAAGATTATTGAGATTGTAGCAGCCCGAGATATTGTTTTTGCTCTTGCGCAATCAGGTGTTTGCGCGGCATTTAGCCGAGGTAGTATTAATACGTGTAGTTTGTTGGTTGTTAAATTCTTTTAGTGACTTTAAAATGGATATATTGTATATGTGACGTTGATCAATTGTTTGATGCAGAGACCAATCAAAGGATATGTTTTTTGAACGTCAGTCCTGATGAAGTTATAAGAAGTCTGTTTTATAACAAAAATAACGATTCACTTATCACAGTTTCTGTATATGCTTCAGACGGTTACAGTTCTTTGAAATGCAGAAGCACAAGGATTGAGTATGTATTGTTCTTTGTTTTTTGTAGTATCTCATAGTTGTTGGCCCCCAAAACGCTAAAGCTACTATTCTGAAATCTTTTATGTAGTTAATATAATGTGTAGGTTGTCAATAGTGGTGCTATGGCACCAAAGTGCCCCCTACTCACTACACTGTAGTGTCCAGGTTTACTGGTGCAGCCGTTGCATCTGCTATCCCAGAGTGCAATAATGGGCACATTGATGATGGTGGAGTGGGTGCAACACCAAAATTTGAAAGAAATCTCTAAAATCTTCATATTTTGAGATGATCAATGGTGGTATTTTTGTGGTTGTAGTTGTGCGTCATCCTTCAAAGTGGGAAAATACCCTTGATAAGTTAGTTCTTCCTCCTAGTCTCCTATGAATGTGATCTAGCCTGTTTCTGGTGACCCATTTTGTTTCCTGCAAACCCTCTCCATTCTATGACAACGCATTCTGTTTTCCTCCATATTCTCTATACTTCTTTTTCTTGGTAGGAATCATCAATCATGATCTTTTAAATCCAACTCTTTTTCTTTAACATTTCAATGCGATTACACAATGTAGATTTCTTTTCTGGAAACCATAGTTCCAAAAATATTTGCCTAAAGCCCTTCTGTTCAGAGGGTTTTTTCGGAATCAAAACATAGTGCTGGTAATCTTCACTATGGCTGCTATTCAGTCTGCTACAGCCACTACACGAAATTGCTCCTCTACAGCATCCAGGTTCCTCTTACTGCTTAAACCCTGCTCCCCAATACCAAAAGAGAAAAATAGAGAACAAACCTGCTTAAGTTGCAGAATATTTAAAAGAAAAGCAGTTAATAGCATTAGTTGGATGTCCAGGTTTGAATTTGTTCTATGCTGAGATTTTGTGTCATTCTCAGGTACATAAGGAGGGGTAAACCAGATGCTGGCTTTGCTCTTTTTGAATCCGAGTCTCTTAAGTGGCCAGGTTTTGTAGAGTTTGATGATGTAAATGGGAAGGTTTTAACATACTCTGCTCAAGATAGGTAAGTTTTTACTGTTCTTATATTTCTATGGGGGGATATAATTATATAATATGTCAAGGCCCTTTGATGGTGATTCTCGTCTTTCTTTTTAATCCTGTAGCATATACAAGGTATTTGACCTAAAAAACTATACAATGTTGTACTCAATTTCTGATAAAAATGTCCAAGAGATTAAGATCAGGTAATTTTTCTTGACGTGCTTGTATTTACTTTCACTTTTACAAAACATTTCCATAGATGTAGTGGTTATGCTCAAGCTCAGGTTTCTGAAATTTTATCACATGAGCTATTAAATTTTTAAGATATATTATTTTTTCTACATTTGATGTTTCTTTGGGCGGTCCTGCTTTATTAACGCTCCTTTGGTCTTGTTTGATGATTATTTTTTAGTCCGGGAATCATGTTGTTGATTTTTGCTAAAGCAAGTAGCCACGTCCCACTTAAAATCCTTTCAATAGAAGATGGTACTGTTTTGAAGTCATTCACCCATCTTCTTTATCGTAATAAGAAGGTAGATTTTATTGAACAGTTCAATGAAAAGCTACTTGTCAAGCAAGAAAACGAAAACCTCCAAATTCTTGATGTAAGTAATTTTCATTTTTAGCTGCACTGTGTATACATTCTACATACATCCAGTTATGTGACTTTTAATTAATTTTAGGTGCGGACTTTTGAGCTAACAGAAGTTTGCAGAAGTGAATTTATGACACCATCTGCATTTATCTTTTTATATGAGAATCAATTATTCCTGACATTTCGAAATCGAACTGTGGCTGTGTGGAACTTCCGTGGAGAGCTTGTAACTTCATTTGAGGATCATCTCTTGTGGCACCCTGACTGCAATACAAACAACATATATATAACCAGCGACCAAGATCTTATCATATCCTACTGTAAAGCTGATTCTGATGATTCACTGTCTGAAGGAAATGGTACTTTAATTCTTTTTCCTGTCTGTCCTCTTGGAAAATTTCTCTCTGTAATGCACCTTGTAAGGAAGGTACTGACGGGGAGATTTTTTTTTTTTTTTTATAGTTGTAGCTTGATCATCAGACCCAAGGGTTGATTTAGCTAACTATTTTCCATTTTGACTTGATATTTATAATGTTAAACGTGATAGCAAATCACGTATTAAACAAATAGTTTGCAATGTATCTGTTATCAATGTATATTTGCTAAGGAGTGCCTAACTTCAAAGGTATCATACTGATTGACTGGCCTTGTTTCTTTTATGCAGCAGGTTCCATCAACGTCAGCAACATTTTAACTGGCAAGTGTCTTGCCAAAATAAGAGCAAGCAACAGCTTTCCAGTGGATAACAATTGCAGTTGCAGTGACAATCCTTCAGGAAGTGGTTGTTGTAATTCAAGGAAGCGAAAACATGGCTCCAAGATGAGGAGCACAGTTGCAGAAGCCTTGGAAGACATTACTGCTCTCTTCTACGATGAAGAGCGCAATGAGATCTATACAGGCAATAGGCATGGGCTAGTACATGTCTGGTCTAACTGATGCGCCATGGAATTTACTGCTGCCCGGTGTTTCTTATTGGATTTTCTGAGTGGGTAACTTGGTCGTTCTGATCTGCTACGAGAACTTTCGGGGGATGTAACTATAAGTGGCTTTGAATCATTAATTTTTTTATCCTTGTCATTTACGTCTTAGGCGAGTTTGTTCTGTAGTTGTAAGAGATGCACGAAAATGCTGGTAACTCACCGGATGTTGCTTCTGCTGTAATCTATATTTTACATTAATGGAGCGGCTTCTACGGAATGTAGCATGTGAATTATGGTAACTATCTTCTGCACATTATTTTTTCTTTTTCTCTTTTTGCCCCTTTGTGTGGCATATAGTGGATTCATAATTCATTTGCGCATCACATGGATTGTAAGGGCCGCAATGCCAAACAAGAGGTAAAGGTCCAAAAGCAAATCAATAATCAGTAGAGTGGTAGCTTTACGATTTGCCAACCTTTCCTTCTCAAGTTTCTGGTACTCCAATCAATTCACCTAGATGTTCTATTCTTTCCTACTTTTTCCTATGTTTTCTTTTCTGCCAGCTACCAGTACCATCGAGCTAGTACACAACTAGGAAAAGCTGACACACACATACTTTGCCTTCCACTTTCACTGAATGGCCGGTTAGGAATGAAATGGAATCCACCTTAGTCATGGCCCAGTTTCGAGCCAAGGAACGACATTTGATAGGAAGTGACATACTATTTACATTTGTTACGAACACCAGTATTCAAATTTTACATCAGAAAATTGAGGCTTGTCTAAGTTTAGCTTTAGCTATTTTGTAAATCACTAAAGTAAAAGTACAATTAGATCCGTAAAATCAATTACTTGCTCAGGTTATTCACTTCTCATGGGATTTTTTGTACAGTTATTTAATTATTAAAGTTGGTATAATTTTGTTTTCTTTTGCTAAAATTAATCAATGTACTTTTTGTTGTTGTTGTTGTTGTAAGAATCGGTGCGTTTTTCTCTCTCTTGGTGAAGAAAAGTTGATATGATCCAGATCTTGCATCTGGTCCCTGGTCTTCATGCAGTCGTTTATCATCTAAGAGAATCCAAGACTGACTTAATTATGAAATTTTGTATAACATGTGAGACATGGACATTCGAAAATTAGGTTATGATTTCTTAATTTAATGGATCTCATACTTATTTTATATCATTTAAACAAAGTGCGCGTGTAGAATAAGAATACGAAAGTTCCTGAAAATGAGATATATTCGCACTTTGTTTGAAGTAGATAAGAAAAAAAGTAGGTGGTAAGTAAAATTAAGTAATCATAACCTTGTCGTATGTCATGTCGCACATGTAGTACAAAACTCAACGAATAAAAGTCAGTCTAAAGTTTAATTTAATTTTTTTTTTCTATTATTAACAACCGTAAAATGTTTACGTTTGTAATCTCAAAGAGTTATTTAAGAACTTACACAAAAACTAAATTAAATCAGGTTATATTTTGAAAAGTGAATTAACCTGACCCATTAGCTGTTTACTCGAGATAAAATATGCAAAAAAGAAAGAAAAAACTTTCGCTATTTGTCTAGCTGATAGTGCGCGTACTTTTTTCTCTAACGGACGACGAGAGGGACAGGATACATAGACGAATTAGTATATCTTGTCCCCTATTTATCCGTATCTTAAAAGAAAAATAGATTGACGGATTTGTACCAAAATAAATGGAGGCATTTGTTTAGTTGAATTTGAGGGGCATGCACGATCTACACACGTAAATTACCGACAATGGACAAGTTATCTTATGAGAGTGGATACAAATTTCAAATTTGACGAGGAACGTGTGTATATGTGGATCTGGAAACCCCAACGCACGCACGCCTGTTCTGCATTTGGTTGCGTTGCGGTCTCAGTTGTCGTTTTTTCTCATTTCTCAACCCAATCTTTGTCACTCTTTCTCCACCTACCCTTTCAAATTAACCCACTACATTACACTACACATATTTTAATTTAAGGATTTAAGGTTAAAGTACGTAAAATATTACATACGTTTCTATTCTTGTTTCTCTAAAATTTTACTAATATATTATTAATTATCCCAAACCCCCATAACATAATGTTTAAGTAAAAAGAATACCAAAATAAAAAAGTAAATCACCAATCTAATTTATTGTTTTTGAAAGAAGGGAAAGAAAAACCGAGAGAAGAAAGAGGTAGAGAGCGTGAGAGGCACGCGTGGAAAAGAAGCATATTTGATATAGAATAGCGTGTTAAGAATTAGTAGTTTTGTTTCCTCAGAGGACCACACTTAACACCCCACTTTGTCTTTCTTCTCACATTCTTCGCTCATCACTCATTGCTCATCTCGCAGATTCAAATTCAGCGCAACTACGCTTCCCTCACCCACTCACTCTCCTTCGCGCTTCATTTTTTCTTTTCCAAAATTCTCAAACTATCTCTCTGTCTCTGATATAGGCACCAAAACTCCTTTTCAGATCTCGAACGGTTGTTAGACAAGGCCAGAGGTGCGAGTTTCGAATGCGTTTTTTTTCATCTATCTTCTTGCTATATTGTCATTGTTTTTTCGCGTCCTCGCTTTGGTCATTTTTGAAGAATCCAAGATTCGCTCGTGTTTCTGCTTCACTGCAGTTTGCGCTTTCTGAGATTTATCTTATCTTTTTGTTTTGTTTCTGATAGAGATTGTAGGTGCCTTGCTAGATCTGGCTCCAATGCACGCATATCTAGCAGTTTCGTTTTCTCGCTTGATCTGGATATTACTTTTTGATTTAACCGCGCGTCGTTTTATTATGTTTCTCAACCTTTTTCTATTTTTGTTTTCCTTTGTCTGTTTCTTTGTGCAGTCTATTATTCTTTTTTCGTTTTCAGACACGATAACTTCTGTGTCTAGTGTTTTTTTTTAATGCTCCGGTGATGATGTTAAACAGTAGAGGTTGATGATAATCAGAATGTCATTCGAAAATAAGGCGTTTCATTATATTTTTCAAGCAATTTTTATTTACAATGTGTCTTTATCGACCTTTGTTCTGTATTGTATTTAATTGTTGCTTATTTCTGTGTTACTATTGGGGATGGTTTAAAATTTTACATTTTAAGATAGTGAAGCGTATGATTTAGTTGTGTGGATATGATAATAACTTCTGATTAATTCTCTAACTCTGGTTCCGTTTGTTTGGTTGTAAGAGTATTGAATAGATTCAGAGTGCACTTGAGCATGTATTTTGTCTACTTGATATATTCCTTTCAGGTTCGTGTTCCTTTGTTTTTCATCTTAGATTTTGGAAATGGAGGATGCCATAGATGCTACTGCAACTTTGGATTATGCTTCAATTCGGATTTTTCGTCAGCAAAACAGGTTAGCTTTGATGCTTATTGGAGTTAGAATTGGGCCTCACCAGATGTTTTCTTTTTTAAAGGATTTCTTATCCTTCTTTTGGATGTTCTTTTTCTCATTTCTCCTGTCTGTAATAGTTTTTCTCTTACATCCAGAGGGGAAAAAACCATTATAAGTTTAAAGAAAAAACCCTTCCTAGCAGGACATTCATTGAAGAATGTGACAATACTGAATTAAAAACTTTTAAAAATTCAAGGTCTTTAAGGAAATATTATTAGTCTATATATGTATTTCTATTGTTGAATACGTACAAAAGACGAGTTAGTAAAACCCCTTCTGAGTAGTTGAACTTTAATTGCTGACTGTGACAATACTGAACTAAAAACTTCGAAAAATTTAAGAGCTTTAAGGAGATAGTATTAGTCTACATATGCAATTGTATTGTTGCATATATATACAAAAAGGCAAGTAGAAAACAGAACTAAAGGATCAAAGGGCTCAATAAAAAAGACGATGTTTCTGATGACTTTCTTTCTTGAATTACAACATGGAACCTATTCTGTCCCAGAATTCCAAATTGAATCCTAATCAGAAAATGAAATAATATATCATTAAAATTCCTAATTTCAGTTCCACCTTTAACACTACCCCGTCATCCAATTTTTTTTTTAAATATCATTTCTCACTTCAAAGAGATGTACTATTTAAATCTCAATAATAGATCATACAATTAGTTATCCTGCATCTTGTTGTACTGTTTTTTCTTAAATTTCTAATGCATTTTTCTTCTCTAAAAAGGCTATGAAATCTTATCAGTGAATATAATGATCATAGAGTAGTCTTAATACCAGTGTGTAGTTGTCTGACACATCTCCTTGCAACTTTGAAGCCGGATTGTTCTAATATGTCATAGACTCACCATTGTATTTATGTAATCTATTAGATTTCCTTTGCTAGGTAGTTCTTCCTTCAATACATTCAGTTGTGCATTTGAGTAGTTTATAATGAATTTGATCACCATGTGAATGTTATACAATTTTTTTTACTGGTATTAACTTATTTCTCTTTGGTGGGATAGGTATGAGGCATTTATCTGGAAGGGGAAACAATCCGAAAAAGTGGAAACTGGACATTTGGAACATTTGTTGCCTCATTTACCTGCAATAAATGATTTGTATGCTGAAGGATTTGATGCAAACTTTGATCTTCAATTACCTGAAAATCTGCATGGTGTTGAATGGTTTTCAAAAGCAACACTTAAAAGGTTTCTACCAAAGAATGATTTATTTATTTTTATTTTGTATTTACTTATATGAATACCTTACTAGCTCTAATATTATTTTTCCTCTTAGGTTCCTTCATGTTGTTAGTTCACCAGATTTGATAACTGTCATCAGTAGTATCCTGGATGAGATGTCTCAGTTGGAGGATTCAAAGAAATTTCATGTTTCTTTACATGGGAAGGTGGTACTCTGTCTTTCAATAAATCAATACTGGAATTGGATTTATGTAGTTTCTGATTAAAATTTGTCTTCTGAAATCAGGGCCAGCAGGATCATCTTGACATGGAAAGAGGTATTTTAACTAAATTCTGTACGGTTTGGTTCTTGATTATTTAGTGCTAATCAACCAATGGGAATTTTGATTTTTCTCTATATAGCAATTGAAGAGTTCTTACAGGGATTGGCTTCTGAGTATATAGCAGATACTGTGATATTTGCACTCCTAGTATTATTCATGAAAACTGAAAACAAGAGTGTAGTGAGTGAGGCCTTGGTTTAAGATGTTACGTAATTCAATTTGCTTGCCATGATTATTTATTGAATAACGCATATGATGTATCTTAGTTCTGCAAGGTATTATGCATATTTATACCATCATGGAAACACTAGGTAAACATTTATCATGATCTTTCTATTAAAAGGTTGTAGTGGGTGCTTTTCCTTGATGCTTGGTTTTTCCATATAATGACCTTTTTCTCATTATATAAATGAAAATACCTGTTGTAAGGACTGAATCACAAGCCATTGATGAGTGTTATGATCATGCTTTTTTCAAAATAATAAAAATATCAATAGAAAGCTGGATTAGCCATTGGCATGCCGTATGAACTGTTTTGATGTCGTGCCTAGAAATTTCTAGTTGTATAGTGGTAGTCCCTTCAATCTCTGATATTTGTTGTAAGCATCGATTTCTTGTGTGCCAATGGTGAATGCCAGTTTTTGGGAGCATATGATAAGTAAATCATTTGGTACTATAGATCATCTAGCTTTAGGAATCCGTAGATGATACTGATTTTTTAAGTCATAAATGGCTTTCTTGACTTTTATGGAAGTACCGTTGTTATCTTAAGAGTCTTTTGATTTTAGTTGTATTTCCCACTTTTGACAGATGGTAATTGTAGCTCTCATGGTGAAGCACCGACATCCAAAGTAATTCCTTTTTCTCCAATGCTTTAGAGTGGGTTCATTTTTTAAATTCATTCTCACTATAACCGTTAAAGCAACTTTTTCAATTATCCTTGTTCTTACTTCATTATGATCCATTATATTTCTACTGACAATTTATTACATATGAACAGCCTGAAGTTGACATTGTGTCATCCGATGCTTCAAAGTATGTTCTTGTAACTGTTACATTACATTTAACAGATATAGATTGGCTGCACCCACTATTAAGCTTTCTGAAAATATACTGCCAGGAATGAATTGTTACGAGCAATGGATCTAAGACTAACAGCTTTGATCGACAATTTAGCTGAAACTTTTAACAAGGCCGCTGGTGCTACATGCTCCTTTGAAGATCTGACCTGTTTGGCAAAATTTTCTCAACATTTTGGTGCCACTAACATAGGGTATGTTTCAGACAGATTTATGTATTTGTACGTCATTGGCACTATAATTGCATGTTCTATATTGCACTTATTTTTTTAAACATTGCTAAGCTGTTAATCATATTTCCTATGCATTGTGTTCACGTTCTCAGGCATTATTCATGCAAGTTTATAGAACTAAACCACAAGATCCAACGTGTTGGGCCCCTGAACAATGGAACAATCTTGCACTCATGTGATGTGACTAAAGATGATGCAAACAAAAACCTGCAGATTTCCAAACCATTACATTCTGATACACCAGTTAAGTATGGTGTTTCACCAGCAAAAGCTGCCCAAGTTGAGAGACGCAGTTCAACAGAAAGTGAGGAATCTTCTTACTCTGGTGATGAGGATCAAACATCTGCTGAGAGAAGTCGTTCTCTTGTAAGATCTACAACACCCAGAAGGTCAGCATCCCCGATGCGAAGGGTCCAAATAGGAAGAGCTGGACCCCGCAGAGCTGCTGCATTAACTATCAAGAGTCTCAATTATTTTCCTGGCAGAGAGAGGCCAATTTCGTTTAGAGATGCTGCTGAAAATGAATGTGTAGGGGAAGTATCTGAACAATTCTATAAGAAGTCAGAAATTGATGTAAGGAGGATAACCGTACAAGATGCCATCAGTCTTTTTGAAAGCAAACAGCAGGATCAAACTACAAATAAACTTGTCTTGAGAAGTGCAAATAAATCTGTCTTGAGAAGATGGAGTGCCGGTATGGTGGAAACCTCTGTGCAAGACCAGCCAGAACATGTTCCTGAAGATCCTCTTCCAGTGACTTCTGATGATGTGGTGCATGATGAAATCTCTAAAAATTCAGAAATAGTGGTGTCTGATTTTATTTCTGAAATTGACAACAGTAATGAGGTTACTGATCACGATGACAAACCAGAAAGACAGGAAAATGTAGGTTCTTACACAGAAGATAATCCAGATGAAACCAAACCAACAGTAAAAGTGGAAAGTATAAAAAAGTTAGGAGCATCGGCGGAGTGGAATCAACGGAAGCAAGAAGAGTTCAACCAAATTCTTAAAAAAATGGTCGAAAGCAAGCCTGTATTATTTGGGAAGTCCCAGCCGAGCAGAAACCAGAATATTTCATTTGAGAAGAGAGGAGGGTCTTATGATCATTATAAGGAAAAACGTGATGCAAAACTTCGAGTAGCAAAGACTGGAAAACAAGTGGAAAAAGAAGCACAATTTCGACAAATGCAGCAATTACTTGATAAGAGGAAGGTTGAGATGTCCAAAAATGTGAGTGCAAGTAAACAAAGTTCTACAAGGTTACCCCAAAATTTTGTAAGAAATTCAACCCAACCTGCAAATTCCCCAAAGGAAACTTCTAAGCCTTCAGCTACAAAAAGGACATCATCTAGAACGTCTCCCATGCCTGCTACACGTAAGTCTTGGTCAGTAACACCTTCACCAAGGGTAGCTGGGACATCCCCAGCCAAAGCACGTGGTGGAATTTCATCTGCTAACACTACCCCAACACGGAGGAAGCCTGTGCCAACTACACCTGTTCCCCAACCAAGCCCCCAAAAGGAAAGGTCTCAGCCGCGGAAGAGAAATGAGAAAGAAACTCAGACCAGCAATAATGCCAGGAGCTTCAAAAGCATGAATGAGAAGCGGCAACCAATAGTCCCAAACAAGAGTAAGCCAGTCAAAACAAAAGTGACGACGGCTTCCGCAGAAGCTTCTGTTCCTTCAAAGACTAGCTTAGGTAACAAGGGAACCAAGAAAAGCAGTGTGGTGCCGTTGGAATCAAAAACATTTTTACGCAAGGGTTCTCGGATGGGACATGGAACTGATCTTATCAAGAAAAAAGGTCCTCCTAAGATGGAAAAATCTCAGAGAGGGAGTGCAGATCTTATTGAAGATCAAGAAAGTGAGTTGGTTGTCAATGCTTCTGAGTTGATCAGTCACCATTCAGATGTGGATACAATGACACCTATTCATCAGATTGCTGCTAAAGAACCAGACCCTCAGATAAATAACCAATTGCAATCCTGTGAGCCAGAAAAGTTAGACCAAAATCCTACTGATGCCGATGTCTTAACATACACAGAAGAGTCTTTAAATATAAGAAATGAAGAAGAATCAACCATATCACCTTCTGCCTGGGTGGACACAGAAGAAGATGTTTTAATGCCCAAAACATGTGAGGATGATACATTTCAATCTGCATCCTTGGCCAATGCTGTCCTGGTGGGATCATCTAGTCCTCGTGTTCGTCATTCTCTCTCACAGATGCTACAGGAAGAAAGTAGTGAGCCTGAAACTTCTGAGTGGGGAAATGCCGAAAATCCTCCTGCCATGATATATCAAAAAGATGCACCCAAAGGTTTGAAAAGACTCCTGAAATTTGCTAGGAAGAGCAAGGGTGATACAGGTTCCACTGGCTGGTCTAGCCCATCTGTTTTCTCTGAAGGAGAGGATGATGCAGAGGAATTTAAAAATTCTTATAAAAGGAATTCTGACAATCTACTGAGAAAGGCCGCACTCAATGTCAAAAGCTATGGACAACCAAAAAATTCAATGCATGATGGATATGAAAGAAATTTAGGTACTAGTATACTTGTCTAGTACATTTCCCCCTTTGCTTTCCACTTCTGTTTTAATTTATTTCCCTATCTCCTCCTTCAAACCTGATGGCATTGCAGTGAAGTTTGGAATCTGTCAATGTTTTCACTTTCTGTTAATGTTATATTTAGCGAACATATTATTGAAAACTTAAACATTAGATGCTTTCCTTCTGTCATCTTTATGTCTTGTGGTGAAACTCTTGCCTGCATACCCTCACATAATTGCAAAGCAGTTAATTAGCTGTGCCCTGCTTATTTAGTGCTTTATAATATCAGGAATTCTCTGGTTCAGTTATGTATTGGGCATATCTTGGTTAAACTTCTGAAAATGAACTAAACACCCATAGGAACAAAGAACTTCAAACAGGGAGCGCAAGTCTACTCAAAAAAATAATACTATCATAATTTTATGCGACTTTCTTCGTGCTGTTAATCTTACGCTTGACTAATGGAAATTTAGTATGCTGTGCTTTTTCAATTTCTCTTGTCTAATATTCTTACCATTTATAGATTTTTGCCATGCAGGAGGCAGGGATGATGGGAAGGGTTCTAACAAGATGCAAGATGGCTCTGGTCCAGCCTCAAGAGGTCAGTCTTCATTCCATGACAAAAAACTTGTAAATTTGATTTTAGTGCCCCTTACAACGGAATTGGACATTTTCCGTTTCCACTAATAGTTCCTTCTGTTTTGTTTTGCATGTTCATGTTCCAGCATCAAGATCATTCTTTTCTCTTTCAGCTTTTAGGGGAAGCAAGCCCTCCGAGTCAAAGTTCCATTAGTTATGGTAAACTACCATTATCATTGCCATCAACCCCGGGGGCATGCTTTTGGCTGCATCAACCTAAGATAAATCAGAAATAATTTCATGGCATGATGTTATAAATTATAATGCGAAGTGGGGTTTGGTGGAATGCTGTAAATTCATTAAATTGTTCGCTCTATTTCAATGCATCAAATTACAATTCATATTATAATGCCTCCCTAGGAAATTTTCCTATAGCTGGATTCTTTTTTGTAATGTCCTAAACGTTCATTTCATTATGGTGCTGTTACTTGGTAGATAACTCGATTATAATTATCAGTTAACTTTTCAACATAAAACTAATTAATAATATTTTAAATTATATCGCTTGAAATGAGATAAATGATGTGAGATTTTTAACACATTCCTTTCAACCAAGTTTGTCAAACAAGACAAAGGTATTTTAAATACAATAATTGGAAAATTAGGTATTGTGAGAGATCTCTAGAAATTTTTTGAACAATTTCTAACCATTTGTAATCATACATTTAATCTCCTAATTATTATTAATAGTACATTTAATATTTACTTTCAACACTTTCCTTTAAGTTATTTTATGAATATTAATCATTCTAGTTTGCATGTGAGATTATAAAATTGTTTAGTGGGAAGATATTTTATGAGGAGATATGTTATTTGAAGTCCAGATAGAACACAAGCAGCATTGATAAGACTATTATTTTTTTTTTAATAAAGTGTCGATCTATCTTTATATGTTTGGTCCTATTATGTTGATTGGATTGTGAACAATGTTAATAACTAATTTTTTATCACAATATAGAGTCATAGACTATTCATATGACATTTTAAGATGATTTAAATAATTCTCAGCCATAATAATTCATACATCCCATGAGCCATAGCTCATAATTTAGTCTTTGCAGTAAACCTTGTAACAATATTTTGTTTTTTCTCCAAGACACCAAATTTTCACACAAGAAAGTATCCTGAGGTGAATTTTCTATATGTGACAGACCCTGCATAATCTGCATCATTATAAACTTCCATTATCAAAATTTTTATTTCTCTTGAACAATAATCCCCTTCTTGAACTTGTCTTCAAGTATTGAAGGATTCTTTTCACTGCTTGTAAATGTCTCTCCCTTGGATCATGTGTAAACTGACTAATCATGCTCACAACATAGGCTATGTTAGGTCAGTGTAGGTTAAGTAAATGAGCTTCCTCACAAGTCTTTGATATTGACCCTTGTTCACAGTAGAATTGTCTTCATCACTTCCAATTCTATAGTTTTGCTCTATAGGAACTCCAGTTGTCTTGCAATCAATTTTACCTGTTTCTTTGAGAAGATAAAGAACATATTTTCTTTGGGAGATAAAAATGCCTTTATTCGAGTAAGCTACTTCAATCGTAAGAAAGTATTTTAATTTTTCTAGATCCTTAATCACAAACTGAGCAACAAACTTTTCTTTCAAGATTTATTTTTCATTTTGATCATTTCCTGGAACAATCATATCATCAACATAGACCAAGAGTAGAGTAAGTTTACCTTATGAGGAATGCTTGATGAATAGGGTATGGTCACCTTGACTTTGTCGATACCCTATGGAGATCATAACATGAGTGAGTCTACCAAATCAAGCACGGGGTAACTGCTTGAGTCCAAACAAGGCTTTCTTCAAACTACACACTTTATTCCCTTCTTCAATAGACCTAATACTTGGAGAAATTTTCATGTAGACTTCTTCTAAATGTTTGTATAAGAAATCATTTTTCACATCAAATTGTTGTAATTCCCAAAATAAATAAGCTGCTAATGAGAGAATGATTCTAATAGTATTCATCTTTGCTACTAGAGCAAATGTCCCCTCATAATCAACACCATAAGTCTGGGTGTATTATTTAGCGACTAACCTTGCTTTGTAACGATATAATGTGTCATTAGATTTATATTTCACATTATAAACTCATCTACATCCTACTACCATTTTATTTAGTGGTTTATTAGCAATTTCCCATGTATGGTTCTTTTCTAAGGCATTCATTTCTTCATTCATGGCTTCAACCCAATTCTCATCCTTCAATGCATCTTGAACTGATGTAGGGACTTTAATTGCATCAATGGAGAGAGGAAACTCTTATGTTGCATAACAAGGTGTTTAGTGATCACAAAATGAGAAATAGGATACTTGGTACAAGACTAAGTTCCTTTTCTCAAAGCAATGGGCAGGTCATCAAGGTTAGGTTGATAGATATTATTCAAGAAATTTTCTAAAAAAGAATGAATACTTACTCTTGTTTCAGACGATTGGAACTATCCTTGGATCAATTTAGGTTGCTTTTGTCTCCATATTGTATACAAAATAAACTCTGTACGACTAATTTCTAGAGTTGACCTAGACTTGAGGACAACATTGCCCTCGTTAGAAGCAACTTCAGAGACATCCTTATAAGATGAGTTAGGAGAAGTATTAGTATGAGACGGTTCTAGGACAAAAGATGACTCTAAAGACTCAAAAGACTCAGTTTCTATGGAATTCTCCCCCTAAAGCTAAGGACACAAGTAAAATGATTGAGTTTCATAAAAAATGACATTCATTGAGGTAAAAAATGTTAAACTTGGAGGATGATAACACTGATATCCCTTTTAAATCGAAGCATAACCAACGAATATGTATTCAATAGCTATAGGATCTAACTTCCCACAGATATGAATATAGATAAATACAACACATCCAAATACTCGACTATGAAAATTAGAGAGAAAAGAATAGATGGAAAGAAGGAAGACATGTACTCAATGAGACTCAGGCCATTTAAAACTCGAGAGGGTAATCGGTTAATAAGATAGGTAGTAGTAAGGACAACTTCATCCCAATAAGATTTGAAGACATACATTTGGAAGAGAAATGCTCGTGTCACCTCAAGAAGATGTCTATTTTTCCTTTTGTCAATGTCATTTTGTTACGGTATATCCACACATGTGAATTCATGAATGACCATTGTCGAAAAGGAATTTAGATGTGTCATGATTTACATATTTCTTGTCGTTATCAGAATGCAATCATTTAATTATCTTTCCAAATTGTGTTTTTATCATATGGACGAATTTGACAAATAAAGTAAAAACTTCGGATTTTTCTTTCATGAGGAAAATCCATGTGACATGTGTACAATCATCAATAAAAGTGACAAACCATTTTACACCAAATATACTGATGTTTGATGAAGGTTCCCAAATGTTAGAGTGAACCAAATCAAAAGGATGAACACTCTTTGTATTACTAGAAGAATATGTGACACGATGGTGCTCTGCAAGTTGACATCACATTTAAATGGCTTAACACACTCTTTGGAAAATAAAGAAGGAAGCATAAACTTTAGAACAAAAAAAGATCGATGTCCCAAACAACGGTGAAGAAGTCAAATTTTAATAGATGAGAGATGATAAAAGAGAGATTTTATCACGTCTAATTATTAGGATATGGGTCCCATTGACAACAATAATGTTATTACCAGAAAGAGAAACATATGACGTTAAAAAAGATGAATGAGGAGTCATATGGTTTGTCGCACCAGAGTCTAAAACCCAAGAGTCCTTACATATAATTTTAGAAACATTAAAACAGGAATTGAAATTCTTATCGGTCATGGTTATAGAAGAAGTACTAGAAGATGACTTACTGATAGATTCCATTAGAGATTTCAGTAGTTCAATTTCAGTACGAATGGGCAAACATTCCTTCTTCAATTGCAGGGGATGAAGGAGTCTTGCCAGTATTTTCAAAATCTGAAGTTGCTTGATAAGCCTTCCTTGGGGGTTGTCCTTTGAGTTTTGCTGAACGATTGAGAACTTTCTCTTTTTCATGTAGCTTGAAGCAAGTTTCCTTAATATGACTAGATTTCTTACAATGAGAGCACCAATGATCATCTTTCCCTTCGAAGCTGATTTTTATGTTTCCAAGATTTGAAGTCCCAAGTTTAGAGGCATTTATAGATAACATGACAACTCCTTCAGTGGAGGACTCATTCATCATGATCATTCGACGAGTTACTTCACCTCGAATAATGTAAAAGACTTCAGAAAGAGAAGGAAATTTTTCTTTTCCAAGAATTTGTGCCCTAACAGGATCATATTTAGGATTCAATCCTAACAAGAACTTAAATACCTGAGATCGTTCAACAAATTGAGAAAGAGTGGTAGCATCTCGATTATTTTCAAGCCTTAAATTTTGATATTGATCTAACTTAATCCACGATCCCTTTAACATTCCATAGTATTATGTGACAAAAAAAGTGTATTGCTTGACACCAAAATTCTTGCTTTCTAGCTCATAACACGTGAAAATGTTTTCTTGCATAAAATAAGTATTTGTAAGGTCTTTCCAAATTTCACGAGCACTAGAGTAAAATATATAATTTCTACTTGTTTTAATAATCATAAATTATTGTAGTTATGTAATAATTTGTGAATTCTCGTTGTCCCAATTTGAAAATGAGAGTTATCTCTAGTTAAAACATCTTTTTCACTATGGTTGAACTTACCTGTACCTTTCAACATGTATATGATAAATTGGGTTCATTGAAAATAATTTTGACCATGAGAAAGATCAACATTGCTTAATAGGGGTGCCATGTTGCAAAAATGGAACACAAACTTATGACAACTCCAAAAATGACTAATCCAACAACAACTAGTCCAGTAACAATTTTGGTAATGGTGAAAATTATGAAACCTTATAATCAAAAGAAATTGTTGCACTTCAGGTAACCATAAAAAGAATCGTGTCTAAAACAATAAAAAGAAATGCGAAAGCAGAATCCCAAAATCAAGAACTCTGATCCCAAATTAAAGTTTCTAACATAAAACTAATTAACAATATATATAAAATAACCTATGAGATATTTAAATACGTTGCATAAGACAGGTGTGGACTTCCAATAGTTATCATTCTCTCACGCAGTGTTGATATATTCGTCACCCTTGTTAGAGACTCTGAGATCATTACTACATCACACGGATAGAAAAGGGTAACGATACTGCCTCATATTTTTCAAAGTAACATGCTGTATCGCTGCAAAGTAGATACCGAGTAGAATGTGTCAAAAACAGCCAATGGGTGGTTTCGGTTGGATTTAATTTTGACAAATATAAACTCCCAGTGGGTGGATATATTTTTTATTTTTTTAAAATGAATTTAGCCTAAAGTGGTTTAAAATTTTTTTTTTTTTTTTTTTATGTGATGATTATATCAACATATTTTTATACAACTAAACATTTAGTCGCAATATTAAATAAATCCAACTCAATTAAAACTATTTTAAGTTAGGTTTAATAATATGACTTTAATCTAGTTTGTCACGTTAAATCTTATTTTATCAAATTCAGCTCTCCTATTGGCCTTGTGCCTACATATAATAAATTAACTTGTTATTTGTTGTCTAATTAAGTCAAACACGGTTCATATTTCATATTTAAGATTAAACTATTTTAATAACTTTATTCTTTTATCTCTAAACCTGGATATTAAGGTTCAAATACTAAACCAAACAGTCTCTTTAAGTTAAAAATTTGATTTTCTTGTACGAACTACACTTTAGCATATTTCACTAAATCATTCTCCCAAAAATTAATTCACAAAATTTGTTAACCAGCACTAATTTTTTAAAATGTGTATTTTAACAAAACATACATAGAAGAGTTCCTAAATATAAAATGATTAAGATTGTTTTAACTAATTTTAATCTTTTAGATTATATGGTTTACATGAACTTTTTTATAAGGATGACAATTAAATTCATATTCACATAAAAATATGAGTTGATTGGGAGCAAGTTCAAGTTTTCTTTGTTTTAAAAAGTTGTAAGGTGAGAATAAGTAATGCGATCCTCACTATTCATGTTATCGGTCCGATTTTATATTTAAATTTAAATTTTAGAATATTAATATTTTTAAAATATTTAATTTTCTTATATTAAAGTTATTATTTTATATTTTATTCATTTTATTTTATTTTTCTACCCAATTTTCATTTTTTTTGTCTTTTTTAATCTTTTAGATCAATCAATTCATTATATTTTTATTTTTCTCTTCCTTTTCCCTTATTCACATTTTCTTAATATCTTTAATTTTTTTTTCAATTTCTTCAACCAATATAACAAACACAGTTAATTTTTTTCTTTATCTTTTCTAAATATTCTATATCAATCTTAATAATAACTAATATTATTTTATTTATAATTTATCTTTATTAAATTTTGTTATATCATAATTTTTGGATTTTATTATTACTATTTATCATATATCAAATTTTATCATAATAACATAATTATAATGTGAATGATTAAATAGAATTAATATTAAATTTTTTATTACTTTGAATTAGTTAAATATAAATTAATTTATTATACATTTTTTATAAACTATATATTTTATATTTAAATATTTTAAAATAATAACTTATATATATATAATTAAATATTTAAATACAGTATTATAATATATAATAATAATATTATTATAAATATTTTATAATTATATAAAGAAAAAAATAGTTAAATATTTCTTTCATATATATTTTAATATAAATATAATAAATTAAAATATGTATTTAATTAATAAATAATAATAATAATTATAAATTATAAATTTATTTATATATAAAAAATATTAAAATTAATTTATTATAAGTATAATTATTTATTTTAAATAATATAGAACATGATGGAAAAGTGGAAGGGGAAGTCAAAGCCGCCCGTGTCCCCGTCTCAGTATCTTCTTACAAGCAACATGTGTGTATACATTCTAAAGAAAAATCAAATCACGCGGATACAAATTTTATAGAGTACTTCACCATTTAATAATTTTCATTTAGATAACATTTTTCTCAACGTATCATTAGAATTGGAAACTTCTTTTACAAAATTCATATATCAATTTTATATTGATAACAATATATTTATCATCTTATAGATAAAAATCAATGTAATATTTTAAAAATGTATTAAAATATGATTCATTTAATCTCTTTATTGTCTTCAACTTTTACAAAGTTTAACACAAACATTAACGTCATAATAATAATAGAAAAAAAAAGAGATTTTAATTTTTAACGTTCTCCCTTTTCTTTCCATAATCTGGAGATTATACTTAGTCACCAATTCATGTTCTAGTCAGAGAATCACAAAGCAGCTTTGTTGAAACATTTGGACCTGCATTAGACATCCCCTCGATCTCTCCTCAGACAAAGCACAAACAACGACGATCTGCTTCTCTAAGTCTAGTTTTAGTAGGAGTATAGCATGAAGGAGTGGCCATGTTTCTAACCGGCATGGCCAAAAGCACTTCTTCCACATATTACTCAAAAAAATCTATGGCACACACATTGCCTGCATTGCGTTTTAAGGGGAAAGAATAAAATCCGGAATGGAAATGTTTACAGCAAAATACAAAATGGAACAGAAATACAAGAATAAAAGATCAAACAAGAGAATAAATAACAAACCAATAAGGAAATTAAGAAAAGTAATAATAAACGTGAAACTCAAATCAATCCCAAGAAAAAAGAAATAACTGGAGGTAAGCCAATCAGAGACTCAACCCTTGAGATCAAATTCCATAAGGAAACGGGTAATGACTTGAATGTTTTTCTTTATGAGTTAACGGGATCAGAGGAACAATCAAGCAGGGAAGAAGAGGAAAACGCAGGAGGCAACAAAATATGACATCAGTTCAGTAGTCCTCCAACGAGAATAGGAGGAGCATCACCCAAAAATCAAATGCTCTGGTACACCAATTTCTAAATTCATTTATTATTGCCTTGCCGTTTCTCAAACTACTGTTTTCATTTCTTTCCAAACTTTTACTTCCTTCTATTTGACCTATTGGAGTAGAGTTTTCTTTCATACTTTTTTTTTTCTAGGATATTTCCCAAATTATTTACATTCCATTTTATCTTTTTTTATTCTCAGATTGTCTGAACAGCACAAGGTTTGAAGACTCCGTTCGTTTTCTATTAATCCTTGTGTGGTTTCCATCTCATAATTACCTGTGCGATAAGTAGACTTGCCTAGGCGAAATTCATGAGAACTAACGTATCTTTCACTTATCAAAGTCTATCAAGAAAGAATGAAAACTACCAGGCTTTTCATCATTGCTAAGCTGCACAATTTGCGAAGGTGCCATTCCTATAGCTTTTAATCCCAAAAGCTTTGCACCATATGCTCTAAAAATCAGCACATAACATATAATCATCAAAATTACACTATCTCCTAGGTTTAATGTGTTGGGCCTTTGGTGGGGGATTCACAGCAAAGAAACACACCAATGAGACATGAGACCAATCCATATAAGGGATTTGCATCACTCTCAACCCAAAACATTAAGACATTAGGTTATAGGTCATACTTATATAATGTTCAACTTTCACATTCTTACTCAATTAAGTTAAAATTCCACTTTGACGAAATAAAAGAAATTCCATGGTTCAAATTTAGTACTAGCAACTATAACTTACAGCAAATATATTAACAAGTTTCTTAGGGAACCAAAGCTATAACATGAAAAGTGATTGTTGATACCCTTGTAACTAAATTAGGTTTCATCCACTGTGATCTTAAAACAATCTTTCAAATATATCCCCCCCACCCTTCAAATTTGGATAAATCTATATCAATAACACATGTTGGAAAAGAGAGAGCAGTTAGAGCACACACTTGACTGACCTCAGTTCAAAGTCTCGTTCTTATTTATGCACAATGTCTTGACTATCAAACAGCTTGGATGAGCTTTAAGTAATCTTTCCTGAGGTCGTTGACTATAGTATATCTTTCATATTCAATGACCAGTCATTTAAGCCGTGATTGACAATAATACCACACATTTTATAGCTCACTTTGTCGCAAAAGCATTTTATTGGATGGCCTTCACTGAAAATTTCTCAATTTCTCTCCTAAGATATTGAAGATAAGGGAACACCAAGTCTGCATGAAGTCCATAATAACGTGAGAATATATCATTTATTCGATTTAAGCTTTCGACAGCAGTACAATCATCCAAGGAAAGTTGGATGGAGGAAAGCTTCACAAGTTCATGAGCAATAACAATATCATCAGTATCATATAGCTTTTCCAGAATCTGCAACACAAAAAGGAACGAAATATTTTAGACTTATAACTTGGAAAGACTTGTAAATTTGTTAAAAAGAACATATTGAAAATGCATTCACTTGAAGTGCCAAATCACAAATTCTATCTTCTGCTATTTTATTTGCGGTGTCGTGTGTATTATAGAGACTTGGGTATTATGAGGTGCCTAAAGCTTCATATTGTGTAGTATGAATTGTTGGTAGAGTATTTAATAATTTGGTTCTTTCTCTAACTATCAGTCTCTAAATATGGGGCATCAATTACAAATTCACAATTATTAAGAAAATTGGTTAATTGAATTAGTAACATTAAAATTGTCTGCAATTGTAATATTTTTTAAAAATTATTAATGTATGGAAACAGAATAATAGTAGTGGAATATTATTTTTTAAAAATCCTCCAATCTTTATAAGAGAGAAAAAAGACAATTCATAACATTTATTATTTATGAACTAAAATAATTAATGCAAGGTTCAATAGAAAAAATTTCGTACTGAAAAGCGCAGTTTTAAAATTAATGCACCGATATACAGTTTTTAAATTGATGGCTGAGATGTTTTTTGCTTTTCTTTCTCTGTCTGGTTTAACACTGTACACACGATTTAACAGGGCAGGTTCCTGAGTTCCATAAAAAAAATATTTATATTTCTGCCACTGGCCACTGGAAAAAAATTCCTGATGGCTGATAGGTTCTATATACATAATAGTAAACCAAAAAAAAAAAAAAGTGAAAAACAAATTTCTCCCTCCTCACCCCTTTGATACTAGCAGGCTTATTAATAAAAAGTTTTACCTGGATAGAAGCTTTGCAATGATCAACAGATAATTGTAATTCTCCCACTAAACAAAATGCCTGAGCAATGCTGTCTTCTGCCTGCACGCATGATATTATGTTTAAGGAAATAAAAGTTAAACCATCATATTAAAAACATAAAACACTGTTTGTCTACCAGTCCATCCCATTCAATAGGTGTTACTCACACTTGGAGTCTAAGCAATCCAATCATTGAGTACGTATTTGGATTAGCTAATTCTGTGTTTAAAAGATTATATATTTACCTATTTTCTCAAATACATATTATATATTACACAACATTTTTGCTTCCACTCCCCTAAAGGCGGAGGAAGAAATAAAATCAAAGGAGGGCCAATGTAATTTCTTTGAAATAATTTTTTTTAAATTTTTATATATGAAATTTTTAAATAAAATAAAAAATTTTGGGCTAGTCATGACATTCCGTACCACTCCTTGGCTTTGCCTATGTATACATCCTTGGGAAAGAGAAAGATATATAAAGGGAAAAAAATTAAGATATAGAGAAGGGAATTAAAATGACATGTGAAAAATCAGGTTTGTATATTAAAATGGAGTAATAAAATTAAGTGCAATATCAATTTAGTTTTAAAAGTTTTATAGCCTGCTATCTCATGATTACTTTAATTTCACATTGGTTAAATTTAATGCTTATGAAGTTATTAAGCAGTATGGGTATCCAAGACTACCAACACACACACACACCTATCAGCAGAAAGAGCTGAAACTATAATTAGAAGGGAGGAGTATTGAACTGCAGGAAGCTGAAACTCACCTCTGCAATACACTTGTTGTATGCGTGCAAATTTGATCTAAGCAATTGAAGAGATCTCAAAGCATCAGAAATAGTAATGCTTGAAATTTCTTTTGACAATATTGTATCCTGCAACCTGTCATTCCCATATTTCAGGAAGTAAAATACTAAAAAATAAGCAACCCTCTACATTTACAACGAGCTCATGCAGGATTTAAAATGGGAGGATATATCAAGCTAGCCTCAAATTGGGAACCATTCAAGATTAGCTGTAACTATATTCAGAGTAAAAGGAAAGCTGTACTTTAGGATGAGGTTATTAAGAGCCAAATGGAACAGTGCGTACCTTCTTATGCATATTAAAGCTTTACTCACTGCAGCATGTGAAGACTCCAAATCACAGTTAGAACCACATTTCAAACAGTATCCTGGTCGACTATGAATAGAGGCCCCATTTTGCTTAAAGACATCAAGACATACTTCATAAATGTCATCATTCTTGTCAACCTGAAAGAGTGAAGGGTTTTTGTAGTGAAAAAGTATTGCATTCCTGAAAGGATGAAAACGTGCATCCTAATGTCATGTATCCAAGTTTCCAGACCCTTGAGTACCTTACGTGACAGAATGTAAATGCTTAGTTGTTCAGAGTGATGGTGATATTTTATTTGTTATAAGGAAGATGGTATCTGGCAGAATCGCCAGTCCATAATATTTTCTAGTAACATCTCTATAAATATGAACGAAACAGAAGACTCAGATGACACCAAAATTTAACTGCATGTCTGAATTTAAGCCGTGGTTAGGTAGGCGTTTTCAGAACACTGCCAAGAATGGATAGAAGGTGGAAGCAGGCTACTCGATATTCTGATACAAGAAAGAATTGTTGTTATGCATGAATAATTGGCTTTGTTGTACCACATTATTTGTCTCTGTTTGCATTAATTTCTACCCTTATTTCCAAATCCCTCCATATAATTAGTATTTATATCCCATATTTCCTTATTCCCTCTATTTGAAGCCTAAAAATACTAGGTTAGCATTTATTATTCACTCTATATCTGATGTAATGTAATGCATCTCAACCACACGAATGGTTTCTATAATGATATTTGTTAAGGCAATCTCAAGAAAATCAAGACACCACCCAAGGTAAACCACACAATTTAAACTTATCCTAAATTTATAATGCATATAACAATAGTAATTCAGTATCTACAAGTGTCCTCTAAATGGCTTACACCGTCAGTAATAGGGAAGTGCTTGATTTTCTGCTGTTCACAGTCAAGTACTCTGCTTTCTAACACTGCGCCAGAACAATTTGGATTGACACAATGGAAGGCATTGAGGACAATGTCAGATACATTAACTTCTGAACAACCAATACACCGACAATGAAATGCATATTCATCTTTGAGAAAATTAAGGCGATCTTGACAATCCCACAACCCAACCTGCAAAACAGAACTGTATATTGAACATTTGAACAAAAGCAATTATGCAACAGATTTGACATTTGAAAAGTCTGAGTAAATAACTTTTTCTTACCTTGTTTTGCTTTCTTTTTGTGGAGGGGAAAAGGACTTGGACCCATATGTTAAACAATACAATTCAGACCCAGTCACCAGGGAAGTACGTTAAAGCCTAACAAACTGTTACTAAAATCATCTAAAACGGATTACCCACCATGGTTGGTGTAATGCTATTCAAGTGAGTCTAGAATACAAGTTCATTTAGCAGGTGTATTATTTCTTTCATCCTTCACTTTATGTAAAGTACTTGTAGGAAATTTAGGAATTTAGTGATAAGATGGAAGGAAAGAATCACTCTTCCCAAGGGAGACAACACACAAAGGATGTGAAAGTCCTTTGATACAGCCAAGGTTTCTTGAATCACTCAAGGATTTAGGAGAATCACTCTCACTAAGATAAAAGAGATAAACTCTGATATTTCTGAATAAAATTTCACTTGTTATTTCTTGATAAAGATGATTCAGCTCATATAGAAGTGTTGTCATCAGAATTACAAAAGACTCAATAAAAGAAAATAAATACTAATAATAATCCATTAATCTAGGAATTGAAAACTATTTAATGAAAACAAATAAAGACTAATAATGATCCATTAACCTAGGAATTAAAAACTACTTAATGACTGATTGTATAGCATTCAAAAGTCAATCAGCTATGCACCCCTTGGTCTCCCAAAGGCTGATGACTAAATTTTCAATTGGGCTCTTATTACAACTTAAAACAAAATCAAACTAAAGCCCATTAATTGATTAATTCAAAACATAATTTGGTCAACCAACAATATTTGTTGAAAAACTTCCTTTATTTCCCTTGCTCTAACCCTTATCATAGGTCATGTTCATATCAGTACTGCCCGTTCTTTCTCCACTATGAGAAGATATCCGATTGCAATTTGCATGTATCTTCTTCAAGTGGGCTTAGGCTTGTACTAGCAGTTATAATAGTAGTAATTGACCATTCTTGATTATTAATGTAAAATAAAATAGGTGTCTCTTGTTATTTTTAATTATCTAATAGAAGTTTCTTTATTGTAACACATGAAGATACAAACCACATATAATATTATTCCAAACCCTCAATTTGCTTATCTGAGCAACCTGTTACCATCAAATTCATAGGAAAATTTCACGATCTTTTCTCTCCCACTTTTGAAATTGGTATCTTGACAAGGCAACAGAAGAACTTCTTAAATTAAGTTGTCAAAAGTTTAATCCATGCAATGCAACCCTTTGTTCTAATTAAATTATTATTTCAGTACAAAGTTTGGTGGGCCCTTGTTCTCTATGGCTCAAGCACAACGGGAATTTACGTGAGGAGGAATGTTTGAGATGAAAATAAACTACTCTTTAACAGCTTAAGCTTTAAGTATGCCTACTTGATCACTGTCAAGACAATCTTTATCAGGAAAAAAAAAATAGACATACTTCAAAAGTTTCAAACAAAAAAACTAACTAGCAATTTTCAATACAGCTTTTAATTCCAAAATGAAGGTACCTGCGGACCATAAGACAATTCTAGCTGACACCCAGATGCTACACCATTTGTGGTTCGTATGTAAAGAGTGCGCGAAAGAAAATATGCATGGGCATTTGGTTGGCAAGAATGGTTGAATAAACTGGCAGCTTTATAAATAGCTTTACCCACTCTTACCTACAAGAAATAACATAATATGACTTAGAATCAGCAACGTTATAATAGTCACTAAGAAAAGATTACCATCACCAACAATGTCAAAATTATAAATGTTTGACTTGCAATAATATTCACAAAATATAGCAAAAGCAAAATTGTATCAAGGAAAATAATGCAATAGAAGTCAAGAGTTTGGTTTCTATGTACTGTCAGTGTAAATATTTTTACATTGTAAACAAATAAAAAATAATCTCAAGCACAACTTTTCAGTGTTAATAGTTGTTATAGAAATCAACAAACTCGTCAAATGTAGTAATTTATAATTGAAAGACTATGTAAATTACACTATCAATGCATTATTCTAATTAAATTCTACAAGGACATATGTGGCAAAATATCTACCTGTTCCACATTACTAGTTGAATGTGCACCAGATTCAAATGAAAATTCTCCAAAATGACCGGATAGTCCATGAGTGTCTATTGATTTTAAACGAACAACGGTCATACAATTCACTTTAATTTGAGAGATAATTATGACAACCTGCATTTACAAAAAAATACGGAACTGGAATATGATTATTTTAATGTACGAGAAAGCAACAAAATAAATTACACTTTTTGACATAGGCTTCAACATATTGGAAAATGTTGTTAAGATGGTTTTGTAACTTTTGTTATGAATAAAAGAACAAATAGACACATCCACATGTGCATGCATGCACACACAGAGGAGTACCAAAACAACCTGTGATATGGATACTCCATCTGGGGAAACCATAGCTCCAAAAGAGTGTTGAAGACAATATAACAATACAATGGCATATATATGTGAATCCAATTTTCTTTCAGATGACATATGTTCGTAACAATGAGAAAGCTCCTGCATGAGAAGGACAGAAGCTATAAGTAGGCAGCTACTCATAATCAAATGACAACAAAATCAACCGAACTGAAGAACTGCATGAATTTAAAATATACCAGCCTTTCCACAAAGTTTATAATATCTTCAGATGTGCTATTCAGCAAAAGCCGTGCTAGCATTCTGCCAGCCAAAACAATCTCAGATGGCAATACCACAGGCCAATGTACGCCTTGACATTCATGTTTATGTTCAGTAATATCCTCAATTTCTTGTTCAGAATCACTGCTTTGGATAACTTCAGCCGCATATTCTCCAAGATCACTGGGCATATTTTTAAAAGTGTCATTTTTTTCTGGGTATATCCTGAACATTTTCCCACCTGCTCGGATCTGGCATTGGTGAGAACAATACAACGGTATTGAACATGATATACAAGGAACACTATCAGCAGGTAGGTCATTCAGGCAATAATGGCAACGAGTTTCCCGACATTGCTTTAATATTATCTGCAGTGTAAAAAAACTATGAAGTTAACTTCATAGAATAGGTTTGTTTTCCTAAAGAAATACAAATATATAAAGAACTGAAAAACAATTTATTCGTTGACCTCAAGAAGACTGATTCATGTTTATAAGTTAAAGCTACTGACAACAAATATCATGTCATGCATGTCATTAACCAACTATCCCAAAGCTTAAGATGTTGGGTAGAAAACACATGAATGTTCATAATAGTATTTACATTTTAAACACACCCCTTCATGCCAGAGCCTTTTAAACTTGAAACATGAAGCATGACTAGTGCATAGGCCCACCAATATGTACATTAAACTTTTATTAGAAGAATGGGGGCAAGGATCAAACTGTGGATCACTTGGTCATAAAGGTTTGAATACCATGTCAAGAATAAAGCTTAAGTTGTTAGGTGAAGCCACAGGGATGGTCTTATATTTAATTTTAATTATTTTATCAATGTCCTTATTTTCTCAAAAAAGAGTGAATATAAGTAAACTTTACAATATGACATACATATCAAGTATTAATTTATTTTTACTAAAACATGGATGTAAATCAATTTTGAAATCTTAATGTTGATTAAAACCAGGAGTCTCCAGCTCTCTCTGAAAAGGAAATCATGTACTTATAAAGATGACAACAAAGAGGTTGAAGCCATTTCGTCTGCAATTTAGCCCATTGTGCGCGCGTGTGTATTACTCAGAAATTGTAATGTGACATCTGTGAGCTAGTAAGAGTTATTTACAGGTTCAAAATTGTTTCTGTAACAGTATGTAGCAATTCATTTCATTCAAAAGAACTCAGTTGTTTCCTTTCACAAATTTCTCCAACTTCTATGACCCCTTGTGCTTCCAATTGAATCAACCAACACCCAAAACTATTCCATTTAAATAGCTTAAGATTATCTGACATGCACATAACTTTCACAATAAACATAAATAAAGCAGAAAGAAAAGTTTCCAAAGAATCTCTATAGTTGATATCTTAATATTTTTCTCAACCACAGACACACACATCTAAACTCCCACCGTCTTAGCAACTGGAAACAAGAAAACAAATGACCTTTTATTTTTGCAGTAAATTTTCTTCCTTTACATCAGTTCTATTTGAACATCATTTCACCTCCTAGTAAATGGCAAGAAAAGCACAATGAGTTTTTTCCTAACAATTCTCTTTGCTTACTGTAGGTCTCATGCACTATCATGTGTATAAAGCATTCAGAATTTGTAACTAATTAAAGCGAATAGTAAACAATGAAATAGGTTTCGGATGTTGATGCTTCAACTGAAAGCAAATAGGATAAATTACACATGAAACTAAGTTGAAGCAGGTCATGTATATTTTAGCCATAAAAAAATATTAAAAAAACTAATTGATCACCATCAAAGCAAAATGAAGCCATTAACATCACTAAAATTGGACATAAAAATAAGTTTACAACAAATGATATTACAGAGAATATAGTTGTTTGTTACCATAGCATAAGGTTCTTCAGAATGAACCAAAGATCCTGGTGAAATGACACACGACGAAACCATGCCTCTTCCTTTATTAGGCATGGAGACACACTGTAGCTTCATTTGAGGAATCTCACCTGCCACAATGCACTTTACCATCTTAGTATCTCAGGAAGAGTGAAAAAAAAAAGGTTCTTTCAGTGTATAAAGAACAGCTGACTGGAGCCATGGACATGATAAAAAGGAAAGAAGTTAGAATAGAGCAAGTTGATTAAACTTGAAAAGGAATTAATTTAAATGACAGAAGATGTTTTCTCTATTGAGTTGATCTTAAACATTACATCAACATCTATATATAAAGAATCTTAACCCTAAAGGAATAATTACAAAGAGATCTCTAGAATCTTCTTAACAACTTCTAACCACTTCTAATAACACATTTAATCTCCTAACAACTTCTAACCACTTCTAACAGTATATTTAATATCTTAATATCAACGCTTCCCCTCAATCTCGTGAATGGATATCAATCATTCCCAGCTTGCATGTGAGATCATAAAATCATTTAGTGAAAAGACCTTTTGTGAAGAGATCTACTAATTGAAGCCCAGACGAGACATAAGAAGCATTGATAAGGCCATTATCTAATTTTTCTTTAATAAAGTGTCGATCTATCTCTATATATTTGGTCTTATCATGTTGGACTGGATTGTGAACAATGTTATTAATTTATTTGTTATCACAATATAGAGTCATAGACTCTTCACATGACACTTTAAGATCTTTTAGAATAATTCTTAGCCATAACAATTCACACACCCCATGAGCCATAGCTCGGAATTCAGCCTCTACAGTAGACCTTGCAACAACATTTTGTTTCTTACTTCTCTAAGACACCAAATTTCCACACAAGAACATGCAATATCCTAAGGTTGATTTCCTATTTGTGACAGACCTTGCATAATCTGCATCAATATAAACTTCCATTTTCAACTTTTCATTTCTCTTAAACAATAATCCCCATTCCTGGACTTGTCTTCAAGTATTAAAGGATTTTGTTCACCGTTTGCAAATGTCTCTCCCTTGAATCATGCATGAACTGACTAACCACACTCACAACATAGGCTATGTTAAGTCTCGTGTTGGTTAAGTAAATGAGTTTCCCCACAAGTATTTGATATTGACCCTTGTTCACAGCAGAATTGTCTTTACCACTTCCAATTCTATGGTTTGTTCTATAGGAACACCAGTGGTCTTGCAAGCAATTTTACCTGTTTCTTTGAGAAGATCAAGAACATGCTTTCTTTGGGAGATAAAAATGTCTTTCTTCAAGTAAGCTACTTTAATCCCAAGAAAGTATTTTAATTTTCTTAAATCCTTCATCTCAAACTGAGCAACAAGCTTTTCTTTCAAGATTTGTTTTTCATTTTGATCATTTTCTGCAACAATCATATCGTCAACATAGACTAAGAGTAGAGTAAGTTTACCTTCTGGGGAATGCTTAATGAGCAAGGTATGGTCACCTTGACTTTGCCGATAACCTATGGAGATCATAACATGAGTGAGAGTGAGTCTACCAAACCAAGCACTGGGTGACTGCTTGAGTCTGTACAAGGCTTTCTTCAACTTGCGCACTTTATTCCCTTCTTCAATAGACCTAAAACCTGGAAAAAATTTCATATAGACTTCTTCTAAATGTCCATGCAAGAAAGCATTTTTCACATCAAATTGTTACAATTCCCAACCAAAATAAGCTGCCAATGAGAGAATGATTCTAACAGTATTCATCTTTGCTACTGGAGCAAATGTCTCCTCATAATCAACACCATAAGTTTGGGTGTATCCTTTGTTTTGTAATGATCTAATGTTCCATCAGATTTACACTTTACATTATAGACCCATCTGCATCCTACTACCCTTTTATTTAGTGGTCTATCAGCAATTTCCCATGTATGGTTCTTTTCCAAGGCATTCATCTCTTCATTCATGGCTTCAACCCAATTCTCATCCTTCAATGCATCTTGAACTGATGTAGGGACTTTAATTGCATCAATGGCAGAGAGGAAACTTTTGTGTTGCATAGAAAGGTGTTTAGTGGTCATAAAATGAGAAATAGGGTACTTGGTACAAGACCGAGTTCCTTTTCTCAAAGCAATGGGCAGGTCATCAAGGTTAAGTTCACAATTATTATTCAAGGAATTTTCTAACGGTTCAAGGGTGTCAGAAGAATGAACACTGACCCCTGACTCAGACGATTGGAATTGTCCTTGGATCAGTTTAGGTTGCTTTTGTCTCCTCTGATATTGTATACGAAATAAACTCTCTAAACAACTAGTTTCTGGAGCTTACCCAAATTCAAGGACAATATTGCCCTCACTAGAAGCAGCTTCAGAGACATCCATATGAGATGAGTTAGGAGAAGTATTAGTATGAGACAGTTTCGGGACAAAAGATGGCTTTGGAGACTCAAAAGACTCAGCTTCGATAGAATTCTCTCCCTGAAGCTAAGGACGCAACTAAAAGGATTGAGTTTCATCAAAAGTGAGATCCATTGAGGTAAAAAAACTTTCGACTTGGAGGATGATAACACCAATATCCCTTTTTTATTCAAAGCGTAACCAATGCATATGCATTTAATAGCTCTAGGATCTAACTTCCCACGGAATTGACTACGAATATGGACAAACACAACACATCCAAATAGTCGACTATGAAGACTAGAGAGAAAAGTAATAGATGGAAGGAAGGAAGACATGGACTCAATGGGACTCAGGCCATCTAAAACTCGAGAGGGTAATCAGTTAATAAGATGGGCAACAGTAAGGACAGCATCGCCCCAATAAGATTTAGGGACATACATTTGGAAGAGAAGTGTCCGTGTCACCTCAAGAAGATGCCTATTTTTTCTTTTGGCAATGCCATTTTGTTGCAGTGTACACATGTGAGTTCATGAACAATACCATTGTCAAAAAGGAATTTAGGCATGTCATGATTTACTTATTCCCTCTCGTTATCAGAACGCAAATGTTTACTTACCTTTCCAAATTGTGTTTTTATCACATGGAAGAATTTGGAAAATAAGGTAAAAACTTCAGATTTTTCTTTAATGAGGAAAATCCATGTGTCACGGGTACAATCATCAATAAAAGTAAAACCATTTCGATATACTGGTGTTTGATGTAGGTCCCCAAACATCAAAGTGAACCAAATCAAAAGGATGAACACTCTTTGAATTACTAGGAGAATATGTGGCACGATGGTGCTTTGCAAGTTGACATACATCACATTTAAATGACTTAGCAGACTCTGTGGAAAATAAAGAAGAAAACATAGACTTTAGAACAAAAAAAGATAGATGTCTCAAACGACAGTGGAGAAGCCAAATTTAAGAGGACTTAAAAGTAGTGCAAGACTAGAGACAAGAGATAGTCGGGTTCTTACTGATACTATCCTTAGTTTCCAAGTTGTCAAGGTAATTCAACCCTCCCTGTTCCTTAACTGTTCCAATCGTCCTGCTCGTGGCAAGATCCTGAAAAACACAATGAGTGAAAAAGAAGGTTACAAAATAGTTTAGGTCATAAGTTTTTTAACAAGAGATAAGGTTATTAGAAAATTTTGGAACATAAAGAACATCTTGAAGGTTGAGAGGTGGAAAAAGATAGATGTTACCACGTCCAATTAATGAGATATGGGTCTCATTGGCAACAGTAACGTGGTTACCAGAAAGAGAAACATATAATGTTAAAAAAGATGAATGAGTCATATGATCTGTCGTATTCGAGTTTAGAACCCAAGAGTCCTTACATATAGTTTTAGAAACATTAAAAGAGGAATTGGAGTTCTTACCAATCATGGTTAGAGAACAAGTACCAGAAGATGGCTTACTGATGGATTCCATTGAAGATTTCAGTTGGTCAATTTCAACACGAAATGCAAGCATTCCTTCTTCAATTGCAGGGGATGAAAGAGTCTTGCCAGTATTTTCAAAATCTGAAGTTGCTTGATAAGCCTTCCTTGTGGGTTGTCCTTTTAGTTCTGCTAAACGATTGAGAGCTTTCTTTTTCCATGTAGCTTGAAGCAAGTCTTTTTACAATCACTAGAGATTTCTTACAATGAGAGCACCAACACCAACGATCATCTTTCCCTCTAAAGCTGAGTTTTATGTTTCCAAGATTTGAAGTCCCAATTTAGAGGCCTTTCCCAATAACACGGTAGCTCCTTCAATGGAGGGTTCATTCATTATGACCATTCGACGAGTTTCTTCACCTCGAACAATGTAGAAGACTTCAGAAAGAGAAAGAAAATTTTCCTTCCAAGAATTTGTGCCCTAACAAGGTCATATTCAAGATTCAATCCTGACAAGAACTTAAATATCTGAGATCGTTCAACAAACTGAGATAGAGTGACAACTTCTCGACTATTTTAAAGCCTTAAATTTTGATATTGGTCCAACTCAATCCACAGTCCCCTCAACATTCCATAGTATTCTGCAACAGAAAGAGTGCCTTGCTTGGCACCAAAAATCTTGTTTTCTAGCTCATAGCACGTGGAAATGTCTTGTCGCATAGAATAGGTATTTGCAAAGTCTTCCCAGATTTCACGAGCACTAGAGTAAAACATATAATTTCTACTTATTTATGTAATCATAGATCCCCATAGCCATGTAATAATCGTGAATCATCATTGTCCAAACTTTGGAAATTATGGTTATCTCGAGCTTATGGCATCTCTTTCAATGTGGTTGAGCCTACTCGTACCTTTCAACATGCGTCTGATAAATTGAGCCCATTGGAGATAATTTCGACCATTAAGGCGATTGTCATCTAGTAAATGAGGAAGATTTGCATTGCTTAATGGAGTTGCCATGTTGCGGAGAGAGAAGCAGGCTTGTGACGACTCAAAAAACGGTTGATCCGACAACAATAGCTCTGACGGCAACTGCTTCGACAACAGTGAATATTCCGGCAATGGCGACGACTTCGACGATTGCTCTAGTGATTGCTTCAGCAATGGCTCCGGCGACTGCTCCAGTGGTGGCAACAGTGATAGAACTATGAGTTGGGTGCACTTCAAGCTAACCCTATAATCAAAGGATATTGGTGCACTTCTAGCAACCCTAAGAAGAACCGTGTCTAAAACGATAAAGAAGAAATGAAATAGCAGAACCCCAAGATCAAGGGCTCTGATACCAACTTGAAAAGGAATTAATTTAAATGAAAGATGTTTTCTCTATTGAGTTTATCTAAAACAATACATTGGCGAATCTTAACCCTAAAGGAATAATTACAAGGAGATCTCTAGAATCTTCTTAACAACTTCTAACCACTTCTATCAGTACATTTAATATTGTTAGATATTTTAGATATTATTAGCCACAATATATGTATTTACCATATTTACTTGTATGACTCTTAATTATAAATATATTATCCTATGTGTATTTTAGACACAAGGGAAATTAACCTTATACCTAGTTTTTCACTATATTCAACAAATATCTTACTATCAACAAAATTCATCATGCAGTTAGCTTAAAAAGCTAGAGTAGAACTTATTACGTTACCATTTAAGTTTAACTTCTAATTTAGTTGATATTCATGTTTAATTCTAATTTTGCTGCATGAGGGTGCTCCCCCTCATTTGTTTATGTATGCATATATTTTTTGTGAACAAGTAACTCGTATAGTATCTTGATTGTTAAAGAATACCCATATTGTATTAAGTATCTAGGTTACATATTGTATCATACCATATTGTATTAAGTATCTAGGTTACATAAGTTTTGACTCCATAAGTAAATTAGTCTATAGCAGAAAGCCTATAATAGACACCACGGCTAGAGCTTACTAGAATCTTCTTACAGAAGTTATTCACACAGTTATAGAGTAAAGCTCAAGTTCTAAACAAGGAAGGCTTCTTACCCACAGTGCTGCAGCTGTTCTCCTTATGTTGTTTCTGTACTAAAGCACTTGTGCTTTTGCATTGGTCTAAAAGAATTTTCAGTTCACTTTCTATTTGTCTCTTCCCGTCTATTGAAAACTCCACACTCTTTGCCACATTTAGGTCGCAAATTGCATTTCTATAATTTCCCAATGAAGCATTTGCCTTACCTCTGCGGTACCATGCCTATGGCCAAAAGAAAAAAAAAATTAAAAGAATAACTGAAACTAGAATTTAAGTTTGCATCCATATTCTTTGCCACAGCAACCTACATCAGCACATTCCTAAAAAATCAGTTCCACCACAACAAATATTGATTAATTAGTATGAAGAAACAAAGCATGTCAAATTACACATTAATTTGAATTATCACGTTAATAACTGAAATTGTAAAACAACCCCAATAAGTTTTCAGATACCACAATGAGGCAAAGTGGGAAGAAAACTAAATGCTTCTTTTTCCACTAAACTCATTTATGCATACTTTTCCACTCAAAGTACTGAGCAAAAAAGAGATTGATATTTCTTTTTAACCACTCATGAATGACTTACTCTACAAACATTATTGCACATATCACAACAAACCTGGTCCAGATGCTGGAAGTCAACTCATTCTATAATGGTGTATAACTACATAAAAAAGTAAACTCAGGAAAAACAGGTAACTACTGGAGTTGATTTTCACCTTTGCATAGCTTGGACAAATTTGAAGAGCTCGAGTGCAATCTCGCAAGCATTCTACTAAAAGACTCATTTTCTGCCGGAAACATACATGCATAAATAATCTATTGCAATATCAAACCTTTCATTTTTACAAATAATATGTGTGTGGTTAAGGACTTAGGGCTAACTTTAAAATGGAACTTACATGCAATACAGTAGCACGATTGATATATAATGTTGCAACAAGATTACTTTTCACATCAGCAGTATCTAATGGAGCCTTGCGCAATGCCTTTCCATCATATTAGAAGAAGAGCAAGTAAGGAACATGTATATCATAGAGCATGATTAATAAGTTTTCTTCACTCAAACACAAAATAAAACAAGACTAAACAATTAGTTCCTATTGTCAGAACTAGACTTACAATTTATGGCCGATCTAAAAATGTTTGATATCAGGATAATATTGTAAAAAAAAGTGTGAACTATTTTAAGACATGTTTTGTAGGATGAGATGGAAAGGACGTGTGACATTTGATTGGAATAATGATGGAATTTGCATTGCATTCCAAGACAACCCAAAAGAAAATTCGCTTCCAATTATTATTCAGGCCCAGCCAAGAAGATTTAACCTCAAATTTCATAATCTTTTTTTAATCAATTATTACAAGAAGAATGCTATCAACACATTTTTTTACACTCTTTCTAGCAAACTCTAATATCAAGTGAATTTCATGTGGACTTACTAACATAGAGAGTGGACATATATTATTTAACAGATCCTATATTAGCTTCCTGAACCGAACAAAATATCGAAGATACCTTCACGGTTCACCCACTTTATCCTAATGTAGATAGATAGATGAATGTTAGATCCCTATGTTGTTCTAAAATAGAAACCTTATCATTCCCAATCTCCATTTTCATAAAGTTCAACCCTGTATCACTAGGACAGAAAACAATGGGTCGAACTCTTCTCTGAAGACAAAATAATATCTATGAATAGCCATTAACTACCAACAGAGAGAAGAAGAGTACAACCTATTGTAGGACATACAATGCATTCCATTGTATGATCATTACACTTCAATTGGGTTACTCTATCTCACCCCTAGAAAGAAAAGAACTTACAAGAAGATACTTGTTGGCATGTCAATACATTTATACAAACTTCTACACCAAGCACGTGCAAGATGGTTAAGTAAAATCGAATCCACAAAATCATTTGGTCAATTGGACAACATATCGTTGAAGTAACTTAAATGTTGGAACTTGGAAGCAAATAGCTTACTAAGTGTAAAGTGTCCAAACTTCATTTATCATGTTATTAAATTCGCTACCCCCAATTGGAATGTATCACTCCTTCGAGGTGGTCATTTTTGCTTTTATTGTTTAATTTAATCTTCTATGACTTTTGATGTTGATGTTTAATTTTCTCTATAACTTGTATGGCTTTGGGACTATAACTTGTTTGTAGAGATTAGTAGGTCCGTTATCATCTGGCAATGCTCTTTGAGATGCAACCATGAGCAATGTGCTGTGTACCAAAATCTCCTATAGTTGTCCCATTCAGGTTTGTATGTATGCTGTCATGTACAGTTGTATTTTGTGAAAAGTAAAAGTAAAGAATAACAATGCACTTGAGAACCGGATTTTACAAAAAAAAAAAAAAATAATAATAATAATTCCAAACCAGTTGGGAAGTGGTTCGATTCTGAACTTGTTTATTAAAGCAGTTAAGCTAAGAACTGATTCATTAAAGCAATCAAGTTCAGCAAAGATGTTCGACTATGAAGGCATGGCACATTTGAATCACCTAGACGAGGGAGCAGCTGAAGGAAAATTTAAATTTTAAAAGAAGAAACCTGAGTATAGCAGTCCAAGGCCTTGGCATAATCTGCGTTGGAGAAGCATTGATTACCAAGCTGCTTGGATTTCAAGGCATCTTCCTTACTCTTACCGCACAGACCATACTTTGGATCCGCCAGTTGAGTGATAATCTGAAAACACCGCAATTCGTAGGAGCAAGAAATTAGGGATTATTGGTTGGGAATAGAGAAGGTTTAGTTTGTTTACCTGGTGAAATGTGTCGAATTGGAGAAAGAAGCGGTGAAGAGAAGAGCACGTGCTTCGAAGATCATCGACAGTGCTATCCTCTATTGCTCGCTTCAGGTTTTCTGGAATAGCTGCTTTCAGAGTCTCCATCTTCTGCTACTCACACACAAGCAACCACACTCTCACACCAGACTGGTTTTTCTTTCATGTTTGCTTTTATATGTTCAAAGACAGTTGAAATACCTGTCCCTACCTAAGTTTGTAATTCAGTAAACTTGTAAATTAATTTTGATTAGATATTGAACACATTTTTCCATTAATCTAATTTTATATTTTAAAATAATTTGAAGATTAGATTGCTAGTTTAATTATTTAATATGCCTTTAAACTATTAAATCTTCTCTATTTAGGTATTTAATGGAATCACAATAAAAATGTGATCATGTAATTAAAAATGACCTGTAAGTTCACCTAATTACAAAAGTTATAAAATTTACAAACTTGTTTAAAAAAATTCAGATAATTTAGAAAAATGCCTATTAATTTAAGCGTTTTTATACATAAGAAATATATACTTATATAATGTGGCACTGTTTATTTCTAGTCGGTTTTTACTTAGTTAAGTTAGAAATAAAATTTATGTTCGTATTCAATATTTTGTCTTTAATAATTTGTGTTTAGTTGTGATACATTAGTAATCGATTATTATTATAATTATAACATAAAATAATAAAAATTCAAATTTGTAAAAACACAAAAACATTTTAAATCTTTAGCAATTTATTGATTAATGTTAAAAAACTGTCTATATCCCTACACAATACAATGAATAATTAAAAAAATAGAAAATGAATTATAGTTCAAACAAGAGAAGAAAAATTGTGCTGTCACAAAAGAAAATAGTTTTATACTATCATTTATATCAAATATAAAACAATTTTATATTATCAATGCATACAACCTAAAACAAAGTATATTTAAAAATCATTTTTTCATAATTAAACATAAACTTTAATTTATACAACTGATTAAAAATATAAACGATTATTAAAATATATTTTTCATAATTATTCCACACATTTTCAGCTTATTTTGAATTTTTTTTCTATTTTTCTCGAAAAAATCCAAATAAAAAAAGTTTTCCTGAACATGTTAACAAACAAGTCTTGCAAATTAGGTAGGAAGAAATTTTTTATATTTAAATGAAATAAATATTAAATTATTATTTTAATTTAGTAAAGATATTATTAATATTTAATATTTTATCTTATTTTTATTTTATAAGATATACTTGTACGAGACATCTGATATACCTATTCAATAAAAAATTATAATTAAAATATTATTAATATAATATTTTATATATATATATATATATATATATATATATATATATATATATAAATATGTAAATTAAAGATATATCCACTATAGTCTACGAAACTCTAAAAGTTCCAATCAAAATATAACGTGTTGGTACGCTACCAAATGTTTTTAAGATCCTTATTGGTCCAGAAGCAGCAGCTGCTGGAGCATTTAAAGATAAGCTTCAATAAGACATCCACGGTGGTTCCATTCTCCATGTGTCTTACAAGGGCATGGCAAGAACATAACCAGATTGTGAGCCACTGATTTTATCTAGGAGCTTCTTAACTAGATCACCTGCTAGGTAAGAGATTCCCGAGGTTGCAAGTGCCAAGGCAACATAATGTAACACTGTTTTGACATAGGATTTGGGTGGTCTACTGGTGTAAGCTTTTGCCATAGCAAGCAGAATGATGCACACAACAGAAGAAGCTGTCACAGCTGAAATCTTAACTTCATCATAGTTGTGCATAGAAATCAAGAGGCCGTAGACACCAAGTGGGACAGAACCAAAAATTAAGAATGATAAAACAGCTAGAAGAAAATGAAGTATGAAGTTTTCTCTACGGCCAAGTAGTTCCTGATATCGATCTTGTTGTGTATTTATTTGTAGTGGATGCCCTCCAGAATGACCATTTTTCAGATCATTGAGCTGGGAAAGGAGAAAATAGAGCTATGACATTAGCATCATGCACTGTGATTCAAATAATATTACACGGTACTCATCAAATATAATCAAAGAACTGATCTTTAACCATAATAGAACTGTAAATAAGCAGCAAATGGAAGGCCACTCACATTATGGCCAATGACAAAAAGTCCACCGAGGATGCTCGCCAACCCAAATGCTATAATATTCACTACATTATTCATAAAATAAAATAAAAATTACACATTGCTACCAATCTAAATATCAATTTTACGATATAAAATAACAATTCTAGCAACTCAGATCACCATCTCATAAAACCTAGAAAACAGCTGAGTACCCTTTTTTTGTTTCTATCTTAAATTATACTCTAAGAAACAAATAAGTTTAGAACTTATTTTCTATACAATGTCGATGAAAAAAAACATTACACCATCAAATTGCAGAGATTATGGTTAACACAACTTTCAAGGTAGTTATGTAAATGTATACAAATACTTTTTTTTTCTTAATTGTATGAACATGCCCAATTCCGTACAAAATTATGAACGTATACTACAGCAAATCCACTTGATATCTTTTGGTTGTATCGTTATGATGTGATGATTAGTATGGTGAGTTCATGTATTCTTTCATAAATAAACTTGTTTCATTTACCATGAACAAATCTAAGGACATAAAATGCAACTAATTTGTTTAAACATGAAACATAAATCTCTATTAATTTATCTCTAGGTACTTCACCATCACAGTGCTCAAATTAAAATTTCTTGTAAGCATCTTCTTTATTGTGAAAGAAAAGAATACAGACATAATGATAACTATATTAATTTGCAATATTGACCATCAACCCCTCCCCCAGTAGAGATAGAGAGATGGAAGCACTTACATGGAGAAGCACCAGAAGAAGAAGCAGATGACACGACCCCAAGACTAGTGATTGATTCAACTAAACCACCGTATACAATGCTTTTAAGCATTTCCGACTCTTGGTGCTCACCAATTTCAGCTCTTGGTTGCTCTCCAATATAGATTTCAGTATGTGTTTTTGTCACAGTAGCTTCTTCAATTGGAACATATGCTGCCTGGGACGTTGAGGTTTTAAATGCTTCTGCCTCAACAAAAACTTCACATTACTAATAGCATCATAATCCTATAACCTTTTTTATGAGAACACAAACTGAAAGAAAATATAAGGGGACCAAGAATTATTGTTGATTGATTATTAACTTGAGTTCTTTCGTCTTCATACCTTCCTTTTCTTTTGCAACAGAAGGTTTTATTTCCTCTTCAATACCCTTTTGCACTTGCTTAAAATCTTGAATTGATGGAATCGTGGTATCTACTATGAAGTTTTGTTTGTCTCTAGCTACATCCTTTGCAACTACTTCACTGCGTAATGATTGATCTCGTGATTGCGCTTCTTTCCTCAAAGAGGAATAACTATCCTGAGCTATTTCCAGTACGTCTTTCTGTCCCTTGTCAAAGATTGGAGACACTTCATACGGTTTTAGAATGTCATCTTGTGCAGGTTTCCCAGCATTAAAAAGTACTTCAGTGGTAGCAACAGCTGCTACTAAAACACTATAAGGCTTGGATATATTTGCAACAACATCTGCACGCACAATTCAATAAGAAACCAAGAGACAATTTTGCAGGTTTGGAATTTTATAATATTTTTCACCAAAAATAGAGGGAAGTTACTTATAGATCATAACCATACTGCTTCATTTATAAATAAGGCCTTCAAAGTTGAACCAATGACTGTAGAAACCGTATTACTAAGGAATTACCACTCCAAACAGTTAGTTTACTATGTTGCTAAATTCATCAGGAATATATGGACAATATGATTCTTTGTTGAAAACACAAACCTCAATAAAATGAAGGAATTGTCATCTTAAATTTTAGACATACCTGTCTTTATCACATCCACAAGATCACGATTTTTCTGTCTCACATTTTCAGTAGTAGCAACAGTTGCTAATAAAACACTATCACGATTGGATATATCTGCATGCATACTTCAATAAGATAATTTTGCTTGCAGGTTTTGGAATTAATAACATTTCACCAAAATATAGAAGGAAATTACTTATATATCAGAACCATAATGGTTCATCTATGATAATGGCCTTCAAAGATGGAGCATGTGACAGTGAAACCTGTATGACTAAGGAAATGCCTCTCCAAAAGCTTATTTACGTGCATGGACAATACCATTTAAGTTGAAAATTAAAAGAAAAAATTAAATGAATTTTTCTAAAAACTAAACTTAACTAATACATAGGTTAGAAATTATCTTTTAAAAAAATAATTTGAAAGCGGTTCAAACAAAATAAGTTATTCATAAGTTAATTTTCGTTTATAGAGAAACTTATTTTATTTTTTAAGTGTTTATGAAAAATTCTATCCTCACAAACTAAAAAAATGAAAACTCAATCAAGGAACTGCCATCTTTAAATTTCAAGCAACAAAACAAAATCAAGGAATTGTGTCATCATGAAATTTGAAGCATACCTGTCTTTATCACAACCACTGAATCACGATTTTTGTCTTCCACATCACTGGAACTCTGCGTGCGGGAATCATTCTGTTCAACCAATGGCTCATTCTGCAGCGCCACATTGGATTTCTTGCCTTTTTCTATCCTTGATTCAATCTTTACAACTGACTTCACTATTGAGGGAATCGAAGAATCTACTCCTCCATGGCTAATAGGTATATTAGCAAGTGAACTTTCCGGAATATCAATTCTAGAATCTTCAATTGAAGCGGGATCTGTTATAGAACCTTCGATTGAAGCATCACCTACACCGAAAGCTGAAAGATTTCATTACTAAAAAAGTATCAGTTCACATATCTTCTACTGGAGAAAAGGGAAAGAAGATCCGAGTTATAGAACTTAATGGCACATGGACAATGTCGAGCTATATCCGAACTATTGGTGTGAAGCGGATATTCAAGAAGAAAGATATGAGAAACTTTTAAGTAGTCCTTTGACTGAGCTCAGTCAAAAGAAAAAAGATGAAGATTTTAAGATCACAATGACAATTGAATTTAAGATGTCTGATTTGGGTATGATGATGTTTTTCCTTGACTTGGAGGTTAGATAGGATGAGTCGGGGATAATTGTGTCCTAAGAGGTGTATGTAAAAGAGATTTTGAATAAGTTCAAGATGACCGATTGTAATCCGGTCTCAACCCCCATTGAACCAGGAACGAAGCTTTCAAAGCTTGATGGAGGAGACTGAGTTAATCCGAGCATATATCAGAGCTTAACGGGAAGTCTTTGTTAGCTTACAAGCACAAGACTCGACTTGTTGCTGAGCATTGAGATTGTTAGTCGGTTTATGGAAGATTTGAACTATTCTCACTCCGCTAAAGCAAATACAAAGGTATAGTATCACTCAGGCTGTTGTATACGAAATCGGACAATTACCGACTCGTCGGATACTCGGATGGTGATTGATGTGGAGATGTGGATGATCGGAAAAGTATATTAGGATATGTATTTTTTATGGGAAATACAACATTCACTTGGCTTTCAAAGAAGCAACCTCTAGTGACACTGTCAATGTGTGAAGTAGAGTACGTAGTAGCATCGTGGAATGTATGTCATGCAGTGTGGCTCAAGAATTTGTTGAGTTCATTGAAGGAGAAATAACTCGGTGTGACGATGATCCAAGTTGACAACAAGTCGGTCATTGAACTAGCAAATAACTCGATCAATCATGAGAGAAATAAGCGTATTAATGTTGTTTGAGAATCGCAAGAAGCTAATTAGGATGAAGGATGGAAAAAGTGAATAACTCGATCAATCATGAAAGGAATAAGCATATTAATGTTGTTTAAGAATCGCAAGAAGCTAATTAGGATGAAGGATGGAAAACGCTCTTAGTCAATTGGTAGGTCAGGCTATGACCGATCTCAGTCAATTGAAGAGGGATTTAATTTTACAGATATCTTGAACAGATAATATTACGACTCTGTTCATTTATGATTTTGATTACAGGGAGATAATGTCAGGATTTCAAAAAACTCATGAATCTATAAATATCAAGTTGTATCATTTTACACGATAGAAATCAATAACATTTAACTTCCTCAATCACTTTGTTATCAATAACTACATCGAGCAAAATTTCACCATATAAAGTTGCTTCTTCAAGGTAAGGGTCTCCACTCTCTCCAAGTCAATAAGGAGAGTCCATGCAATTGGCATTTGGAAGACTATGAAACACAGGGATCTGAACTAACCGCTAATATGTAGAAATCTCGGCACCAACTGACCTTTAGTTCCACAAACAAAACATGGTCCATGTTGAATCATAGTTTTAACATTCATGAGCAAGGCAGAGTAGCCATTAAGATTCCCACGCCGCAAATTCCAAGGACTTTCAACTTGCTTGGTCCATGCGCAGTGGTGACATTTCCACATTCCTTCACGCATAAAAAAATGATGGCGTGCTTACTATTACGAAAACTGGAATGCCAAAAACTAATTCCCAGAAATTTGAGAAAAGTAAGATCCATGAGTATAACAATATTCATATTATTTGGTAAACTATAGTTAACTCTACTACAGTGAAGAATACCATTTAAGGTTCCAACATAAAACCAATTGGTAATATGTGGAGTAGCCTAACATGTATTTAAACCATACCAAATGACATGAGGTAGGCGATGTGGGACTTTCAACACCCCCCCTCCAATGAAGCCTGCCGGACCAGGCAAAGGGTTTTTGACCCAACTAAAGGGCAACTTTTGGCCCATGACAATAACCGGAAAGATGTTAGGCTTTGACTCTGATACCATGTTAAGGTTCCAACATAAAACCAATTGGCAATATGTGGAGTAGCCTAACATGTATTTAAACCATACCAAATGACATGAGTTAGGCGATGTGGGACTTTCAACAATACCCTTTATCAGAAGTTTTTGTATTTTCGAAACAAGCTATAAACAATAAAAAAGGACACACTGAGGTCCACAGACATGTCGTAGAATAAAAAGAAGCACAAAAGACATTGGTACCTTGTTGTTTGTCTAAATAAACACTATTCTTATGTTGTGATGCATCAAAATTTATGCTAGCACTGCTTATAGTCTCTCCATTTATGGCATTTTCTACAATCTCAGCTATGATTCCAAGCCCAACTGTTTCACTATCATCGTTGAGGGTATCGCCATTTTCAGCAACAACATTGTTTGTTTCTTCAACCTTCTGAGTAGGTTGTTCTTTCTGTTCTTCTTTGTGAGTACGATGAAGCACTTCCTCCTTCTTAGGAAGTGGTTGTTCTCCCACTGAAGAAAAAAAGGAAGGTGCTTCAGAAGAGGTAATATTACCATCTTTTCCATGTTGCAGGCATTGTCTTCCTTTCAAAGGTGCATCAACTTGCAGTTGTTGTTCTTTTTCCTCTTCCTCCTCCCTCACTGCACAGTGATAATACACTTGCTCCACTAAACCTGGCATGGTTCAGAAGGAGCTGAAGAAATAAAAGAAGGCAGAGAAAATAAGAAAAATATTTTATTTTTTGAAAGATGTGAAGACAGTATTTAACATGCTGAACCACTGTCACGTAGCTATAGATAAAGCAGTCCACTCATTAGCAGGCACAAATCTTTCCCTAACTTTTGTGAATGAAGATATGCATGCAAGCAAATTGCCAAATTGGATATTTTCAAAATTTAGTATATAAATAGTCAATTTTCTTTTAAAATTTATATGATAATTTTAAAACTATATATATTATTTTTATTTATTCATGATAAAATTTAATAATTATTACCTAAAAAACGCTAATGATTATTATTTAAATAAGAGTTTAATCTTTACAAAACTAAATATAAAATGCTCTATATTACCCATTCATAAAAAATAACTATTGATATAAAAGTTATCAAATTTATAATGTATGAGAATTATAATATAAAACATTTTTAAATAGTGAATGTATAGAGTTTTATATAACTTAAAAAAAATGAAAGAAAAATAACACTCTTGAATGTTAAGTATTAATTCTCTATTCAATTAATAACTATATCAAAGATGTTTCAATGTTAAAATTAAATGAAGGTTACTTTTTTTTTTTAATGCTCTATATTACCCATTCATGAAAAATAACTATTGACATAAAAGTTATCAAATTTATAATGTATGAAAATTATAATATAAAACATTTTTAAATAGTGAATGTATAGAGTTTTAAATAGTGAATGTATAGAGTTTTATATAACTTAAAAAAAAATTGAAAGAAAAATAACACTCTTGAATGTTAAGTATTAATTCTCTATTCAATTAATAACTTTATCAAAGATGTTTCAATGTTAAAATTAAATGAAGGTTACTTTTTTACATTGACTAAGGAAATATTTTAGAAAACTAAAAATGTTTTTTTTTGTCTATTTTCGTGTTGAAAGTGATTCTTTTCTATTAAAAAATCTACATTGATTTGTGTAATATTAAATGCGATAACAATGTATTTGTATTTCCTATAAATGTTTCAAGTTTTTTTTTTGTTATGAAAGAAATATCAGAATGTATCTAACAAATCCAAAATACTATCTTTGTCTTTAGTTTTTTATGGGACTTTATTTCCTAGAAATGTTTCAAGTTTTTTTTTTTATGATAGAAAAATCAGAATGTATCTAACAAATCCAAAATACTATCTTTGTCTTAATTTTTCGATGCGACTTTTGTTTTTGTCCTGTGTGCTTTTAAAGCTGGCGGCGATTAAGATACGGCAGTGAAACAGGCCGAAAGAGATCGAACGTAGTATTTGATTTAGAGTTCAGGGTTTTCAACAAAAAGAAAATAGAATTTTGGAATAATCAACATTTTACACTTCTAAACAATTATTGGTTTTTTTCATTGTAAACGTTAGCGAATAAATTATTATATTATAATTGTAAACAATTATTAATTAGATTAACGAATTTAATTGAATAAATTATTATATTATAATTATTGAATTATTAATTAACACAATCTCTTAATTTGGTAATTAATTTAATATTCAAATTCTTTCAAAATACTTTAAATCTTCAATTATTTAAATATTTCGTTATAATTTTTTATAAATGCCCATGTTCCTTAATGTTATAGTATTTAAGCTTCCATTTCTTTTTTCTTTATTTCTAATAAAATAAATATCAATCCTACATATTTGTTTTTTTATGATTAATTAGATTTTTCGTTAAACTTATTATTGAGTTATTGTTAATCTTTATGGTTATAGTCTTTTTTTATTTTCAGTAAATCACAATGTTTGACAAGTTATATACGCAGTCTATATGTATTTAGTTTTACAAGAGGAAAGTGTCACAATAGGTTATAGCTTTGAACATCATAAAATCAGTAATTTTCTTAATAGGAATACATAACCTAATGTGTTTCGAAATCAATTATATCTCAAACCTAATCAGAATTAGAATATTCAATCAATTCTTCTTCATTTTAATGTTTAACATTTGGTAATACAAGATCTGTAATTGATTGTCCCCTTTATATATCTCGAATTCTCTTAATTAAAGCAAGATTATATATTTTGGGTTTCTCCATATTTATGTTTGATTCTTTTATTTATGTTTTAATATGAAAAGTTAATATATATGAAAAATATACTAATTTAGAAGTTTCTCCAACATTTCTTATCATTGTTCAAATCAAAGAGACATATACATGTCTCACAAATTAAGGAAAAAAAGACAATAGAGGGTGATAGACATGTCCCTCCCAAAAACTTGTCTTAGATCCCAATTTTATTAGATTATGGTCGTTATTTTAGTAATAAAAAAATATTATGCAGACTATGTTAACAAATCATAATTCACTCAAAAGTAATGAAATTTAACTTCTTTATTATGATAGAGTTTGAATTCCGTTAACACTTGTCTTTTGAAGAGTTAGATAGATTTCTAGTTTCTATAAATTCTTATTATGAAGACCTCATAAAAGTGTTTACACAAATTTAAAATTGAATGACCCAGATGATCTTATTAGTGAGACTTTACAAAGACAAATAAGAATAAAGTCTAATAGTTGGCTAAATGTGGTCTATTTGAAATATCAAGATCACTACCTTAATTTTGCTAAAATCCATAAAGACTTGGGATATGATAAGGATAAGGTTTTGGCTATAATGATTAACCGAAACTATATGTACAAACTTCTAAGAATGTCAGTTTGACTGTCAAGGACAAACTTCTACATTATGTATATGTGTATATTCTAAGTTGTCAGAGGGAAATTATGTCTAGATATTTACACGGTTATATTTTTATGATATGTTGCACAAAACATTGCATTCCAAATAATTGGCCATGTTATATCATCCAACATATGAGAAAATACAAGATTAATGGTATGTCTCTGCCTTATGGTCTTCTAATCAGTCATACGAATGCAATGATTGATTTGACTTCACAATCAACTATGTCCCTAGTATGGTCAAATAAGTTTAAAGAAAGATTTATAAAAAAGTTGAACGTAGTAAACATTAATGGTGTATGACAACATGTCAAGGGTTACCATGTTCAGCAACTTGATCCTAAGAAAGATAACACTTTAAGTGGAGACGAAAATGTGAGAATTCATCAACAATAATTAGGGGTTAAAGGAGTACAAATACATTTTTCCCAAATGTGATACCATAAACTTAATATATGGGTATTCAAGATATACAACAATGATTAGGCATGAAGTAATTGTTCATAATAATTGTAATAATTTTTAAAGATGTATTAACTATGTGAATAATAGGATTGATCTAGTTGAAGATACACTTGATGGTATTAAAGAGAATCTTCAATATAGATATGAATGTTATTAGTGTTATAGTTGAGTATGGACTTTTATTTAAATTTTTTTTATGATTTTACTATTTTTTTATTTAAGTTGTTTTTTTAATGATTGTAATTTATTTTTATTTAAGTTTTATTTTGGATGATTGTATTTTTATTCAATGATTATACTTTTCTTTAGATGCTATTTTTATCTCTATGTGATCTAGATGTAATACTTATATGTAAAATTTTGTTATTACTTATAAATTATTGTAAAAATAAAAAATACTTAAAATATTTATATCCAATATCACATGTAATTTTTTTAATTTATATATAAATTTTTACTTTATGTAAAATTTATCTATTTTAAAATAATTTTTTTCCATTAAATTATATCTCTATTTTGATTTATATTTATTCTAATTTAAATAAATGATAGAGGGTATTTTGATTATTCATCAATTTATCTTATTATTTAACTTTTTAAAATCAATCATATCTTTTCCAATAATTTTACTCATTTATGGTGACTTTTCACTCTTCTAAACAATCTCACTTTTCACACTCTCTCATTTTCCACACCTTCAACATCATTCGTGAATCCAAAGAGAAGCTAAAAGTTAATTAATAATGATCTATACTTCTTCAATCTTTTTTATTGTGTTACATGTTATCTAAATATAGATAACAAAAGTGTAAAAATCAATGCTTATTTAAGCACGAGGTATAAAAGTTCATAAAAATTTATTGAAATCTAATTGAATTTAATAAAATAGTATTTTTATAATATAATAAATTTATTGATAATAATACTTTTTTTATATAAAAATAATAAAAATTATTATAATGGTTAGTTATAATAAAATATGCAAACATAAAATGTATCAAAGAGTTCACGAAGAATAGTAGTTAAAGTATGATAAAAATATAATAAAATAACTATTATTTAAAATTAATATGAGATAAAAAAATTTGAAAAATATTATATCTTTTATAAAAAAAATTATATTAAAAAAATAAAAATATTTTGACCTTAATTTTTTTTTTTCTAAAATCATTTGATCCAAAAATTCACTCAAATATTGATTAAATTAAGATATGGTTAAGTGAAAGAAAAAAAAAACTGTTTTATAAATTGGTTGTGAATTAAACCAGTTGAACCGAATATGTTTCAATTTTTAAAATAATGATAAAATCATTTTATTATGTAAGTGTAAATATTTAAAGTATGTAAAAAATATATGTCAAAGATTATCTATCACTTAGTTTTTTAATAAAAAAATATCTTTGATGATTTTCGTTAATTATTGTACTAAGTTTGACACTTGATGTTATTTGATAATATGTCTCCATCTACAGGAGTGAAGTGTATTTTACCAGTTCCAGAAAAACTATGAGAATATCCTAAATATTATTGTTTAGTGATTAGATTACATATCCTACAAGCATAAATCATTCATCAATAAACAAAATGTCTCAAAAGTCCCATTAGAAAGGAAAGAAACAAAATGTTATAAACAAATGAATCAAGTTTACCACAACTATAAACTTCTAACAAGAGGGTTTCAACAAGAAACAATTGGATATATATAGTTACATCATTATGGTAATTTTCTGCATGTCACTTTGTTTAGAAAGCATATAGCAAATCGTCAGCACCTTTGTGAACATCGACCATACAAGTGAATGCAACAAATTACAAAGCCATGATATTGCTATTTTTTATAAGTTTAATCTCACAAAGGCATATTCTATATCCATATCCGTATCTTGCATAATTCCTGTAGAAAATCGTCCACCCAGATATGCTAATTAAATAGATTCAGTCAGATTATTATCATCACTCATCCAAAAGTTCATGCACAATGGCTTCCAAGGTTGTGCAAATGGTGGACACTAATATGGCTGAGGAAAAAGGTGATGAGTGTAAGAAGAACGTGGTTATGACTCTCTCATTCTTCAAACTCTTGAGCTATGCTGACTTGGTAGATTGGATTCTGATGGGTTTGGGAACTCTTGGTTCCATTGTGCATGGCATGGCACTTCCCGTGGGGTATCTCTTGTTGGGGAAAGCTCTTAATGCTTTTGGAAACAATATCCAAGACATAGATGCCATGGTTAAGGCTCTTAAACAGGTTGGTACTTAAAAATGAGAGAGTAAAGGTTAGAACATATTCTTACGTATAATTCAAACTATGATGATCATCATTGCCATTTATCATGTTTTATTGTTTTAGAATCCTCTAATTTGTTTGTGCATGGGGGTCATTATTAAACTAGTTATGTTTGCCTTGAACTTTTTCAATTTAATGTTTGAGGGTTTTTTCTTCACTGAAAAGTCATATCCTTGTTATTTTTCAAGATTCTTAAAAGAAAGTTGGAGTAATATATATGTAATTTTTAATAAGTGTAGTAAAAAATATACACACTAAATTTTTTTTATCTAATAAGTGGAAGGGGCTTATTTACATAGAAAGTGAAAAAAAAATATTTTTCTCTTTCTTCTCTTATATGAGAAGAAAATAAAATATTACTTCCTTGTTTTTTAATTATTATTATTATAATAAAAAAATTAAATAAAAATATCAAAATAATAAATAAATTTATTTAGAATTCATTAAATAATATTTTAATCAATTAATCAATCTTATTCTTTTATAATTTTTCTATTCATTTTTTTATTTTCTACTTTATTTCTATTAATCTAAACAATTTTACATTTCACTCTTTTTCTCTTATTTTCCACCGTCTCAAATTCACTCGTCAATTTAAACACAAACTAATATTATGTTTGGATTAGAGAGATGATTTGAGGGGTGGAAAAAAAAAGAGAGAGAAAAAAATTAAAAACAAAATTGTTTGATTTAAGAAAAAGAGAGTTGAAAGTAGAGAGAAATTAATAAAAAGATTATAGTTGATAAGATTGATTTAATTAATAAAAAATAAATTAAAAGAAAAGAAAAGTAAACTTATTTGAAAAAGAGAGTAAAAAGTGTAAAAATAAAATAAAAATAATTATTTTTAATATATTATTTAATTATTTATTGTTGTTATTATTATTAGAAAACAAAAAATATTTTTTAAAAATATTTAAAACATAATTAATTATATTAACAAAATAATCAATATTTCATTCTTCGCAATAGAAGGTGGGAAGATATATTTTTTTTATTGGGATTAGAAAATTTAATACATCCAAAACTTAACTTTCCATGCTTTTCTACGTTTTGCACGTATCCACGCCTAGAAACAAATAGCTACTATGCGAATAGCGTTGGTAAGTTTGTTGCTTTGTATGATAATTAACTCTCTTAAAAGTTATATTAATAACATTTTTTTCACGTAATTTTTTATATAATATATTAAAAAACTCTTAAAAGTATATTAAGTTAAAGTTGAAAATAATAATAATAATAATAATAAATTAAATAAACGAACCATATTCTAAAATATTCATATTTGAAAAAGGAGTTGAAAAGAAAACTCATTTATCATGTACCATTTCATAGAGACATTTAAACTACATAAACTATTTTTAATTGGCGTAGAAATTATGTTGTTATTATTGATTTATTTGGTGAGATAGGAGTAGAAATGATTTGAGTTGAATAAACTAACAGTGGTTGTTCTTGTAATATATGTTCAGATTATTCCATTTGTGTGGTATATGGCCATAGCCACATTTCCTGCAGGGGTACTTGGTAAGTTTTATTTTTCCTGCCAATCAATTGTACTGTCTGAAGCAATATAGGGCTTGAATACAGACAATTTTGTGTTTACTTTTTATCTTTTAAAGTGAGTAATTTGTTCTAAAGAGTACATAATTATTTATTTCTCTGAGCACTAATCTTCCTGAGCACGTTCAAACATGCACAGAGATTGGTTGTTGGATGTATGCAAGTGAGAGACAGTTATTTCGGCTAAGACTGGCATATCTAACAGCAGTCCTGAACCAAGAGATAGGAGCTTTTGATACAGAGTTAACAAGTGGGAAAGTCATCAGTGGAATAAGCAACCAAATGAGTGTCATACAAGATGCAATTGGTGAGAAGGTCAGAAAATCAATATTGGTCACAAGTCTCAATTTTCTCCCTCTTTCTGCATTCACAACATATTATGCCTGAATCCCAAGTGAATTTCTTTCTCACAGTTGGGTCACTTCACCTCTAGCGTTGCAACTTTCTTTGCTGGAATTGTGATTGCTGCCATATGCTGTTGGGAAGTGGCACTTCTCTGTTTAGTGGTTGTCCCACTTATTCTTATAATTGGGGCAACTTACACCAAGAAAATGAACAGCATATCAACCTCCAAAATGCTTTTCCATTCTGAAGCTACATCAATGATAGAGCAGGTTTGTGCATACATAAATGCTCGTCTTCAATAGTACTTCAAGTGTAACATAAATGTGCATTATGAGACCTAACTCAATCCATTTAAAGCTCATTTTGTTTTAACAAGTTCTAATGTGGATATTGCAGACAATATCACAAATAAAAACAGTTTATGCTTTTGTTGGAGAGAGCTCTGCAACCAAATCCTTTACAGAGAACATGGAAAAGCAGTATATTATAAGCAAAGGGGAGGCACTTGTAAAAGGAGTTGGGACAGGGATGTTGCAAACAGTGAGTTTCTGTTCTTGGGCTCTCATTGTATGGGTTGGAGCTGTTGTGGTCAGAGCCAGAAGAGCAACACCAGGAGACATAATAACTGCAGTGATGAGTATTCTCTTTGGTGCCATGTAAGGGAGAAACTACCCTTCAGGCTTGTTTGTAATGGAGAAAATTATTAGTAACTAACGATGAAGTGACAAAACTCTCCTTGTGTATTGCAGATCACTCACTTATGCAGCACCGGACATGCAAATATTCAATCAGGCAAAAGCTGCAGGATATGAAGTTTTCCAGGTGATCCAAAGAAAACCTCTGATAAGTAATGAAACAGAAGGGACGAAGCCTCGCAAAATCAAAGGTGACATCGAATTTCGAGACGTCCACTTTTCCTACCCATCACGGCCAGACAAACCTATCCTTCAAGGACTGTCCTTGTCAATTCCAGCAGGAAAGACAGTAGCACTAGTTGGTAGCAGTGGCTGTGGAAAGAGCACTGTTATTTCCCTAGTTAGCAGATTTTATGATCCCTCAAGAGGTTAGTTTAAATAGTCTTCTATCATCTCTTTTATTTCTCTATTTTGTCACATGTTTAATGTTGTCAAGCCTGACATTGTTCAACATATTCCAGGAGTAATCTTTATTGACCATCACAATATCAAGGATCTTAATCTTAAGTTCCTTCGACGAAACATAGGAGCCGTTTCCCAAGAGCCATCACTCTTTGCAGGCACCATCAAGGATAACTTGAGAGTGGGGAAAACGGACGCAGATGATCAAGAGATTCAGGAGGCAGCAGTAATGGCAAATGCACACTCTTTCATATCTCAGCTGCCTAATCAGTACCTAACAGACGTAAGCTACTTCATCTAGTCTATCACTTTTATTATACCTTGATTATGTCTTGTTTGATCTTCCTTTTATTGTATTGCTAATTTACATGATTTGCATATATTAAACATATTCTGATCCTTTTTCTACTCACCGCCTTATGACTAATAAGGAAGAAAAGAGAGTACCAGAGATACAAAACCAAAACTGAAAATTCCATGATTTAAATCAAAATTTCAGCAATTACGTCGATTCAAATATTTTAAATCTTTATTTATTAATTAATATATTCTATTAGATAAATTGATAAAATTACTATATTTACATGTTAAAATATTTAATTATAATTAACAATCTAATTTAAATTATAATATTATAATATATTTATATATTCTAATAATATTTAAAGACAAATTATATTTAAAATTATATTTATTTATATTGTCCCGTCCAACCAAATTAGCAGAAACGGATAAAATGAATTGACATAAACAATTATCAACTCAATGTGCCAATTTAAGATAGACCAACTCTCTGACCTAATCCTTTTAATAATTATAATTTAAATCATAAAGGGACCTAAGTGTGATAACAATTGAAACGCAAGGGAATAGTGCAACTTTCAAAACAAGAGGAATGCCAATTACAATTGAGTTAAGCCCGCACGGAATTCGATATAGTTTAAATTTAACTATACAAATTAATAACAAAAATGCTTTCAATAATGGTCAAATTGTAGGGGTACAATCAATACTACTCCATAGAATTAATTCAAGGATAAAAAGAAAGGTTTAGGTTTTACGGTGAATGGAATTGCTTATTATTTATGAGCATTAGACCCACTGAATTTTTAAAACATTTATTAAACTATTTGAAAATTGATTTTACGTCACTGCCAAACACAGTGCATTCTGCAATCCACTTTTAACATACAATTACTAAATACAAATAAACCAATTTAAATTCAATTCTTCATTAATCGACTCTTTTAACATTAATTTTATTATCTACACACAAAGCTTCACAGGAGAGTCACCATAAAACATGATTTTTCTTGATTTCATTCATATTACCAGAATTTTAATGAGATTATCTTCAAACTTGCTAACACACCATAAAATGGGTTGCATAGTCTTTCCAAGCCACCAAACAAAAGGAAGTTAATCCAACCTGCCTCGTTTCAGCTGACCTTTTGCAGAAGGGGATAAGTTGATGCATTTTAAAACATGTCGTCTGGTTACATATATTCCTTCCACTTAGCATTTAATATGTCATCCATGATGGTTGCCAGGTTGGACAAAGGGGCGTCCAATTATCAGGAGGCCAAAAACAGAGAGTTGCAATAGCAAGAGCCATTCTGAAAAATCCTCCCATCCTTTTGCTAGATGAAGCCACTAGCGCCCTCGATTCAGAATCAGAAAAGCTGGTTCAAGAAGCACTTGAGACAGCTACTCAGGGAAGGACTGTCATCTTGATTGCTCACAGGCTCTCAACAGTTGTAAATGCAGATATGATTGCTGTGGTCGAGAACGGACAAGTTGCGGAGACAGGAACACACCAGAGTTTGTTAGACACAAGCAGATTCTATGGTACATTATTTAGCATGCAGAACCTTGAACCAGTTCCTGAATCCAGGTAATTGACAATATAATGTACATTTTTTACGTATATTATGGACCAAACAGTTTGGCGGAAGCATTCTAACCAGCTTTAAATGTTAAATGGATAGAGCTATGACTTCAAAGAATAGAAGCGCCCAACAAGAAGATTTTCCTAATGCAACTAGACCACCCGTAGAGGTGCAGCAAGAGGTCCAAAGAAATATTAATGAGCACTCTGTGCTAAAGGAACAAAAAAAAATGAGCAGCGGACAAAGAAATATTTTTTTCAGAATTTGGTTTGGTTTAAAAAAGAGAGAGCTGGTGAAGATTTCTATTGGCTCATTTGCAGCAGCTTTCTCTGGCATCTCAAAGCCATTTTTTGGGTTCTACATCATCACCATAGGAGTAGCATACTTTAAGGAAGATGCGAAAACGAAAGTTGGACTTTATTCAGCCATCTTCACTGCAGTAGGGATGCTTTCATTATTCAGCCACACCTTCCAGCATTACTTCTTCGGAGTGGTTGGAGAAAAGGCCATGGCAAATCTCAGACGTGCTCTGTATTCAGGTATCAGATATCCCCTATTCGAATTTCCATGCATGAATCTTCCTCTTTCCTGGAAAAGGAAAGAATGAGGCAAGAGCTCAAAATGATACATCACATGCATAAAATTCCAGCATGATTTGACAAACAGAAGTAAATAATCTTTTTAACTTTTACAGGTGTGTTACGTAATGAAGTAGGTTGGTTCGACAAATCAGAGAATACTGTTGGTTCATTGACTTCACGCATTATCAGTGACACTGCGATGGTAAAAGTCATCATTGCTGATCGAATGTCTGTAATCCTGCAATGTGTTTCCTCCATACTGATAGCAACAATTGTCAGCATGGCTGTCAACTGGAGAATGAGTTTGGTAGCTTGGTCTGTGATGCCCTGCCACTTCATAGGTGGTCTTATTCAAGCTAAGTCTGCCAAAGGCTTTTCCGGTGACTACTCTGCTGCACATTCTGAGCTTGTTGCTCTTGCATCCGAGTCCTCAACCAACATAAGGACTATTGCATCATTTTGTCATGAAGAACAGGTAATGAGGAAAGCCAAAACATCCCTGGAAATTCCAAAGAAAAATTATAGGAAAGAAAGTATCAAATATGGGATCATTCAAGGCTTCTCCCTTTGCTTATGGAACATTGCACATGCGGTTGCTCTGTGGTATACAACAATTCTGGTTGACAGACGTCAAGCCAGTTTTGAAAACGGAATAAGATCATATCAAATTTTTTCTCTCACAGTTCCCTCTATCACAGAATTATACACACTGATCCCAACTGTGGTTACTGCTATCAACATACTGACCCCAGCATTCAAAACCCTTGATCGTAAAACTGAAATTGAACCAGACACACCAGATGACTCACAACCTGAGAGGATCCAAGGAAATGTCGAATTTGAAACTGTAAAATTCAGCTACCCTTCAAGACCTGAAGTCACTGTTCTTGATAATTTCAGTTTACAAATTGAAGCTGGATTGAAGGTGGCTTTTGTAGGACCAAGTGGAGCTGGAAAATCCTCAGTTTTGGCCCTTTTACTAAGATTTTATGATCCACAGGTGGGAAAAGTCTTAATTGATGGGAAAGACATACGGAAATATAACCTAAGATGGTTAAGGACACAAATAGGATTGGTACAACAAGAACCACTGCTTTTTAATTGCTCAATTAGAGACAACATTTGCTATGGCAATAATGGGGCTTCTGAAAGTGAAATAGTGGAGGCTGCTAAAGAAGCAAACATACATGAATTTGTAAGTAATCTACCAAATGGATATAGCACTGTTGTTGGAGAGAAAGGTTGCCAGCTTTCCGGAGGACAAAAGCAAAGAATAGCAATTTCCAGAACATTATTAAAGAAGCCTGCAATTTTACTCCTTGACGAAGCAACAAGTGCTCTTGATGCTGAGTCTGAAGGAATTATTGTAAATGCTCTAAAAGCAATACATCTAAAGGAAGACAGTGGCTTGTGCTCAAGAACCACCCAGATAACAGTAGCTCATAGGCTTTCCACAGTGATAAACTCAGATACTATAATTGTCATGGACAAAGGTAAAGTTGTAGAGAAGGGTTCCCACTCAACTCTTGTGGCAACAGAGTCAGGACTTTATTCGAGGATTTTCAGGTTACAGAGCTTCGAAGAAACTTCATAGGTGTATACTTGACAGTTTCATGCAGATCCATAATCTGTAACTATGAAAAGTGCCTGTTGTATCAATTCATAAAACAAAGTTTTTTCTTGAATTTCTTCTCCGGTGTAATAAAATTATAGTCAGAATAAATGCCAAGAAAAATAGTACAATGACCTGAACTTGAAGATAGTGCCTGGATGTAGGAAGTTCTTTATATGCTTGTTTAAAATTCAAGGAAGATGCTATCAATTGTTTTCAGTTTTGCCACCTCCTTCTCACTAGCGATTCCAGGATCAACATAACACAACTGAAATAGAAACAAGATCATCAATCCTTATCGTTTATTAGTGCAATGTAATTGTAATTTTTGGTTAAAAGAAGTAAGACCTGGTACTGTGGCTTCTTCAGTGTATGCATTCCCCTTTTTATGAGTTCCTCCCACCCAAATTTCTGCCTAAGGGATTTTCCAAGAGCAGATGTACTCTGCAATGGTAAATTACAACTTGAAACTAGAAATATCATGCATAATCCTTAATCAACATGCATCTTCCAGAAAACCATTTTAATGTCTGTGTGTGTGTGTGTTAAACAGAGTGAAATACAACTTCCATCTAATAAAAAACAAATGACTTATCTTATATAGCTCATATTAGTCCAGAAATACAACCAGACAACAAAAACAAAAGTGAGGGTTATGTGTCAATAAAAATTAATGTACTGTTTTCTTTCAACAAGTTGGAGAACCTGATAAGAAAACAGTAAAAGACCAGAGGGCAAAACCCTAGATAACAAGTTTAGTTGTATTCAACAATTATAATAATAATAATAATAATAATAATAATAATAATAATAATAGTAATAATAATAAATATATGAAGAGAAGAAGCCAACGTACAAAAGATGAAGGTGTTAGAACAGAATGGATCTTCCATTACTTCTGGATTTTAACTAACTTTATACAATGACAAGAACAAAAGTTCTGTTCAAGTAATATATTTACATTTCACAACTTTCTTGCCTTGGATCTTCTATTTTTTCTTCACATTCTATGTATATATACTTATTTTCCATGACAAAAAGAACGATAATAAAAACTCTGGCTTCCCTGTTTATCTAGCAAGAATTTTGAATTGTTGCTCTATTTTCTAGGATCTTGAAAAGACCATATCTCTTGATAAGATCTCTCTAAATAATGTCAATTTCATTGCATCCTACTCTATTTTTCCCTTTAGTTTCTTGACAACAACAGAGGTACAAAGGCATTTGTAAGATACGCAATCATACCAAAACATCTATATGACAATTATAAAAATGGATATTAGTAACAAAATATGAAGCTAGCAATGATGCAGATAAATTACATGAGCAGGGTCCAAAACTAGGAGATTATATCGCAGATCTCTTTTTTGTTGATGTTTGACTTGAATTCCAACTATTGTTCTTGAGTGACCATCATGTTGAAAGTATAAAGGCCTATCCAAGAAAGCATTCAAAAATTAAACAAACTTATGAAACAAAAATGTTTGTGTGGTTAAACAATTGTATCTAAAATGCACTCTCACTCACGTTTTGTCACTGATCACAACATGCTGCTGGCCAAATTGGATTGAGTTTCTATCAGAAAAGTAATTCCACACAAAATCCATGAGAACTTGATAACCCTTGCCCTCTTTATCTTTCTTTTTTACCAAATTATGAATACTTGCTTTACTCCTGGCATTATCAAGGCTTGAACCTGAAATGGACTGGGATTCCTTGGGACCAAAATCCACTACTCTTGCCCGAAGAGCAAAGGAACGCAATAGAGCAGCACACTCAGTAGTTCCTATCCATTTTGTTGAACCAAATATAACATGATTAAATTGAGCTGATCCAGGCTCATCAAAACCCTTTTCCCAAGCAATCTCAAGCCACCTCTGGAGCGCCAAGATATCAGGAACAAATCCTGAACCGCCAAACAAAGCTTCCCTTGCTTCAGGTCTTTGCACTAGCAAGTGAGAACTAAGCATTTGAATGTTACGCCAGCCACAACCCCATCCAGCATCCTTGGATTCAAGGCACTGGAAATGATCAACATAACTTGACAAAATGCTATTTGAATTTCCAACTTCAGACTCTAAACAATTTTTCAACAATGTCATCAGACCCACTTCAACTTTGTAAAATTCACTCCTTGTCTGAGAACCAATCAAGCAAGAAATTTCGTCACTCACCTTGCACTCCCCATTACCATTACTAGTCTCACCACCGCGTGTATAGTTTTCTCCACTAAGTGAATCATTGGCTCTTTGCTCTCTCTGCAAAACATGATAAAAGAATATGTACATAATATATTGGCTAGATTACACATCTCTCATCTGGACAAGCAGAAAAACTCCTCTACTATAGATTATAAATTATTTCCAGGTCAAAACTTGTAGTGTATTGAAAGGATAAAAAAACACTTTCCCTTCGATCTCGTTTTCTTCCTATTTCTATCACTCTCTCTCTCTCTACCTCTTTTTTTTGTTCTTCCTATCTATCTTTTCCTCCCGCCCCCAATATATCCTAAAACGGGTTGGACGGTTAATATTTTCCTCAATATATATGGTTGCATAGAAAATAGAGAGCGTTCAGGTTCAACAAATCTTAGTTAAGGCCATTCGGAAACATTTACATTCAAACTCACTCACAAAGAAAACCTGTCAAAATGAGCAAAAAAGAGATGTTACCGGCGGCCGGCTGTCTTAATAATTATTTAATATATTTAAGTATATATTTATAATTTTATCTTTTTACTCTTCCCTTTTTTTATTTATTTATTATTTATTAATTTTTTTTATATTTATTTATTATTTATTAATAATATATTATTTATTCACATAAATGAATTTTCAACATCCAACACTATTAAAAAGATTGAGAAGGTGAATTGTCACTGTCAGAGGGATGAACTATTGGGGGTTGGTCAAAACCATCCTGGAGTTCCCAAAAGTGCAAATTGGCGTGCCTGCGTTTGCAGAATCATATTCAAATGGAAATGAAGGAACGTGAATGTGTATTGCAGACAGAACAGAGACATACCGAGCGAGTTGAGATAAGAGTAGACATGAATCGCAGAAGGGGCAAATAGTGAATCGATCCGAATCCATGTTTGCTGTCACCAGACGATGATGGTGAATTTAATTGCGCTTCAAGCTTTTCTTCTACAACAAGTTATGTAAGAGTTTGAATAATTTCTCTCACACGGAAACATATTCTTAGAATTGTATCCTCCATCTTATCCGTCAATTTTTGTGGTATACTTGAAATGCTATGTGATTGGCTTACAAGGTTGTCTTCAAATGCCTCTTTAATATGTTAATAGTAAAATGCAATACTAATATCATAAACTCAACTATATTAAACAAATTTTGCTTAAAAAAAATACTAATACAACTTTCTCGTACCATTCCAAAACTCGAGTTTGGACTTAAAAAGAAAAAAAAAAAATATATATATATATATATATATATATATATATATATTAATAGAACATTGATAACAATATTGATTTAAAAATATAGGAAAATAAGTGGAAAATGAGTAAATATGAATTTAAAGTCAATTGTTTAATAATGGGTTAAGTGAAAATAGACAAGTTATAATCATTCTACTTTATGATGAATATAAAATTTCACAATTCAGTTTTAATAAGGTGAATTGATTCATTAGCTCGTATTTATTTGTTATGTTCTTTAATTTTTTTTTCTTCTAATCAACAATGGAGGAGGTGGACGCAATAAAGGTGATAGATACAGTGGAAGTGGTGGTTGCAAAGGATGTAGGCAGACTCAACATGGTGAATGTGGTGGTGGACAAGACGCACACTATGGATTTGAAGGATACAACAGATTGAGTGAACACGCAGGTACAACAATTATAAGTCAACATGACTTTGTTGACTCGATATACACATATAATAATATAAATTGATGAAATTAAGATTTTATTAAATTTATTATAATTATTTTTTAAATTTAAAATATAATATTCATGATGCCTCAACTCATCTGATTTAAATCTATTTATCTATTTAATTTATGTATTAAGCGAGTCATGTGATTTTAACCTATAATTGATAAAATTAAAAAATATACATAACTCAATCTTAATTAAAATATGTGATAAGTTAAAACTTATATTAACGTCTACAAGAAAATAGTAATTTATCTTGTTTGATAATAAGAAATGAAAAAAAGTTACTTTCTACTTTATCATAAATATTTACTTTCTTGTATCAGCGAAAAAGAGTGAAAACTAAAATATATATATATATATATATATATATATATATATATATATAAAAATTATCTTCACTTAAATATTTAATTATTCATGATATATATAAATATATATATATATATACATATATATATATATATATATACTTTCAATTGTTATTTTAAAAATATATAAATATAAAAGTAATTATAAAATTAAATGAATAATTTAATATTTTTTATTTATTTATAATATGATATTATTTTATTAATTTAATTTCAAACAGTTATAGAAAAAATTAATTTTATGATAAAAAATATTTTATAATTTTATATTAAAATATATATTACTAAAACAATAAGGAATATAATTTAAAAGTATTTTTTTAAACTTATTTTATTAATAAATAATAAATTAATAATTATAAATATATTTTTTAATTTAATAAATATTTAGTTTTAATTTAATTATTTGTTATTTTTTAAAATAAATATATTCTTTTCTTTTCATATGATTTTTTTAACAAATAAAAATACTTTTCAATATATTTCATCTTTTATTCTTTTTTCTTTTTTTTCTCATAAATTTTTTTATCCAACATAACCTTGTACTAGGATAATTAATAATTACAACTTCTAATAAAAATTCTAAATTTATATACTCTCTTTTAATTAAAAAAAACAATAAAAAAATTGAACGTATTTATACTCAAATTATATTTAGTTTTTAATGGGCCCGTTAATTTGAATTTTATTCATGTTATTCTTCATTTGAAAAAGTTTAAAAGGTACATATTAAAAATGTTATTGATATAGTATTCTTAGCTATTAAGTATCAATAATTATTCATACAAACACATTATTTTAAATACTTTTTTAGTTTTATAAAATATTTTAATGAATAATAACTATGGTGTATTAAAGAATATATTTTAAATTCTTACCAAAAAAAGTTATGCCTCTCGTATAAAAAGTAACGCTCCTTTCACTAAATTGATGTATTATTTAATTTGTGAAACAAATATAATATTTAATATTGATTTTAAAATTGTTCATTTAAAATAATAATTCATTTATTATAATTTCACTTCCATTTTAAAATTTCAATTAAAATATTTCTGAAATATTTTAATTAGATAAACTTTATGCTATCATAATAATTTAATTAATATTTTATTAAAAATACATATAAAAAAAAGGGGTGATATTTTTACAATTAAAAATCATATAATCCTTCTACCAACTATTTTTATTAATATAATTATTTATAAAATAATTTAATAAAAATTAAAATAAATTAAAATTATTATTATAATATTAAAAAAAATTATTTATGTATGAATATGAGTTGTAAAAGTATCATTCTCCGTCAGAAAAACGGGTAGACAAAAAAAATAACGTGTTGAATAAAAAAAAATTGAACCAGATCAGAGATAGGTGTGAATGCAAGCAATTACGTCAGCAAAGTTGAACAGCATCGTGTGTGAAAAATCTTAGGGTGAAAAACCAGGTTCATTGAACCTGGACACACCTGATTCTGCTCTATTTATACACACGTCCGCACAATCTATTCTCAATTAAGCGAAGCTAAGCTTTCTTCCTTCTTAACCGTTATTTCCTAACCTTTAGTTAAACTTGCGAAGCCTTGCAATATGGCGCTAACGATGATGGCGGCGATCGGCATCGGCACCGGGAAGCAAGAGAAGAAGATGCTGTCTGCGCCGGCGGAGAGCGAGCTGAAGAAGCGGAATGAAGAGCTCGAGAAGGATCTCAGAGCAAGCAGGGAACGAGAAGAGCAGATGAAGCGCGAGCTTCAGAGCGCGATGGAGAGGCTGCGCGTGGCCGAGGAGGCCGAGGAGAGGCTCTGCTCGCAGCTTGGGGAGCTCGAAGCGGAGTCAGTTTACCAGGCGCGTGACTACCACGCGCAAATCGTCTCCCTCATGGAACAGCTCTCACGCACGCAGAGCCTCCTTCTCAAGACCAGCGCGTCCTCCATTCCGCTTCCTTCCTCCTCGTAGTCATAAATAAAATTGTACTAGTTGGTTTTAGCATTTGCATATCAGAGGCGTTGTGGCTATTAGATGAATATGATGATGATCCACGTCGCGTGAATCGTGTCTGTTGTAAAAAATTTGTGAATGATTGAGAATAGTTTGATTGTGTAAACGGCTTGAAACCTGAACTAGCGTTCATTGGTTTTTTTCGTTCTGTAAATTGTCTCGTTTCCGAACATGATCAGTCAACGTCATTGTTCGATTTTTTTACTTTCGAATTAATTGTTCGGATTTCAATGGCAGGATTCGGGACGCTACTTCCTAGATGGATGTTTCAACACGAAACTCTTTGAAAATGAAGCGATGATTATAATTTCAACGTGTTAATATTATTTTTGGATTAAAAACAAACACAGACTCTTAATTCGGTTCATACTACATGTTCTTTTGTTTGCCTTCCTAATCCCTCTTTTTCCTGGAAAAAATAGGTTTGCACGTTCTCTGGAGTTTGTGTTTTGTGAGGATTCCTAAAAGATCAGAGAGAAGGAAAGAAAAATCCTGGGAATGTCTCCACCGTGTGAGTGCCAACTGTTTCGGAGTTGCTAACAATCATGAGTTGACACGTAGCAATTATTCCTCTTTCTCTTACGGGTTGCCGTTGATTAATTTATTATTTTTATTTATTATATTAAATAAATATTCATCGTAAACTAAAGCTTCATTTATATATCACTGGTATAGATTTAGATTATTATTTACAAATGTTGAATGTTCTGTAGCATATGACAGAGGAGAGAGAAAGGCGAAGTAATGAATGGTGCAAACATGAGAAGAAATGAGGTGGAGAATTGGTCCAGCATCAATTGGAAGAGAAGAATTGGTCCGCATCTTTACCACTGAAAGCTACGACCCAAAAACGTGAAAAGCTAAAGCGATCAATCAATCAATCATCTCCTCGTGCAAGTTCTCTCCATTTCCATTATTCTATCCTTTTATCTCTTTATCTTTCTTTAATTAGACTCTTTTAAATTATATTTTTTTATAAACAATTAAAACAATTTTATTTCATTTTATAATATTCGTTTGTAATAAAAAAAATATTAGACGAAGACATTTTTTATTTACTCGGATTTATTTTCTTTTTGGTTTTAATAGACGTACACTTTTTCATAGGAAAAAAATCACATCAATCATATATTATTTTAAGATAGTATTATAAAATTAATAATTTTTATAAAAACTGACTAAGATATGAATAAACATTTTTTTAGGTGTTTATAATTATTATTCTTAAATATTTATTTGCTGTGTATTACACAAATTCTTGAGAATATAATAGGACTTTTTGAAATTTTTGATAATCTCCAAAACTAGAAAAAAAAACACTTTTAAAAAAGTAAATAAATCCAATAAAAAAATAGAGAAGAGAAGATGTGAAACTAGAAAAAAAAATCTTAAAAGAATAAAAAAGCTCTTAAAAGAATAAAAAAATTCTTACAAGAGTAAATAAACACAAGATAATAATTAAACAGAAAGAAAGAGTAAATAAACCCAGGATAATAGCACAGGAAGAAAAATAGAGAAGAGAATATGAGAGAGGGGTGATTCTGAAAGAGTATGAAGTGATCTCTATTTATAGATATAAATTGTGCCCAAAATCCTAACTACCTACATCCAAAAAATCTACCAGCAATCACCTCACCCTAATACTTAAAGAGTGTCATGAAATAAGAAAAAAAAATCTAACAATTAGAGGAAGACTTGGTAGTGGGTCTGCAACGTTCCCTACAACGTGTGGGAGTGGATTCATTGTTTTTCTACAATACAGTTTCATAATAATCCCTCACATATTGCAAAAATAAGAAGGAGATAAAAGAACTAAAGAAGAAAATTCTGAGTCTCATATAAGATGTAATGCATCAAAGTTGGTATAACAAACTATATGAACCAATCTTAGATTGAAAATTAACACATAGTGTAGTTGATATAGTAAGCTATATAAACCAAAACACTTAATGTGTGTCAGCGGTTTAACAATCACAATACATCCACACAATTCTTGTTGTTATCATTACACGTTTACTAGGTCATGCACGTGTCCGATATTCATGAGTGTTCTAGAAATCTTGCAAAGATCTCATACAAGTGACCCTACTCGACACTCATATAGATGACTTCATCAAGCTGCAAATCATACATCACCCGTAAGGGATATGAAATCGTTAAAAACTTTGTTTAGACTAAAATTCATACACCATATAGAATTATAATTACAAAGTTTAATATCTCAATGATGCAATATCTAGCACTTACACATATACATTATAGGAATTGACATAATTGATTTTAATCAATTTTAGTGCTAGCAGAACTAACAATTGACTTGTTTTTACTCATATAAACCTTATTCATGGGATCTCCAATCACAAAGACTTTTAAGTCTTATTCCCCTCGATGTTTTTAAAATTATATTTCTCGCTAAGGGTTTTGTTAAAGGATCTACTAGATTTCGTTCTGACTTCACATAATCAATGGAAATTGTTCCATTCTTTAGCAATTGCTTCACTCAATTATATCTTAATTATATATGTATGTTTTTTCCATTGTAGTTCTTATTTTTAGCTATAGTTATTGTCGATTAACAATCACAGTGTATTGATATAGACGGGATCAATTTCGTTCCTAATGGAATGTTTGCTAAGAAGTTTTTCAACCACTCAGCTTCACTACCAGCCATTTCGAGAGTAATAAATTCAGATTTCATTGTTAATCTTGCAATAATTGTTTGTCTGGCTGATTTTCATATGTAATCACACCACCTCCGAGTGTGAATACATAACCACTAGTGGATTTTGTCTCATCTAAATCAGAGATTCAGTTAGCATCATTGTACCCTTATAGTGCAATGAAAAATTCACTATATTCAATGACATAATTCATTAAACCTCTTAAGTATATCATAAGCCTTGCAAGTACATTCCAATGTTCTTGATTAGTGATGAAAAAATCTTCATAAAGAACAATATCATTTATCCCCGAGAATTACCCTACTAATAGAGAAATAAGAGAAAAATAATCAACATAAGAATATAACGTAAAAACTCCAAAAACCGAAGTAAAATCATGATCGTTATCTAATGATAATCAGAGAATAACACTATGTGAAATATAACACATAGATAACTCTCTTATGCCTTTGACCCCAAGTACACTCACACTCTCCAAAGCAAGAATTTAAACTAAACTTCACAACACTCTACTACAATAATATAAGAAAAGTCAAATACAAGCCTAAAATGTCTTTGACTGGGGTGAGAAACCTCATGGACTTTAAGCTCATTATATAGCTACTATCACCTCCTTAATTACTTATTCAATATGATGTGAGACGTTTCAAGATGTAATATTTTTATCAACTCAACAATTAGGACATTGAGTGTACTTACTCAGTCTACCTACTGCATAAGCAATGTCAGGTCTAGAAAAGCTCATTAAATGCAGTAAACTCCCAATTACGTGAACATAAGAGATTGAGTTTCCTTTATTTTTCTTTAACTTAGAGTTAGCGTCTTATGGGGTATTCACTGGTTTGACGTTATAACGTCCAAACTTCCTAAGAAGTTTCTCAATGAATTATTCTTGAGATAGTAAAATATTATCGCCCTTACTTATGACTTTAACTCCCAAAATCACATTGGTTTCACCCATATTTTTCATTTCAAATTTAGATACCAGAAACAACTTAGTTCTAAAGATAATTTCAATGCATGAACCAAATATTAGCATGTCATCTACATATAAACATATAATGACACATTCACCACTTTCAAATCTAGAGTACACATTTATCAGCATCATTAGTTGAAAAGTCATTACAAAGTAGAATACTATGGATCCATCAAGATGATACTTTTTCTTTAAAATTCACTTATAACCAACATGTTTTGCTCCTTTAGACAAATCTATTAAAGTTTAAGTATTATTTTTCTTAATTGAATCAATTTTAGTCTTAATGGTCTTATCTCAATGTATTGCATCAGGAGCCCTAGTAGCCTTTAAAAAACTCGTTGGATAATTTTCAACTAGATAAGTATAAAAATCATCTTCAAAGGAGGATATTCATTCCTCTGTCTTTTACTTCTCCTCAAATTCTCATATACGCTATCACTATTAATATCTATGGATTATTTAGATATCTCATTAATCTTTAGAGGAAAAATATGTTCAAAATATTCAATATTTTTTTTCTCCACTATAGTATTATACTCAATTGCATCATTTTTTAGGACAAGAAACTTATAGGTCTCACTAACATTTAGATTCTACACATATATCATATTTCTTATTTTATTTATCATGCATATTAACTAATCATAATCATTGCAATTTTATAACATGAAGAATTCATGTGTCCTAGTCTAGCATGCACATATCATATGAATAATAATATAAGCAGAAGAAAGATTCATTAACAACCTCAGATATGTTCAGTACAAAAATACCTTGATTACAATATCTCTTCCCTCCAAATACATTATTTTTTATCATTAAAATCTTATCAGATTTGAATGACATTTTAACCAAAACTTTTCCCAGCAGTGCTACAGATATTAGATTAGCTCTCATTAATGGGCACATGTAGCACATCACTTTTCCCAACAGTGCTACAGATATTAGATTAGCTCTCATTAATGGCACATGTAGCATGCCCAAAGTCTTTCCAGATATGAGTTTTAGAAGAACTTTTCCGTTTTTTAAGACAAAAGTTGTCCTCGAATCACCGAGATAAACATGTTCTTTTTCATCTCCACAATAATGTAGGAGATAAAAGCACTTCTGTTTGCACATGGTAGCACTAGAGTCTACCATCCATTTGCTACATTTGTCACAAGGTTTATTTGGGAAACAACTGCAATAATTGTATATTCTCCTTCGGCTAAATTTGCCTTAGGAGGATTGTCGTTTCTCATTTTACGTCTGCACTGAGGTGTATGATGACTTGACTTTCCACATATAAAGTAATT